TGGTTTTCAAAGCAGCCCCTCAGCGGAATCATTCGCGCTGCCGCAATCACACGGAAGGAACTGGCCAACTTGATCCCTTGAGGTCTTCTGGAGACGCTCATGCCGGCGATTCAAGAAACTGCTCACAGAAAAGTAATCAATTCCATCCGAATGACATATCGTCAGCTCGTCATGCCCATCGACAAAACGGGATTCTCTAACAGTCCCAAGATACGTCGCATGGGATATGTTCCCATTTGTTCAAGTGTGTTCTCCTCTCATCGCAAACAGTCCTCGGCTTTGTCTATTGGCATCCCTGGGATCGGTTCCAGTTAGGAACGCACCATCGCTTTCCACGAAAGGAGCGTACACTGATTGTCGCCCGTTGACTCGTTCGGCAGTCTGGATTTTCACTCCGAGCCTAGGTTCATGATGGACAGCATATCGTTTCACAAGTCCTCTACGCAAAGGATCAACCTCCACTTGCGCATGCACCGTACTGCGCGGTCGTCGAGGGCGCCACCCAAAACATGCTCGTGATCGCGCGGTATGATACCAGGCGCGGAAACACAGCATGGCGTCCAGCGGAGCCCTCTGAACCCGTCAACAGCATACACGAATCAATGGAGCGAGCGGCCACGTGCCCCGGAGAGGCTCTTGGAGTTCATGGTGTTCCTGACAAATGCGGACAACCGCCTAGAGCCAATCGGAGCCTCTGCGAAGCAAGCACCCACACGACGGACGAAGAAGATGAGCAGTGTATGCGAAGCATTGATCGCTACTTTCGTGCGTGTATCAAGTGCGTTGCCAATCGCCGAAATCCGTTAGACCGAGACGTGAATGCCTGCCATCAACATCCTTCGACTGTGGACCATAGACCCGGAGCAACACGAGAGACCGACGTTGTCAAACGCGGAAATGAGGCAGAGGGAAACGAACCAGCCGCAAAACCATACACCAAAGAGTTATCTGGTAACCCCGGGTCGATACCAAGAATTTAGAGTGTATGAGCGAATGCTTCAATGGACCGCTTCAACTTTATGCAGACGAATGACTGTGACTAAATAGTGAATGCCTTTCTGTCGGCATACGCTGCACAACCGGTGTACGGTGATGGCAAAAGGCAAACTGCCTGTCGTACACTGGATGCCTACCCACCGACATGCAGACGCCTTGCAGTCTTTTTGGACCGGCCATCTACTACTTGTTTCAGCTTCTTTCTGTAGAATGCAACCTTGAGAGTTTGTCCTATAAAGTTGGCTCTCGTGAGCTCTGCGCGTCTCTTCCCGGGCACTGCACATCTCCTGATATTGATAGCAGTGTTAAAGTGTCGGTTCCCGAACTCTAAGCGTTTGCTCCCGTTGGTTGCACTCGCTAGTGCGAGGAACCCGCGAAATTTCGCCCTCGTTTTCATTCCTGCCCCGTCAGCGTTGCGTACTTTTTTATATACTTAGGGCTCCTCTGGCACGTTTCCATCTCGAATCTCTGAAGTATACATCCCAGTTCATAGTGTGTATAGGACATTCGGATCTCATCTGCAGGTATCTCAGCGAAACGCCTTGCGCACTCCTTGTACGTTCTTGTCTTTGGAGCTGGCATAGTCCCTTTTTGGGTCTTCCAGTGCCCTGCTCCGTACGCTACTGCTAGCCTCTGATTTCCATCCTCCTTCGGGTCACTCAACTGATTGAAAAAATTTGCGAACGCCCGCTGCCTCCCACAGTACAAATTCATACGCAAACGAGCCCACCGGGGCTTGGTATACCCCCTCCACAGCCCATCCCAATGGGCAACACGTACTTCCATGAATTTCCGAAAAGCTTCAAAATCCGCTCCTCGGCTAGGAACCTGGCTGATCGCTTCCAGGTGCTCTTTCACTCCTGCATTCTATGTCTCAATTTTCTTCCGTGCATTCATCGTTCCCGATTCTCGGTAATATCTCGCTCTTGAGTGCTTTAAAAGACTCATGTCTTTCTGACGTAAGTTGCCGCCAGTACCATTTTCTACGCGCTTGGGGTACTGCGGTGGTTTCGATATTCCTGTTCCCAGGTTCCGCGCTGACGACAAAGTACTCGTCCTGCGCATTCTGCGTCGCAGAACCCGCCTCCTTCTCATCTTCATGCTTCGCCGCGTCAACGACAAAGTCGTTATCCTGCACCTTCTGTGTCGCAGGATCCGCCTCCTTCTCATCTTTATGCATCGCCGCGCCAACGATAAAGCCGTTATCCTGCACCTCCTGCGTCGGAGGATCCGCCTCCTTCTTTTCTTCATGCTTCGCCGCTCCAACCATAAAGTCGTTATCCTGCACTTTCTATGTCGGAGGATCCGCCTCCTTCTCATCTTCATGCTTCACCGAGTCAACGACATGGTCGTTATCCTGCACCTCCTGCGTCGCAGAATCCGCCTCCTTCTCACCTTCATGCTTCGTCAAGGGCGCAGCCGAGGGCGGAACTGGACGATCCTTCTTCAGCCGCCGATAGTGTACACACATGGCTACTCCATCGGTTTCGGTCATCCCAGTGAATAATTTTTGTTTGCTCACCCTCAGACGTTTGAAATCGAAGATATTCTTCCAGTACGTCTCCCGGTTTTCACCGCAGAACTCCTCCCCGTTAACATTGAACTCCGGACAGATCTCCTTCATGATGCCGTACAGGACTCTGGAGTTGGTAGCAACAAAGTGCGACTTGTTGTTCCATATCGTGACGAAAATGAAGCGCTTCCCCAGAAGCGCAGCCGCCCGTTTCCACGACTCTGCAGTTTTTCCTCACTCAGCTTCATCTCCGCCTTGCGTTCGAGCTCTCGGTCCGGAAACACAAAATATCGCAGTACGAGGCGATAGGATCGTTCCTTATCTTTTTTCAACTCTGATGTCTTTTCTGCTGGATTCACCAGGCCCAGTGCCGCACGATGCTCTTGTATAGCCCCACGAATTACAGAAGCTTCATTCATGCTCTCGTTTGACGACTTCTTATCGACGAATTCGACCTCGTCTTCATGCCTGCGATCGTTCGTGATGCCGTTGATAGTCGCCCATACTCCTTTGCGAGAGATGCGCGGCTAGAATGCAAACACGGCGCGTATCGCGAAACGTTCGAGGTTCATAGGCAAATGGTTCTTCAGGCTTGTGAGGTACTTCATTGCCCCGTATGTGTACATACCACAGTCGCCTCAGTACCGAGTACCGTTCAACCGGAATTCCGCGTTATTTCCGTGGAGGCATGCACTCCCTCATTCTTCGTCGACGCTTCCCCTGTGCCAAGCATCAGGTGACGAATAAAGTCTCATCGAAAATTTCTTCCGGAACCTCGACAGTTTCGATGCCCGTCACGTTGTCGTACATGTCCTTCACAAAAAGCATCAGTCCTGACGTCGCCTTCATAATACTCATAGGCTACGTCGCGACACGTTCTCTGATGACTTGTTGCATTTGTTGCTCGTACGAATCCTTGATATGATTCACAAGACAGGGTTTCACCACCATCTCGTTGTAGAGTTGTCTTTCGTGCAGCTTCTGACGCTACGCCTTCCCCTTTCACTTCTTCGTCTTGTCCTCTTCCCCTTTTACTCGGCACTGTTCTCCATTTTTCAGGGAGCCAGCGATGCGGAACCTCCAGGATCCTCGACTTGCTATTCCACAACCTTCCTTGATTTTTTCTGAAAAAGAACACACTTTGAACGCTTCTGCTGTAAACCGCGGAAAAACACATGAATACAGTAATCCCAGAATGGAACACAACCGAATTTAAAGAATACACTTTGCGATGACTTTAATTGAAATACGACTTTACATTAGAGCAACACTTCAACAAATCGTCAGATAGTGTTTCTCCTCAACGGCAACATGCGCGCCATACCTGATGCCTACCAGATGTGGAGATGCGCGTATCGAGCGCACTATAAAGAACAATGAACAGAATCGATCCACTAACTAGCACCGATAGAACGAGTTCTTTCCCTCTCTACGATAACCGTTAAAAGAGGGAAAATGTTTCCATGTGATCGAAGGTTTACCTTCTGGGGACAAGGTCCCGCGAACCGCACGAGTCTGCCAGACCCGTGCTTGATACTCTCCCCTGAGGCAGGTGGTGTAGCGAGACCCCAACAACTCGACCGCAACGTAGTTTACTCCGGGACTAGGGGCGGGTAGCCTGCCTCTGGACGTCGCCGTACTCGCCGGATAATCCTAGTATATCGCTTCGCGCTGCCGCAGGCAGTGGCTCAGGCTGCGCAGCTTCCAGAATTCCAGAATGATCATAAATCCCGGCCCCGTGTCACTTGAAGCATTCCTCGAGCGGACGCCTGCATTGGTATGACAAACCCGTTCTGCATCCTTACTGTATCCGGTTCAGGTGCTATTGCAGGTGCAGTGAGGCAGGCACTCGGCACACGATAGAACGTACGAAACGACAAGCATATCAGAGAAGAAGTGTACGTAATGGAACTTGGACTTAAAGTGCATCATAATGGACATTTTTTCAATTGCGAATACCCGTCCATCCCGCAATCTGGCATCTGTGGTCCATAGAAATATTTTGTCATAGAAAAGCAAAGATTGCGCGCATTGCGTCTACCTTTCATTTGCGCATTCAGTGCTTTGTCAATGCAGTCGACCTGTAGCCTAGCGGTTACAGTACCGGTGGGGCTAGCGGTTAGATTCTTCAACTGACGCCTAAAGCGACTGCCCTGCACCAACCTCATGGAACCTCTATAGGACGTACGGTTTTCTGAAGCGGTAACGAGAACCTCCAAACCTGGGGTCTGGCTTACTATCTTTGGCGCACTTCGCAGTTCTAGAAGAGTGACCCGTCGAGGCCGAGTCTGCAGCGCCGCAGCCACCGGTGTTACTGTCGTTCACGTCGTCGCTGCTAGATATTCTGATTTAGCGCAAAGTTGAGACGGACTCGAGCTTCAGCTGCAGAGCTGCCTGGACGGATATGCAGTGCGTGTGATTGTACCACCACGAAGAGATCGCTTTGCGCGGGGACGTCAAAACCGCTCAAGCGGACTTGCCGAAGAGGTTTATGATGCCGGAGAGCGCAACGCTGCGGCGCGTAGCTTGCACGCGGTGCCTCTCCCCGCGTTGCTTGCTCCTATGCAGCCTCACGTTACTCTTCTTCCTGCTTCGTCGAATGACTGTTGATATACATATACTGAAAGAGCTCGATGGCCAGCATCGTGCGCTTTCAAACCGCTGCTTGAAACCTCTGATACACTTTCCGGAACTGCATGCTCTGTTCCAACTTTCCTATGGTATCGCGAGCATCGTCAAGCGTCTCGCGATTCTCGGAAGAGAATGCATTCGCCCCGCAGAGATCAGCGATGGATCCTGCAAACCAGGCAACGGGCAAGCATTCGAACCAGAGCAGGGTCTTCAGCGCGTCTGCACGAAGCTCTTGCCGCTTATTCCGACCTGGAGGCAGGCGATTGTGAATGAATGGACGAGCGCGACAACGACGACCTACGGCACGCCATCGCGTCTATACGAGCGGGGACAGCCTGCCTCTGAAGCAGGCCTGGAGCTCCGCCTCGTCGATCACTGCCATGCGACCCTGGACCTGGGTCCAGTCGCCCTGGACAGACGTACCCGAGTACTGGCTCGCTCTGTTGGGAAGAGGACTGCCCCAGAAACGGCGCCTCTTCTGCAGTTCTCGCGTGCTGTATTTGGTCTCTCATGTTGTGACGATCTGATGCGCTCCAATGAGAGCACACACCGGCTGGCGACGCTCGTTCGAGACCGGATTCCAGATGCGGCTGTCGTGTGCTGCATTGCAAGCTCCGAAAAGTGAGCATCGATCACGGTGCTGGTCTCGAGATCTTCGCTCCTTGGCTGCTCGACAGCGACGCCACAGAGGCCGTAACGTTGACTCTAGGTTCGGCGGGATGCCCGCCAAACGAGGGCGAGCAGTCACGACATCTTTGGCAGCACCGCCGATGCCGCCCAAGCAGTGACCTTCGTTAACGTTCTAGGACAGCCTCCGTGTGCTGGAAAACAAGACTTTTTTCGCAATCGGTTGCGGCGACGCGCTGGCGCTAAAGCATACAAACGGAGTTTCTATCCGCATGCGACCACGTGGACGGACACATAAACCACGGCCTTGGCGTCGCGTCGCGATAAGCGCCGAGCTACTCGAAAACTGAGTTGCAGCGCTGGCTTCCATGCCATGCATTGCAAGCCAATTAGAACTGCCTGTGTTGTTGGAAAAACGTTGTCGGTGCGGTTACGTTCCAGAAAGCCAATGCGGGTAAAGCATGATAGAGAAACCTCCATGACGGACAGGGCTGAGGTAGTTCTCAGAAAAGCGGCAACGCGACGCGTTGACCAGTACTCAAGATTTTCGCATTATCCAGAGTTGACGCTCTCGAAGGTCCAGAAAGTTAGAACGACACAGACGGCACAAAATCTGATGCATAGAAATGCAAGTTCGGGGCCAAACCTGCAACCCATTCGTGCAAGCATGTACGCAAGCGTGAACTTTGCCAGATACTGTTCTGAAGCGCACCCCTGAATCACCATACATGGCTGTCGTCAGGTACCGAAACGAGACTGTCTTTGCGGATCACGTGTATGCATCCAGGGCAGACGTCGGCCCTCATGTTCGCGGATTCACGAAACGCAGACGAGCAGCATTCGCCCCGTTCGGTGGTATCAAGCAGCGGGGCTGCTCGTGATTGGCTCCTCGAGCGCTGTCCTCAAGGGCGCTTAAAGAACGGTCGTTCCAGGTGGCTTTTTTTTCCGGAAAACCCCTCCGAATGATGCCTATAGTACAGCGCCCGTATCCAGTCTGGATGCTAACGATTCATCCATCCCCATCAGATTGCAAGCATATCGTTCATAAGGATTCCAGGGTTTCCACGCAGCAGCTCATGAGTCGATATGCTGATCCATGATTACCGAAGCCTCTTCGACACCATCACCTCCACGCTCGCATCAGACAGACAGGTAAACAGGCAAACAGGCAAACACCCCGCGGAGATGCTTCAATCGTCGCTAAAATGCTCTGCCTGCACACCAAAGCCGGCCAGCAGCCAGTCCATGCAACGTACACGGAGCCGTCCGCCCGAGAGGGCGCCCACAAGCTGCTCTCAAAGCGCGGGCAGCGGAGAAGGCGGCATCCGACGCCCCGGTGAGTGGCCGCAGAAACAGCACATCCAACGGGCGGCCACAAAACCGGACACACTACCCGGAACGCGAAACCTCGCCGCGCTGCTCAGCTCAACGCGTGGTCGAAATGAACGAGAACTGCACGGGTGTGAGTCCGATACCAGGAACCTAGGTAGGACGATCTCCAGTTGCTCAGTCTCTGAACAGGAAACCCAGCATCTTCCACCCATCTGCGACCGCCTGGCGCTTCAGCGCCACCAGCGATCAATGCCGAGGTGCCGCCCTGCAGCCGGGCAATCCAGACCAGGAAAGCGACAGCATTCCTCCATCCGAATACGTCTGCTAAAACGCATCGATGCTCAGCCCACACCAAAGGTACCGAGCGCAATGCCATGCTCGCTGCGTCCCGCATCTCGAACAAGGTGCATTCAAGGACGCCTCAGCGCCGCCACGAACTGAGCACATCCGAGTCGTACTTGCCTCTTCTCGAACAAGGTGCTCTCAAGGACGCCTCAGCGCCGCCACGAACTGAGCACATCCGAGTCGTACTTGCCTCTTCTCGAACAAGGTGCTTTCAAGGACGCCTCAGCGCCGCCACGAACTGAGCACATCCGAGTCGTACTTGCCTCTTCTCCAACAAGGTGCTTTCAAGGACGCCTCAGCACCGCCACGAACTGAGCACATCCGAGTCGTACTTGCCTCTTCTCCAACAAGGTGCTTTCAAGGACGCCTCAGCACCGCCACGAACTGAGCACATCCGAGTCGTACTTGCCTCTTCTCGAACAAGGTGCATTCAAGGACGCCTCAGCACCGCCACGAACTGAGCACATCCGAGTCATACTTGCCTCTTCTCGAACAAGGTGCATTCAAGGACGCCTCAGCGCCGCCACGAACTGAGCACATCCGAGTCGTACTTGCCTCTTCTCGAACAAGGTGCATTCAAGGACGCCTCAGCGCCGCCACGAACTGAGCACATCCGAGTCGTACTTCCGCCGCGACTCTGGATTGCTCAGGACTTGGTAAGCCTCGACAACTTTTTGAAACGCCGAATGCCGCTCCTCCGCCGTCAGTGGCCGCTTCCTATCCGCGTCCGCCGAACCCTGGACAGCCTCACGGAGCGTACTGTGCTGCGAGTCGGGGTGCAGCGCTTTGGCTCGTTCCAGGTAGGCTTTGCGAATTTCGCTGCTAGTTGCGCTCGGCGAGACACCGAGTGTTGCATAGTGCGTGCCAGGTGCTGCGCGAGGTGGCGTCTCCGGCTGCTCCTCTCTCGAAAAGGCTTCGGACTGGACTCCTCCGCGGAAACGCCGCTCCCACTCGAGGTATCGGCGAAAGAGCTCGCGCCGAGCCCGTTCTTCTGCGGCCATGAACGCTTCTCGGCGACGCGCTTCCTTCTCCGCCCAGTTGTGTTGGGCTGCCCGTTGCAGACGTTCGAGAATCTCGCGCTCCAAACGCTCCCGTGAGTAACGCTGATAGTTTCCCCAACCTCGATGGATTTCTTTGCCAACCGCGAAGCGAGAGTATCGAAAGCCAACGACACCAGCTGCATACGCTCCGAAAATGAGGAAAGCACCCACCGCCAGTGCCGAAGACGGTTTGGAGACCTTCTCAGACGACACAGCCGAACTATTTTCACCGGACTGCAGCAGCGTTCCATCGCGTCTTGGTCCTGAAGCTGACGCGGCTTCCGAGACGTGTCCCAAGTCCGCCTGCGGAGGCCGTGTTGATCCAGACGCTGGCCCGCTGACCGGACGCGCCCCGGCACTGGCTTCCTTCGTGGCCATTCTGTACCAAGGGTCGGAGGAGGCACCCAGGATTTGTATACGGAGCTGGTGTACGCATGTCCAGCGGACTCTGACCGTCCTCGAAGCGCGTTCGACTGCAGCAGAGCGCGCTCTGTCCCCAACTGGGTTCCTCCGAGGCTGGCGCCAAGCTCCGGCTGGCGAGCTGGCTGGCTGGGCAACACGCGCCACGACACCAGTCGCAACCGCTGCGCTGCAACAGCGCTCTGCTGAGCGCTGGTGGAGTCTTGGACGTTCATGCGAGACGAGCGTGTCTTTTTCTGGACCGCAAAGGTTCTCCCTCAGGTCGAAAGGAGTCAAAAAATACCCTTGATCACGCATGTGGTGAGCTCTGGTGCCTCATTGTACCTGGCTGGCACCGAAGCCGACCAAACGGCAGCAGTTTACCGGCTGCGTCTAACAGAGGGCCGCTGGCGAGTCGAAGGAAAATGGTGCTTGCTAGCCCCGAACTCAGGAGTAAAAGCAAAAACCCCACGACTAGCGGACCTCTGTGTGAATGACGCGGACACCGTGCTCGCCGCAGTCTGTGTGGACGGCTGGCTCTACGTCGAGCGCGCCCAGGATATCGGTGGAAAACGGTTGCGAGCACATCGAGCGCATGATCAGCTGCGAGCGGTAGCACTCGACCCGAACTACGACACGAGCCTGCCTCGTTCCAGTTTGCGTGTGGTTGTGGGAGGCGATCAAGGAGAGCTTGCGTTGTACGGGGAGTCGTGGCTGGGGCTCTCCCAGACAGCCGTCCTGTACCGAAGCCGGGAGGCGATCACGAATATCGCCTGGCATGCACACTTCATCAGCTGGGCAACGCTTTCTGGCACCGTTCGAGTCTATGACAGTGACCGACATGCCGGGGTTTGCTCGGTGGAGCCGCCGGCGTCTCTGGGGCAGCAAACGTTACCGCCGCGCGCACGCCTTCAACGAACCCGTCTTTTCTGGACCTCAGGGCGTCAGCTTTGCATCAGCTGGTGGTATCGTGGTGCAAATGAGGATCTCGAACATGACGCGCAAGAGCAGGATCCAGAAGCATGCGTCGCCATTCGAGTGCTTTCGTTCAACGAAAACCCACCGGAGGAGGCCACGAACGCGATACTGGTCCAGACACAGTGGAGTTGCTGCAGATCACTTTTTCAGAATGGATTCCAGCTTCGCTTGGTCGCGCCGTGTTCAGAAAATAGTGCTGATTTGCTTTTCGTTTCGTCGCGGATGAGAGCGCGTCCAGCGGAGGACAGCGATTCTGGGATGCCCTCGGATGCTGAAGCACTCGAACGGCTCGATGAGGACGCTAATTTCGCAGCCGGGACACTGGAACTGTGCATGCAACTCTATGCGTATCAGCAGACTGAATCAGAAGAAAAGAAAGAAGGCTCCCGCTTTGTGCTTGCGAATGAGCAACTAGTCGCATTCGAGTGGCCTCCGGCTGCGACAAGCGCGGCAGCGCCAGTGCAGCTGCCGCGATCACGCCTGCTCAGCGCCTGGAGTCGCAAAGCATGCGCCCTCTTTATGCTATATGCGGAAGCCGCTGTGTCGACAGAAGCAACAGAGGCACCTTGGCTGCCGGTTATCGTTCAGGTGCGTCCGTGCAATATTGTTGAACAGGTTCGATGGCTGCATGCGCAACATGCTGATGCCTCAGCAGTCCTGGCGCTCGCTCGACTGGCTGTTCAGACGGATGCGCAGGCCCTGTCCGCCGAGGAACTTGCATCTCTCGCCGACGCTTTTCTGGAAGCTCATTGGGAACATTGCAGTGCAGCGGGCACCCCAACCGCTGAGCATGACGAAATCGCTGCCCGCATTCCCGAGGCACTGGAATGGTGGAACGCTCCGACCTGGCTCTGGGAGAAGTGGATACGGCGTCTGCTGGCTGTAGGCAGAGGCGCGCTGCTCGTGTCCGTGATACCGACACAGTCTCCTGTGCTGGAACGCCAGGTTTACGACATCATATTTCACCAATTGATTGACAAGCCAGAACCAGGGATGCTGTATGCTGCCCAGAACTGGCCGTTGGAGATCTTCTCCGTTGACGAGCTTATTGAGGCTCTGGAGCGTCGCCTGCAGCAGGTCCGAACGGCGCCCGATGCTAGCTCCCGCCGGGCGATGCTCATCATGACAGAATCTTTATCCGCGCTCTACACACGATCTGGTCGAACGGAGAAGACGCTCTTCCTGATCCTCGAGCAAGACGGCACGGCCGTGTTCTCCTACATACGGAAGCATCGTCTCTTTGCTGCTGCTCGCCAATGTCTTGGCGCGCTCTTTGCTTTGGATGCGGCGGAGGCAGCGCGCACGCTCGCAATGGCGAGTCCGCTCGAGCTGAGCATAGACGACGTCTTGGGAGCACTCGAGCCCGCGGATTCCCTCAATGCCATGCTCTACCTCGAAGAGGTGTTTCGCCAAGCCCCTGACCTCTTACACGTACCAGAGCACCACGAAAGACTCCTGGAACTGCTTGTCAAACATGCCCCCGAACGTATTCTGGCCCTGTTGCAGTCCGAGGATTGTTTCTGCCGGCCACAAGTCGCGAGGAGCATCCTCGCTCGAGCGGAGACGCCTGATCGGCAATTTCTCCGAGAACGAGCACTTCTGCATGCGCTGCAGGGCGATCTCCTCGAAGCACTCAAGATACTCCTGGAAGGCGAGATGGAAGGCGATGCCCTGGAGCTAGCACGCCAACAGGCTTCCGATGCCGCACCTTGGGGATTTCTAGCAGCCCACATGCGCGACCCCCAGCGACTCCTACTGGTTCGCGAGTGCGCCCTGTCACGATCTCAAGTGCTTATGACGATTGGTGAACGGCGTCTGGCAGGTGAAGCGATTAAGCTGGAAACGCCCGTCATTCGCGAGGCCTATTACCATCTCGAAGAACAGCGCCAATGTTCGCATGCGGTGAGCGAGCTACTCAAGCAGCGCATCCACAAACTCGAACAAGCCTATGCTTCAGCGCTGTTTGACGATCTCGTGCTGCCCCCAACCGTGGCAACCGATCTGAAGGGACACTTGAGCGTTTCTGAGCGCAATGTAGTCGAGCTATCCTAGCGACTCAAGGCGCTACCGTCGCTGCTGCTGCTGCTGCTGCTGCCACCAGCACCACCATCACTACCACCACCGAGAAACTGTTGCTGCTGCTCTGCGAATCGCTGTCCAGCGCGTGCAGCAAGCTTCAGAAACTTCTGAGCGCACTTGGTTACACACGCTTCTTCCTTGGCTTCCAGTTTGCTACTGCGGAATGAGTCCACGCAGTTGTTGAAACAGAGGTACACGAGCTCATTGTAAAGCCGCATGGAGTCTTGGATCTGCAGCTCTTGCAGCACAGCCATCATACGTCGCTCATCCTCCGCGGAGAGCCCAGCCGTACTCGCTTGCATTCGGGACGAACCTTGGTCTCACCTTTAGTAGAAGCTGCCCCCGGTGCTACAGAGTCTGCGGCTTTGGCAAGTCGTGTCGTCGTCGCGCTGCAGCCGGCGGCTGCAGCATTGATCGCACACTTGGCGTTTAGGGGGGAGCCAACGCTCCTGCGGTCGTGTACTACCCGCCGAGGTTGACAAGGAACAGGCGTCCCTGGATCGAAGCTTAGTTCCGCGGGAGGCTCGTGACACAGGGAACAATAGCTTTCGCAGTTGCGGGGAGGTGGATGCTCTGGTAGGGCCCGCTGCACCCTCCGGAACACGATGCGAGCCTCTTGAGCAGTCCGACTCGGGTATAGCCGGTGAGGGATCCATGGAGCGGACTCGTTTATCCCCTGGCTATGCTTGCCTCGGAGCATGCAGACAGGTTTTCAGAATCTTCGAACCTGCATACTACACGATTCAATTCATTGCATTTAGGACTTGTATAATTACTGATGAGAATCAGGATTTCTCAAACCTATACCCTACACGATTTCACTGATTGCATTTAATACTTGTGTAATCACTGATGAGAATCAGGATTTCTCAAACCTATACCCTACACGATTTCACTGATTGCATTTAATACTTGTGTAATCACTGATGAGAATCAGGATTTCTCAAACCTATACCCTACACGATTTCACTGATTGCATTTAATACTTGTGTAATCACTGATGAGAATCAGGATTTCTCAAACCTATACCCTACACGATTCCATTCACTGCTTTTAATACTTGTGTAATCACTGATGAGAATCAGGATTTCTCAAACCTATACCCTACACGATTCCATTCACTGCTTTTAATACTTGTGTAATCACTGATGAGAATCAGGATTTCTCAAACCTATACCCTACACGATTCCATTCACTGCTTTTAATACTTGTGTAATCACTGATGAGAATCAGGATTTCTCAAACCTATACCCTCAGAAAAATGATCCAACATTCGCTGCGTTGTCGCAAGTCCAAACGGCAGCGGCGAGTCCCGAAATGCTGAACACGTGAAAGCGCTGCGAGAGCGGCAGGGCATTGCAAGCATTGCAGGACTAGTTCATGAATCAAGCCTCTTTTCCTACGTAAATCAATCGACGGTGATGCCTATCACCTCGACATTTCCGCAAAATAACCGAGTGAGTTCAACCCGTTGTTCGCCAGTTGCGTACCCACAGTCACGGAACGCAAGTGTGAAGCATCGGCCCGAAACTGTTTGCACGCCAGCGCGCATGCAGTGCTGCCCTGCTGTACAGCAGTAAGAGGCATCAGTTGGGTACTGTTTGATGGATTGGTGGATCAATCTTTGGCACAGCGCTACCCTGGGTCAGCGATAGCATTGCTGCGCGCCCTACAACGTGTTTGCGAATGGCAAGAATGCCCAGTGCCAGCGCGTTGTTCACTGCAGCGCAATCACGCTCCGATTTGGCAGTTGATTGCGTTCTGTTGCGATGCGTTCATGCTCAGGGTGAAGTAAAGCAAAGTCTGTATGTATCTGTTGATCTGAGGTCTGCTAGAGTTGTATGCGCTCAGCAGACTCATGTTTACTGGCTACTATGTCGCGGCAGACTGGAAACGAAAGGCTCAGCGGCAACGACAGTGTTGGAAGCGACGCTTCACCACAACCTGGCGTCGAGGAGCACTGACTCCGGACTGCCAGCAACGGACAGCTGCAGCGTCTCGATGTGCACAGTCCGCTGCTATCCGAGCAATTATTTGCATGGTATCGAGAGAGGAACCTGTGCGGGACTTGGTATCGGACGCTTCAGATTCAACAAGAACACGCTCCGCAGGACCCGCTATTGGTGCCGCAGAGAAACGCAAAGCGTCGAGGGCGAGCGCCTTGGACCCGTACCAAACCACGAGTGCTAGAAGCGGGTCTGCGAACGCACTCTTGGACGCGGTACCCTGGTTAGCACTGCACCTGGCGACCGTTCTCTGGGGGACACAGCACGCAGTTATCAAACAGCTCGTAGACGGCGGGTTCGACGCATCTGTGCTCAATATGGAAAGATTTGGCATTGCAGCTAGCGTCAGCGTAGCAGCGGCGGCAGGTCTGCACATTCTCGATTCGTGGAATACCTCGAGACGGCCCGGCAGGCGAAAAGCGCAACAGTTTCCGCAAAACTGGCGTTTTTGGCGACGAATACTGGAAACCTGGAGCGGTGCGCTGGAGCTCGGCCTTTGGATGTTCCTTGGCTATGCGTGCCAATCCATTGGTCTGACCGACACAAGCGCCTCTAGAAGTAGTTTTCTGCTGTACTTGAATGTGAAGATCGTGCCGTTTCTCGCTGCCGTACTGCTGCGACGTCGCATTCCGCGAGTCACATGGCTCGCTGCGACGATAGCGCTCTTCGGAACATTAATGCTTTCGTTCGACGGGGCGCCACCCAACGCGGGTGATGCCTGGAGTGTCGCAGCAGCCGTCGCGTCAGCGATGTTCATCCTGCGTCTGGAGCGTGTAGCAAGTCAAATGCCGCCGGCCACAATGAATGCACTGTCGTTGACAACGGTAACGATTCTCGCAACGCTATGGAGTGCGTTCCGATTCGATGACTCAGGAAGGCCAGTGTTCGACTGGGCGATGCTCGGTTCGGCTGCACAACATATAACGGATCCAGCAATCCTTTACTTGGGACTAGCAGCGACAGCACTGAGCGGCTTGCTCCAAGCCTTTGGACAAGAGCACATCTCTGCCGAGCGGGCCGCTATCATATATGCATTGGATCCCGTCTATGCAGCAGCATTTGCGTACTTGCTTCTGGGCGAGACGCTCGGTCCGCGAGGTATTCTCGGCGCCGCCATTGTGTTCATAGCAGCGTTGCTATCGCAGGGAGCGATACGATCATGGCTCTCTGATCGGTTAGAGACTCGAGCAGAGAACGGCAAACTAAACGATTCATGAGGATGCTGGGCGGCAGCGCTTATGTTTTCCGATCCTAGGCGAATTTTTGAGCGACTCGCAATCGATGCATATTGGATGCTATTAGAAGTGGCAAAAGTCACGGCAGCGCGGATGCCACTAGCGCGGTACCTCGGCGATGACGGCAGCAGGTTCCAGAGACATCTACCCTATCATCGGTAAATGATGTCTGTTGCCTGTAGCGTTCTTGCGCGGGCAGCGCTGGACGCGTGCTCGAGCGGGAGCATCTCAATGATGGCGTGTTGACGTCGATGCTGTCGGCGTTTGCAGGCGAGTTGCGCCTACCATCTGCATGAGGACGGTCTTGGCACGCCCGTACAACTCGCGCAGTGTCGGAGGCAACCAGGTCGACCACATGTCTAACTGCATTTCGATGTGTTGCCACACCAGCCGCGTGAAAGGACAGCTTAAATAGCGCAACTGTAAATAGCGATAGAGCACCAAAACCGCCAGGAAGCTTCTTTGCGGTGTGAATATCGAAGCCAGCAAAAAGATGAACAGGGCTGCTTCGGCGTAGGCAGCCAGTAGGCGAGCCCTACTTTCATGCTGGCGCAAGTATGCGGCCAGATGTCGTTGCTTTGTCGGTGCCAAAAACCAGCGTAGCACCTGTGCAGAGGCAGTAGCGCTTTCGAAAAGTGGCAACAGACGATCGTAAACGAACGTGGTGATGAGCGACGCCATTGCGAGCCTTAACGCAACCGGGTGATGCAGCTGCACACCAACGGATACGAAGAAAAGCCGCGGAATGAGATCAGCAGAAGCGAGCGCCCGCTCTAGACGCACCCGACCAGGCCACTCGCGAGGTAGCCGTTGCCAGCTCTGGTAGCAAGTCCAAGCCAGGGAAAGGAAAACACCGACCCAGGTCCAGCCGACAAGAGGCCCCGTTCCCATCCAAAACGTGCCAGTAGCAGCAACTAGGATGCACAGGTCCAACACGGGGCCCAAGTCGCTTGCCCCGCTGCGCTGAAAGCCAGCCCAGGCCGCTTGTCGGCATGCCTGCACACATTTCCAGGTGCGCTGTCGCCAGTCGTTGCTGTAGGTCCGCGCAAACTGGGTACGCTCACCTGCTGCTGCGTCTGCTGGAACCGCTCTAGAGCTCTGCGGCTTCAACGGCAACGAAGGATCGATGTACCTGCGAAAGAAAGCCCGACGGAGACGCTCCTCGACTTCCGCTGACGGTGCGGTGACCTCAGCGGCACGCCGAAAGCGCTGCCAAGCCTCGTCCGTGTCGAAAGGGTAGCGTTTGAAAGCCTCCTCTGCTGCCTCTGCTGCATCTTCAACCAGTGGCATGGTCCTCTCTTCTGCGGGCGGTGAACGACCTCGGCAACTGCCACACCCCGGAGTCCGGTGTGAGGAACCCCATTCATGTCCGCAATGTTCCAGTTCATCGAGCGCGCCCGCAGAGCGATCACCGATGCATCGAGTGCAGTGAGAGCGCACCAGGGAGGATACCCTCAGCAAGTTGCGCTGCCATGCGTGCAAACTGCTGGGAACGGGACACCAGGCAAGGTACTCTGGATCGGTACCCACTGTACTGGATATACGGATAATGGTCTTGTTCAGCGGGACTCTGGGAGATGTACTCTGGATTGGAACGCACTGTACCGGATATACGGATGCTCCTCGTGGTCAGCGGGACTCTAGGGAACGTACCTTGGATGGGTTCGCACTACACTGGACGTAAGGATACTGAATTTGGCCAAGATAGGCAATAGGCAACGTGCTCTGGATCGGTACGCACTGTACTGGATGTACAGATAGTGAACAAGATCAACATTGCCGATCGGATAAAAAAGAGCGGAACATGAACAGCGAAGCGCATGGAATACCAAACTCCACCTACAGTGAACAGGTCGAATACGCATTGACCGACATGTGGGGCCTCTTGCGGGCTGCGGCAGCAGCAGCGTCCGTATGTAGAGGACGACTCTTGCGACGATGCATGGGACTAGATACGAAGAAGCGCTCTGGAGCCGGGTGGGTGTCGTTCGCTTCTAGCAAGTCGCTGTTTGGCTAATCTGCTGCCTCCTCGGATGCGAAATGAGAGAACCAACCTCATGCGCCATCGGTGCTGCGGCACAGAACCTGGAGACATCAGCGACGCAACAAGCTTGCTTTTGGTCGAGCAACGTCAAACGTGGACGCTGCCGGAATGGTGAGCATGTTAACAGCACACCATTGCATGGGAAACGTTCGACTGCTTATCATAGACACCGACCTAGTCGCTCTGATCACGCTTCTTCGTCATCTGGAGCCGGTCGCTATAAAGCTACAGCATACATCGATGAGGGCAATGTCTCGACCTGCACAGAGCGTACTGCATCTCACAAGTTCCTGCCAGAGCAACGCAGCATCAACGCTGCGATGATATGGCGTTGTCGAAGGATCCGACGGACTCGAACGAATGATTTACTCGGCGCGAGACGTAGATTGAGAGCACCACATCGAACGCTGTCTTCCATGCTCTGTCGCGATGGAACGGAACAAGATGGGTGCTTTGGGGGATACGAGTTGCGAAAGCAACCAAAGCGCATCTAAGTGGAACACGACGCTCGCTCGTGGACTCAAATCTGGGGCATGTTGAGTGTCAAGGATTCAGAGCTGTCGACATGGATGCGACAAACCTGACCGATGCTCAACCGTGCTCCCACTGCCCCGCGCGGCGTTCCGCAATGCATCGAACGCATGCCCTGCGTTTCTTTGCATTGTGACAAAGGCCGGATACAGTGCTCCAAATGAAAGACGCGCCACTGGGATTTCGTTCAGCCCGGTGGCGCTCTCGAGACTCCGGAGCACGTGCACTGTACTTGCGCAATAGAGTTGGGTGTTTTGTGGAAATCACCATGCAGTCACCGTTGTCAGGCGAGCGCTAAACCTGATCCGTGATCGAACTTGGTGCATTCTGGGTACTGCACCCAAACTCTATACCGCATGCACCATTGCACTAGCGTCCAGGTAGTGTACAACTATGCTAGCGTCATAAATCTCATTCGAAACCGGCAACACATTAGCACCTCTAGTTCAGGATGAGCACCAGCTTCTATTCTTGTTAAAAAGCACTGACAGAAACAAGCGCCATAAATCTCATTCGAAACAGGCAACTCATTAGCACCTCTAGTTCAGGATGTGCACCAGCTGCCATTCGGGTTCAGGTGCGATCCGCATTTGCGGCATTCCGATGCTACCGAGGCCACTGCTGGGCGAGTCGATTCGTTCTGCGAGCAGCGCTTCAAAACACCATACGGGTTTGCGCCAGACGTTCTGCTCATGCTTCAGAAGGGACCCATCTGGCTTCTTCCAAATCGTTGAGAAGCAGGCAACGAACTCCACATCAATGTCAACGAACAAGCGTCTCTCGAAATCGTAGCGACCGTAGGTATTCACAATCTGAGCGCCTCCTACTTGTTCGACCTGCATGGTCACATTCATGTTCTCACGCTCATATGCTTCAATGGTCTCTCGGAGAGCCTTCGCCACCTGATCGCTTACAGCATCCCCGAGCGCATCGATATCCTTCTCGATCAAAGCCGCGCAGACGCGTTGGAAAGCGAACTGTGCGCCCTTCAAAAACTCATCCGGAGAAAAGACCGGTGGGGGCCAGACTCGCTGCAGCTGCAGCAGGTGCCACCGTATTTTGAGCTGTCGCCAGAGCGGCACGCTGCTCAGTGGCGGTGGCGGTGGCGGTGGCGGTGGCGTCGACGACCCCACGTTGTCTGGATCCCGTGCGACAGCAGCGTCCTGCTCGGAGTCCTTTGCTGAAACCGTTTGTACGAGCCTTGACCAGAGCAAAGAATCTAGCTGCCCACTGACGCGTTCGTCCTCTGCTGTCCCACGTAATGAACGTGCCCCACAGTCCCGAGAACAACTTGTTTGGTGTAGTGGAAGACGGTACACGCTTCGAGTTCCGCAGACGCAGCGCATGGCGCAAGCTTGGCGAGAAAGCGGTTGTAGCTGACGAACTTGCGCTGCTGACCAGCTCCACAACGCTCCACTGCACCTTTTAAGCGCATCTCGCGTTGCATGCAGCATAGGCAAACGAAAAAGCGTCCTTCTATAGGTTCATTCCCAGTTGAGGAGCACCAACGCAACGCTGGCGCTCTACAAAGCGCTCGCCTCGCAGCTAGCAGAGTGCGAGCATCGCTCAAGCCACGAAAGCCGCACACGGCTTCGGGGTACGCGGCTGCTGCTCGTCGTCATCGCGACGCTGACGGGCACATAGACGTCCATACTCATGTTCAAATAAAATGGACCAGGTCCATGAACTCGGGCGACCACGCTGGCGTTGTGGTTTCGGTTCACTTCCATGAGCACCAGCCTTGGTGGGCTTTTCTCGGTAACTGCTTCCAGTGCTCGTATCTTAGTTCCAGCTTTCAATACGCAAGTCTATCCATGCGCTTCATCATTTTTGTCAACAGTCGATAGATGTCGATGGAAGCGTTTCGGTCCCATTTTCGCTCCTCCCGACTGTTATCGATACATTTCATGCACAGGCAAATTTTGTGATCGACGCATCGCTTATGGTGCTCAGCTTCTCTGGGTAGAGCCTCGGTGCGCGAGTTGCACCCTTGACACATGACTGCTGTCTGGTGCTCTCGAACGGCGACCAAATATGCTCCTCCTCTGACCAGCGCCCTGCGCCGCACGAGCACTTGCTTCATCGCTCGATACGTGTCCTGGACAGGTACCGAGGGCTCGCCTCGTTTCCCGCTTCCGCATCGGCGCCCGGTGCGGTACCGCACGATCATGAGCTTCTGCTGGGCCAGCTGCTCAGCGAATACGCTTTCTGGTGCATACGCAAGCGCATAAGCTCCCATTCGATAAAGGATTCGTGGGGCGTGATGTTTTCCACCGTGGAACACGTAGCACAAGGGAAAACCGCGGTCTGGAAACAGTGTAACCGAACTCGATCCGTCGACGCTTCCTTTTTGCGAAGCGGCAACGTACCTTCCAATCGAAGCGATCACCGCGATGAACGCAGTCCGAATCTGGGACACTTTTCCATGAAAACAGAAGAGATGGAAGCCTCTGGGAGCATACACCACGAGAAGCACATGCCGCCGTGGAACGCTGCATCGCGGACGGCCTGCAAGAGAGGACGATTTTCGTTGCAGCCGGAGTCGATTCTGATAACTTGACATGACAAGTCCAACGAGGCGCCGTCATATGCTTCTGAACATACTATCAAGCGACGACATCGATTCTTATCGTCGTCCATCCTGCAGGCGCGGACTGATGCGCCCTCCAGTTGCCTTGAAACAGAAAGAGAGAAATTTTGAAGAATGGTTGATTTAAGCATGCGAAACGCAACGAATGTAGAAAAGTGGACGCTTGTCCGTATGCAACGGTTCACGGTGCCAGGTATGTTACGGGCCCTTGTTCGAGGGTGTCGCGAACCATCTTGATTCCTGTCACGGACCGAATCAGGCTGCAAACACGCGAAAGAGTCACTCAGAATAGTCGACCGCGAACCCTGAAACTACGAACGCATCCGCAAACCCTATTGACCGCTCTTTGCATATCGAGGCTGTGCATCATAAAAAGCTCGGACAAAGTAGTCGAACGCCAGCAGCAGAGCGAGCATGAGAATGGCCCATGTTCATTGGACCTGCCCCGAACGCGTGCCAACATCCGCGATGCAGCGATCGAGTCGTCGGCGCTACGGTTCAGCCGCGGGGCTTCGCGACATCAGCATCAAACTAGTAGCGGATGGATACATTAAAAAGCCTTGCTGATAGACAAGACGCCCCAGTTCGATCCATTTTGATATCATGCTATATCCAATGGCAACCAGACTCCAACGAGGGCGCCAACGCAGCCTGCAGCCAACAAAGAGACCGCCGTTCCTCCGCGGAAGCTTCCACGGTGGCAGCGTTGCAGTCCATTGCTGCCCGCTTGCAATCGTGCGTAGCTTGCTCCGGCCTGCTCGGAGCAGCGCTGGACAGGCAGCCGCTGTCGCCAAACGCCGAAGTGACGGCACCGCCATGCATTGTGAGCCCGCCGGTTGGTATGCGTGCCTCCGTGCATCGCAAGCGTGCCAGCGGCATCCAGCACGCATTACGTAAATTTGGCGCGAACTGCGAATTCGCCGATGAGGCAGCGCGCCGGAAATCGCCCGCCCGCGGATACACGTCACCAGCCGTGCACGCATCGTGCCGCAGCAAGGCACGCATGCGGTACACGGCGGAGAAACGGTCGATCGTACGCTTTGAGCGTCTGGAGAGCACAAGCGACTTGTGCTGCTGACGACCAACGTGGGGAATGCGAGCGTGTTGGCGTGCTGTGTGGTCGTTCGGGGTGCTAGCGGCCTGCCTGCGGGGTGAGCAACGCCACCGGGAGGCTGCGTTTGCCTGGCTCTGTGCAGCCCAGAGCGCTGAGGCTGAAAGCGCGCTCGGGTGGCCGTTGCCGCGGGCAACGACAACGCAGCCTCTGGACTGGTTAACGCGGCCGAGCTTGGGGTCTCTGCTGGACTCGGCACCGGCAAATCAAGTCCTTTTGAGGTTTTGGGCTGCGCGCGAGCTCTTCGACTATCTGGTGACGCTGCAGCACGCGGGGCTGTTGCGATGCAGCGAGGGGAGAGGCTTTGCGTGGAAACCGGGGGCACGCTTCGAACTTTTGGAGGGTGCGCTTGTCGAGCGGCAGTTTCGGGAAGCCTGTATACAGGAAGACGTGGCGTGTCTCCGAACGATATTGGTTCGGCTGCAGGTTACGCTCCAACACGAGCAAACGCTGCGCGCGGCGTTGCTACGTCCCGTGCAACGACTAAGTGCAGAGGTGCTACTCTTGCACGTTCATTCCATGCACGTTTCGGCCGCAGTCATGATCGGCGACAGCGCTGGTGCGCGTCAGGCCATTCGTGACGCTATTCGGATCCTGGAGGGCCCCGACGCTGATGGCGCCTTGCAGCAAACTGTGGACCTGACCGCGTGGCGAACACATTTTTGGCTGGAATGGATACGCCTGGTTAGCGTAGAGTCAGGTTTGCAAGCAGCTTTAGCGGAATGCGACGTCGCTGAAGCCGCCGGCGCGGACCCTGAGTGCATTCACCGTTCGCGTCAGGAGATCGTTTTCGCCGTTTCCCTGACGCACGAGAAGCGATGCCCAGCGGCCCCGGATGAGGGTTTACCGCTACAGCTTGACAAACGAGTGAAAGCGCAACCAGAGGAAATCGCTGGCGCAGGCATGCCAGAGACATTGAAGCGCTTTTGGATGATTGGTCTATCCCTGTTGCACGAACATTGCTCGTTTATGCTTGCTCCATCTGCCGTTTCGGCGCTGTCGAGCAGTGCAGAGACTTTATCAGTGTCGAACTCGATGGATGCGGCCAAAATGCGGCGTGAGCATGACTTGCCATGCAGTGCGTGCCCGGCAGAGTCAGACTCGGTGCCAGTACACACCGTCTCCGTGGAGAAGCGCTCGAGCTGGCGCTCTTTGCCTACGTGGCAAACAGACCCGGATTACGACAGTCTCGCTGAGCTTGATGAAGATATCGGCAGGCAGCAGGTTCGAAAGACGCCCATCCGGATTGGATTCGCAGAAGCGCTCGCCGTCGCTTCTACAGCCGCCTGGTCTGCGCGCGCATCGCTGCAAAGCTATGAACTGGTGAAATGCGCTGAATCCCTACTGGTGCTCGCGCAGGCAACGCATTGGCTCTATCGCTTGACGCTAACGATGCCCTCTTTCTGGTTCTGGAGCAGCCTGGGGCGCATTGCCACTCGCGCTGCGGCAGAGTGGCTCCTTGGTCGTGCAGCTGATTTGCGGGCGCTTTTAAAGCAGTCCAGCGGATGGACCGAGCTGCACCGCCGAGCGGGATCCAGTTCCCTGAGCAGGTTCCTAACGCTGCATGTGCTGGAAACATTCGAGCAAAGTACGGACGCCAAGCCGTCGCGGACGCTGTCGCATGATCTCCGGAACGCAGTACTGTCGCTTCAGGAAAACAATATCATCGTTGCGAAGACGTTGCTTGAACCGTGGCTCGATACGGTCGAATCGCCAGCATCCTACGAACACGCGCTCGCGTGCTTTCTCTACGCCCAAACGCTCAGCATGCTCGGAATATACGAAGAAAAAGCGTCGCTGTACCTGGAGCTGGCAGAGAGGGCTAGCATGGCAGGCAATTACAGGATTCTCTCCTACGCAATTGACCAGCTCAGGGCGCGAACCGGGAATCATTATGCGCTCGAAACAACGAACGCAGGCACTGCAGGGTCGCTGCTTAGATCCCGAGAGCAAGCGGAGCAGGAAATTTGGAGCTTTCTGGAACAGAATCCAGCCATTTGTGAGCAACTCGCTGGCGCACTGCAGATGGCGAGCACCCTGGTCGAGCGGGATACCAGCACACCATGAGATATGTCGCGTTGCTACCGAGCTATGGACCAAATGGATGCAGCGTTCTAGACCCGAGGATCGCCTGTTTCTGGTTCAGATCGAGTCACGTGCATCGGACGTGTATGCGGTTCGAATAGCATTCGATAGCGGAGCATCACGGTATTCGAGGCGCGTTGCGCTGAGAGCAGCGAATTCTGGAACACTTGTACCAGCACGCCGTTTACGTTTTTGCTTGCTTCTCTCACAGGTGTTCAATGGGAGCAATGTATCGATTTGATTGGAGGAAGTTCGCGGAAAGATGTGATACTGTCCGTGTAGGTTTGGGAGAAAACAGCCGTCCTTGTACAAGTCAGTTGCTCTACAGTCAGCGCGTGGACGAACCACGTTTCGTTTTTTGTTTATCGTGAACGTCGTGCACCGCAAACGAAAAATATCGAACCATAATGACACGGCTGCATTCTTGTCAATGCATATCACTCCATATGCTCTCTCTCCGGAATATGACCAAAGAAGCCACAGTATATGAAGTTTACGCACCGTTGTTACGAACGGTGATGAAAAGACACAAATAGATAATAAGGAACAAGTGCGCTCTTTGCCGGACCTTCGCGCGTGAACGAGCACACGATCGATAGCTTACTGAAACGCGAATGCTTACGACTGGCGGGGCGGGTGCTCATCTCACTCGATGAGACTGCATCCAGCGGAAATGGAAGACCCGCATATGGGTATTCAAAGAGTGGCACGCCGCTGCTCGCAGGGAAGTAACAAGCGAACATTCCGAGCAAATCAGCACCAACGAAGATTCCATCGCGCGGTCGTCTACGAATCTGCACCCAGACACGATCCTTCAATGCCTTTTCTTTCGTTCAAGCACTCTTCGTGGCTTTGTTTTCACAGATGCTGCTTTGCCGCTCTAGGAAAAAGACGCTTTTTTGTCTTCAGTCAAGCGCGGTCAAAGAGCATGTAGCTGCGATTGGCATTGAGATGAGCTTCATGGCAGACTCTCCTCCCTGGTTTGATTCCGTCTGAGGCGTCTTCTCTGATGTAAACTGTCATTTTACCCTGCGGGATCCATAGAAGACATGTTCACGTCCGTGAGGTCGAAAGATGTTGGACGCTGTGCCATCTCGCCCAGCTACCGTCTCATAGACGCACCTTTTCAACCAACTGTTCGTACGAGTTCCGGGCATGGGGCTATCAGCTGTCCATATTCCTCTGGAACGTATCTATCAAATCTTCATGCGAAAATGCAGTAGATGCTCGGGACAGATGATTCTATTCCGCATGATCGTGGGATCCGCGATTTGCTCACACACACACACAGTCACACGTTCCAGAATACCCTCAAGGATTGGCGCGGCGTTTCAGTGAACAACATCGTTTCGAAAACACTGGTACCAAATCGTATGAAACCAAGCTCAAAGCGAAAAACGACATGCGGTTCCTTTTCGAGCGCTTCCTGAGGTGCGCCCGGTGCCCATGTTACCCGTTGCACCCTCATGTTACTGGCTCGAAAAAGTAAGAACTGTTGGGAACGAGTCTTCAAGTACCAATGAAAGCGAATGACGGGCTAAGAGCGTCCAAGTTCGAGGTCGCAATGACCGTGGAAGAGATGTCGAATCGAGAACGAAAATCGCTTCGAATTGCCCACGCTTATCGTGTCGCTCTCAAACCCGAACCGGGGGTCGTCTTCTCGAAAGCAAAGCTGAAATGTGATGGCTGCCCTGCTCGCATCATGCGCTACTACAACGTTCTCCTGGTCAGAGCTCCCCTGATCAAAACAGACGCCCTTCCCGAATTCGAGCGCCGTAACCTCCTCAAGTGTCCATGCGATGTGGTCCACAGGGTTCACATCGAGGCCCAGGATATCACCGTAGACTCTCGTGTGTACAGTACTGCATCGCGTCCTCTTTGAGTCACACCTTGTCTCTGCGAAAACCGCTGAACGATTCCACCAACTTTGCGTATGGCTTTGGCGGAGCCCGTTCAAGATTTCTCTTTTCCACGGAGGAATTGAAAACAAAATTACATACACGATGGAGACCGACAAAATATGAATCGTCATGCACTTTGTGAAACCGAAGCCCCGTGTTAAGCGACGAGTCTCATCGCTAACCGTTCGCGGATGATGAAGGGAACAACATCCCGACAAACTCGGAACCCGAGCCGAACAGCACCATGGCCGTCGCCGCAGTTCCGGGTCACGACGTCGGAGCCAGGCATCTCCAAACGAAAGCACATGAAGCTGCCTCCAATTACCGAGCGCGGTACCATCGGGATTCCGACATACTGGACACCAGGAGGCATACCACCGAGTGGATAGACGACGTCAGGACTCCTGTGGATGCTGCGAACACCGTATGGAGTACACGGGGTTGCTGTGGACCTTTTTTCCTTCAGAGGTCGTAGACGTACGTCCAAATGGGTTTTGCGGACGATGTCTGGCATGCGTACTCGGGACGGCTTCGAGGTCGCCGACGGTTTCGGTTCGACGGATGCAACAAGCGTACAATCGCCGACTTGTTCAATGCGATGGAAAAGGAAATGACCGACATATTTGGCGATCTAGGGGTCGCCTATGGCGCTGGACTTGTTGGAGCGCGCGCTACAGCCGCACTCCCTCTCCTTCGACAAGGGCGCGCACATCGTGCAGGAATCGATTCTACACGATTCCCATCGATGAATTCAGGACAGCACGCAAGCATCACGACCATGGGAGTACGCTGCTACTGGCGGAAAAGCAGAGCGTCAAACAGGGCACCATGCACCAGAAGGTGTTCGGTTCGTTGACCGAACATCAGACGGCAGGCCTATCCAGAATGAGGGGCATGCTGCGGTGCGATTCCACCATCAGCAATGTGTACAAGCACTTGATGTACTGAGACCTGAACGCGTCGATCGGCATCCGGAAACATCTCGCACCGCCGAAGCGTCTAGCGCCTCTGTGTCGAGCGGTCTTTAGCGTCAATCGTTTCGTACCGCTTGAAGACATTTCGCTGAAATGCTCCAGACTTGATGAAAAATAACGGCGGCCAGCAGAGCATGTATTGGATGTTTGCCTGGAGCGGGGCACTGGGGTTATAGGGTCGGGAAGCCAACGATGCTGGCATACCGTATGTCTATGTACGATGCGATCGGTTCTCCCTGGAAACTGATGCGCGACAATGCTGTTCCAGGATTCCATATGACTGCGTACATGCCACTGGGCAATGCGTTCAGTAACGACAAGTGGTTGTGGCGGATCAGCTGGTCCACTACAGCAGTTTTCACTGCTACCTTCGGCTTACTGCTCATTCATGCACCGTCATCATTGAACAGATCGGCGTCAACACTTTGGATCGAACGATCCGTACCGCAAGTCGTGTCGAAACTGCTGGTGCGCTGCTCCGGGCTGCTGCACCCGTATCAATAGACGAAATGCGGGATGTGCATGTCCAACGCTGAGCGACCGCCGGGGATGACGTTCTCATTAGGTTCATGGATCGCCCCAGGTGCATAAAAGGCACTTTAAATCAGACTGGTGCGACTTTCGTCTCCTGAAACGCCCGCTACACCGCTCAGATGCAGCGCATGCGCCCCGGGACGCAGCGGTTGCATCTGAGAACCTGTCCAGCTTTCTGGCTTTCAATCTACCACAGCAGCGACCTGTTTCCGGGTCTCAGTATCGTATGCAGCAAGACGCGGATATTCCCGCAACTAGCCACTGATCGTTGCTGATCACAGCGACTGCAAAAAATTCCAGCTGTTCGCTCGGAATCCGGACTGTAGGTTCGAGCGTGCAGTCTCGGGCGCAGATGACTGCAGGCTCTGGTCCACCAACAGACGACCATACCCGAGACAAGTGTTCGCAACCATTGCTCCACTCCGAGCAGTCTGAACAGCATCCAACAACGGAGGGGCCTCCGCAACCAACATGGACCCCGCTGCGGACCCCGGCAACGCTGATCCCTTTGGAAACGCGCACCCGACTGCTGCACCACACGGCCAGTGTACAAGACCGAGCCTGGCATGCAGTCCGCTGCACCCACAATCGGTAACCACCGAGCATGCACGCAGCGCTATATGAAGAGCAATGAATCCGGGAAATCTGCTGGTAGCTCTCAAGCTTGGGGATGCAGCGCGCTGGTCGCTGAATGGCCGGACCTCCAGCTCAGTGTACCACGTTATCGATGGAGCATTTCTCATGGGGACCAGCTCGCTGCCTCGCTTTCAAGCAGTCTGACACGGTAAACAATGAGCCAATCTAGTCTATGGGCTGCTCTCTCTCGGGAATCGCCAATGACAACAAAAAAGATTCGCAAGATATCCGAGACACCGCCTCTCCGCAGCGACAACGGGATCATCATCGCTCACCGGGTTGCTCAAATACCTTCGTACTCGGACAGGAGCGGTCGCTGCCGTCAGTATTGCCTATAATCAATGGGGATTCGGCGAACGCTGGTTGCCTGCACCGGTCGAATACCGCACCCAAACAACGTCCTGGCTGTTGGCGGTAGTGCGTCCTCCGCGCGTCATCCAATAATGTACATTTTGATACCACAATTGCTATTCTTATCCGTATTTTCAAATCGCCATGACGGTCGCACGCATGCGGAGCGCTGGTGGCGTCATGGCGCTGACCCCGCTCCCTGGGATGCAGTGTCGAACTTGCTGCTCATGTCGGATGCTACGGCTTTTCGGGAAGAACTGAGTTTTCTGGAGTCTGGGACACGTGTGTTACAGGAGCAGTTCATCGAAATCGAGTCACTTTGGAGCCAAGTAGGTGCGCTCGAGCGTTGCGTCTGCGACTCCACACTGTATGTTCGAAAGTGGCTTCGTGAACTCGCAGCGCACTGTCCCGTGGCAGATGAAGCAACGCTGACAGCGCTCTTCGAGCGCGTTAACGAAGCAGCTCGAGTGTCGTCTGGTGGCTCGGGGACTGCCTCCGCCGTTGCCGTAGGTACAACAGTCCCGAAGGACCCGCGAGACAGCGGGCTGCTAGCAGCACGGAGCGGCCCCGCAGCAAAAGAGTCACTGCGAGAAGCTGGTCAACGCGCTGCATCCTCGGCGCTCAAAGTGTGCAGCAAGGCGGAGCGTGATCGGAAAGAAGTTCGTAAGCTCTTGTCGAAGCTGGAGAACCAACGCCTTCGAACGGATCCGCAGCTGGAAGCGGTGCTAATGTTGCTGTGGCGGAACCGGCCTGCCGGGCTCTATGTGCATGATCTCATGCAAGAGACGCGACTCTCGCGAATGCGTTTGAACACGTTTCTGCACGCCTTGGTGAAGAGTGGCTTGGTACAGAAACAGGCTCGGAAGGGCTTGATCTATTCGCTGTGTCGAGAGCACTGCGGCTGATGTGCAGGCATCGCGCGAGCGCGCACACCAGGTTTCGAAGGTCTCGCGACGTCCAGCTGCAGACTCTAGCCTGGCGAAGTGGTCGATCGCACGGGTAGCAAAGTGTTCCAGCAGGCAACAAGTGTATTTGTCCAGGAATCGAAATAAGTACCAGCTGTGTCACGATGTCATGAGCATATCCCGCACCTGCAGCATGACAAACAAGTATGCCCATATCGCTGCGGTCGACGCCCGTGAAAGCCAGTCAGACGGACTCCATCACGTTTACACGCGTATGTGTTGGTGTTCGTGCGCTGAAGAATCATTTCGAAAAGCCGCCCATGCCGGACGCGCTAAACTGCACCCCTGCGTCAGCATACGCCCACAACGACATGGGATGTCGTGTGCGTCGCCTCGTAGAGGCGGACGTTTACAGCACCTAAGCTGGCTCGAGCGATCCTGTCTGCAGGAACGCTGCACTGTGTGCCTCTGTTTGCATCTGTCGCCTGTGGGGCGTTCACGGTACGTGAAGCCCCCGATGCACGAAGATTCGTGCCTCTATGGAAGCCGCGAATATGCATGAGGCCGTAGCGCCTTGGCGGTGCGTCTGTGTGCTTCTCTCTCTCTCTGTGTGTGTGTGTGTGTCTGTGTCGTCCAGTACACTGTGGATGCATGAAGAGCTCAGCGTTGCCCGCTATGGCATCCACGGTAGCGTCGTCGACGGCAAGCATGCTTTTCGTCTCGCAATCACGCGTTCGGCCTGCTTCTTGGAAAAAAAGTCGCTTCAAGGAGCACTCGACATTTGCGAAACTGACATAGAATCTTCTGGTTCCTCGAGATTCTGCTCAAACTTAGGCTCTGCGTTGCTTGCGCTTTGGAAGTTTCGCGCTGCGCGAGAGCACTTCAGCGTCAGGTCTACCGGGCGACGCCTAGTCGAGAGACGACCAAAGGACTTGCTCGCTCGTTTGCTGCACACTATGAGACTATAAAAGTACCGTGCAGTATAGGCGTATTTGGGAGATTTTATACTAGTGTGTTCTGAGCGCCCTTGAGACAGTGAAGCGCCTCTGAGCCCACTGCTTCCCCTGCAGTGCACTTGAACATGGAAACACCACTACTACGAGCGCTGGTGCGACGCATCCGCACACTTGGACCGCTGACAGTCTCAGAGTACATGCAGACTTGTGCACTGCACCCGCAATACGGTTACTACCAGACCGGCAAGGACAAGATCGGTCGAAAAGGTGATTTTGTCACGGCTCCAGAGGTATCTCCGATCTTCGGAGAACTCGTAGCGCTCTGGTTCATGGTCCAGTGGCGCGACTGGCTCCAAAGTCCTAGACAGATTCGTCTGATAGAGCTCGGACCAGGGACGGGTACACTGATGAAGAATATGTTACAGACAGCGCGACAGTTTCCAGAGTTTTACCGCGCGCTCCATGTCCAGTTGCTTGAAGCGGGTCGTCCGTTTCAAGCGCGGCAGCAAAGCATGCTCCAGGCTTACGTACAAGAGCGCAAAGTCTCATGGTTGGACGCTTTAGATCTTGATGGATTTGATGCGTCAGCTGGTAGCGACAGCGGGCCAGTTATGTTTCTCGCGCATGAATTCCTAGACGCACTGCCGGTACACCATTTTGTGCGCTGCCAGCGTATCCAGCAGCAGCAGCAGCAGCAGCAGCAGCAGCAGCAGCAGCAGCAGCAGCAGCCAGTCGCATGGTCGGAGCGCTTGGTCGATATCGTGGACGGTGGCGAGACGAACAGCCCGCGCCTTCGCTTTGTTCAGAGTCGCGGTATCACGCCGGCTGCGGCGTTGTGGACGAGCCATCCGCTGCTTCGGCCGATGCTCGAGCACGAACAACTCACGGCAATTGAGGTACCGACGGGTGCCATGGCCGTTATCGAACGAATATGTCGGATCATGAGTCAACGTGGCGGTGTCGCGCTAGTCGTGGATTACGCCAAAGCGGCGGAACCGCCGTTGGCATGCACTTTGCGAGCGGTGCGGCAGCATCGGTTCGAGGACCCTCTGGTTGCGCCCGGCGAGGCGGATATCACCGTTGATGTGGACTTTGACTTGCTTGCAAAGGTAGCGCAGGCGACTGCTCCAGCTTTGCAGGTGCATGTACTGAGCCAGCGTGAGTTTCTCTTGCGTATGGGCTTGCAAGTTCGTCTACAGGTGGTTGCCCGCAAACATCAGGATGCAGCGTCCCGTTTATTTGCTGCTTGTCAGCGGCTGATCGCACCGGAAGCAATGGGCCACGTCTATCAAGTGATGGGTATTGCATCTTCAATACCGAATGGCAATCGGGCGCCATACGATGTGCTGTTTCCGTTCCACGCGCGGCCTAGCACCTAAGTCGAAAGAGAGTGTGCCTCTACGCACACGCGCAGCGTTTTCCTTTGGTTGCACGCTCGGTCCAGGGCCATTGCAGTGCACCGGAATTGCGAGTGCCTTTGGAATGACCCTCTGGTGCAATGTGTGTACGCGTTGCGGAAGATTCATTGTGAACGCGCTGCATGATGCGCGCGAGGCGCCGACCCAGACCTTGTGGCTATGCGCTCCGAAACCCCCAGCACGAAACGGCGTCGTCGTAGGGTCACTTGGGCGCGAGGCGCGGCTGCGTCAGTCTATTAGCGCACTGAACTGCATGACAAGAACGGACGCCTAGACAGCAGTCGTCGAGCTGGGGCTCTCTGTACAGTTTTTCAGTTCTCGTGGTGTGACATTCATAAAGAAGCGATTTTTACAAGTCTGTGACATAAAGGGTGGTGCTCCAGCGCGTCTGCTCGATGAAGGATTGCCCCGAACCGTGGGCCTAGGCACGTCACCACCAAAAGAACGCGTTACGTACGCCATAAGCATATGCCGCAGCATGCTCATCGCGCAGCTCTCCATCGACAGATCAAGCTGGTTATCGTGAAAGCCATCCAGGTCCGCGCTTGCCCCGCCGGACTATATAAAGAAGAACGGAGACTATGGAATCATCCGTAGATGTCTATCCAGGCATGTATGTATATTTGCGTACCTGTATCGGTGCGTGGATACGTGTGTATAGCCACACAAGCATTCGTGGTTGTACTCGTGCTCAGGTGCGTGCATGCCGTCATGCAAAAGCGCCAATGTACATGTGCGTGCCTCCGTGCCTTCGTCTACACACACCCATGAGCATCCTTGCAAGTATTCATGCGTTCATCTACGCATGCCAATGTATATCATGACGTGCATTCGAGCACGTTGCTTCTTGGCGCTCGCACGCAACCGCGATGCAAACGTCGCTACCGTAAACCGACTATGGAGCTGGTTTTTTGGACCCTTTCGCAAAAAGCAAACAGTTACAGAGTCTGTCGGGTTCAGATACGATTCGCTCCGACGCTTCCTAATGATTTACGTGTCCTTTGATGACAATAAAGGCGACCAGAAGTGCTTGCTCTTACAGCATCGAGCGCGCAAGTCGGAGCAGCGGAAGCACGCCCTCTGAGGCAGCATCTACGGACACTAGGCGCGTATCCGGGAGCCTCTGGCTCCATTCATCGACCAGTGACCAGAAAAGAAACCCCCTTGCGATCTTTGGAACACCAAGAGTTCCACGCCTGACGCCCGAAACCGTTGGTGCGTTGCTTAAAGAGAATTTCTTCTGCTTTTGGCGAGCTGTCCAAACGCCAAAACGCAGCCATTCGAACATAGGAAACACTAGAGCATCCGTCAATTCCAGCCGCGAAGCCACCGGCGTTTCTGCTGTTCCTCGATGGTCAGGTAGAGGCCGTAGATCCATGGTGAGAAGTAGATAAACGCCGCAGCGGCAAGCAACACACCAATCGTTACAAGTTGATAGTGCCCCGTTCTCGCAAGGGGTGCGCGATCCACAAGCAAAGCAGTAAGCAGTATACCGTACAGGAGACCTGGCAAATAATGGTACAGGAATGCAGCTCTTTTGACACCGATGTAGGGAAGAAGATTCAGGAGCCATCCGGTAAACAAATATGTGCCTAGAGCGTACAGCTTCTGCTGTGAGCGGCGTTGCTTCTTCGGGAGCTCCGCAGTCTGCAGTCGCCGCGGCGCTCGATCCCCGAAGCCACCGAGTCCAGCGATGAAATTTTGGGCGAGAAGAAATCCGAAAAAGAGCAACGAGCAGAGGACACTCCAGGCAATTACAGGATTCAGAATTAGGTAAACCCGAGCCTCGATAACGGGGTATTGGCTCCGAGGGGTAACCCCAGTCCCGTGCTGATTTGCTTCGGCAGGTGCGCTTCGAGTCGTCTTCGGATTCTCCGCCCATGGCGCTCGTTTGGTCTGAATCCAGTACAGAATTCCTCGTAGGTTCAGTGGCCAGGACCACCACTTGCTTTCCCAGTGGTGCCGTCCAGGCACTTGTGCGTTCGCGCGCAACATCTCCTTATTCAGATAAACGAATTTGCGAAAGAATGGAACCGGCGCGGCTGCAGCATTGTACTCGGGTGAGCCGATGAGTTTCGCTCGAAAATCAGGTAGCATGAAGGCATCCCCGGAGCCACTCCGCGGAAGCAATCGGAAGTGTATCCAAAAAAATGATGTGTATAACGCTAGCGCAAGCAGTCCGACGAAAACACATTGCCACAGGGGAATCCGTTTCTGCGACCGCAGCAGGGCTCGGCTCCCAAAGACGGACACCACACCGGCTAGCGCAGGCGTCGCTAGCGCCGTCCACTTGATGGACAAGGCCAGGCCAGCGGAGATGCCACTCCAGTAGAGCCATCTCCATCGGGCTCGAGTGCCATCGCGAGTCCGCCACAGGCGAAGCACACAGTAGAAATGTAAAAGCAAGAAGAATAGTAACTGTGAGTCTGTTAATATGTGACGCGACTCGATTGTCGTTGCAACTTCCAAGAGTACCCAGGCAGCGGCAAGCACACTAGCCGCTACGTGCAACGAGAGCTCCCGAGCAACCAGGTACATCAGCGGTACCAAAAGCGTGCCGAAGACTGCCGCTACAGTGCGCGCACCCACGTATGACTTATCGGGATATTCTGCTCCAATTTGATCGTAGCTGAAACTCGCATTGTATCCATGAAGATACGCACCTAGGGCGAGTAGGAGCTTCCCGAGTGGCGGGTGGATATCGAAGAAGTACTCGCCCGTGAAGTATGCTTCCACAAACTTGCCAAAGTGAAACTCATCGAATACAACTGCCTTTGGCTCCGACAATCGCCAAAAGCGTGTCAACGCTGCAAAGATGGTTAGCAACACCAGTACGACCCCATCGAGAAGAGCGGCGTACGGCTCGGCGTTCGAGCGCAGTGAGCTGTCGCCTTCCACTAGGGAGGCGCCTCTGCTTCCTGACGCCGTCTCTGTCGTTCGATTCAAAGGCGGTCTCATGGCTATGTGTTTTCCTCGAGCTTTCGAGAGGTCCGGAGTTCCCTGTGCTCCGGAGCGACTGTTTTTCGGGAGTTGCTGGGCGCTCTCGTGGCGGTGCATCTGCAGTACTTGCCCAGAGGTCAGCACACGCCGAGTCTGTGAACACGCTGTGGATCGTGCAGCACGCGTGAAAGAGTGATCAAATCCGGCCCAAAGCAGCAGTGGTGAGCGCTGCGAAGCCACGCGACACCCACAAGGGAGCGGCGCTATAGAAAGTTGCGTTTACGGACGTTCGCGCCTTTACAAATTCGCGGGCAGTACGCAGGCACGAGTCGTGGCGGGAGCGTTTTGCGGCCTGCCTCGAAGGGCGTTTCCCTAACGACTGCATGCTTGCCGTCGACGACGCTACCGTGGATGCCATAGCGGGCAACGCTGAGCTCTTCATGCATCCACAGTGTACTGGACGACATAGACACACACACACACACACAGAGAGAGAGAAGCACACAGACGCACCGCCAAGGCGCTACGGCCTCATGCATATTCGCGGCTTCCATAGAGGCACGAATGTTCGTGCATCGGGGGCTTCACGTACCGTGAACGCCCCACAGGCGACAGATGCAAACAGAGGCACACAGTGCAGCGTTCCTGCAGACAGGATCGCTCGAGCCAGCTTAGGTGCTGTAAACGTCCGCCTCTACGAGGCGACGCACACGACATCCCATGTCGTTGTGGGCGTATGCTGACGCAGGGGTGCAGTTTAGCGCGTCCGGCATGGGCGGCTTTTCGAAATGATTCTTCAGCGCACGAACACCAACACATACGCGTGTAAACGTGATGGAGTCCGTCTGACTGGCTTTCACGGGCGTCGACCGCAGCGATATGGGCATACCTGCTAGCAGATTTTCCCCTGCATCGTTCGATGATGAATGTACCACATGTTCACAATTCTCGGTGTGGCCAGCGTACGCCCTAACTGGATCATGGAACTTTTCCTGTTCGACTGGTGCTCCGCAATTACCTGCATATTTCTCTATGGACATCAATCCGGCTGTGTTGTAGGCACCTTACATGGCGAAGCGCCTTTCTCGCCCCAGTCGCCGCCCAAGATGGGAAAAGCGATGTCGGTAGTCGCCGACAGCGATACGAACTTTCAATGCTGCTGCTGCTGCTGCTGCTGCTGCTGCTACACCCGCGCACTGGGAACGCGAGTCACAGCGTACCCGACAACGCAGTCACTCTGTTCGTATCCGGGGCCATTCAAACTAACGCTTCGTAGGTTTTTGCGGAGTTGGCGAAACACTGCAAAGACTTTCTCCAACTGCAGTACCCGCGTGAATGACGAACGCGTTCTCGGAGGAGTTGGCACTGGAAGCTGCTGGCCTAGACGCAATCTTCGGAAAAGACTTCAAGGCTGAGGAGACCACGACAGGACACGTTCGTTGGAGTGTACCCCTCTCACACAACGGCGTGGAACTGGAGCTGGCGTTTCTTTTAGACAGTGCATATCCACTTGACAGCGAACCTCAAGTGCGCGTGACTTGTAAGGAAGGCCTTTCACTGCGTGCAGTACGGGAGCTCGAAGGGCACCTTCAAAAGGTAGCCGCGGAGAATCGTGGTTCTCCCAGCGCTTATCTGCTGTACACAGCTGCGCAAGACTGGATCGATACGCACGATCGACGAGAGGCTGCCGAAGCTATCAGCGCTACGATTGCGTCCACGAGGCTTTCTGCTCGCGAGCCGGACTCGGCGGGCACCGGAACTACTTTCGAGACCAAAGCCGAGAGCTTTACCCAACTCGTCGAGCACGAGACGCTCGAACATGCCACCATAGACCGAACGCTGGGCACGCCGGTCACACCGGAGACTTTTGCCGCTTGGAAACAGGAATTCGACAAGTATCTACTGGAAAACGGTATCCTCGATATCGCAAATAACGCAGATATCGAATTAGACGCCTCCCAAGGCGGCTGGAAAGGCAATTCGCGGCGGAAACCTACTGGTCGTGAGCTCTTCACCATGCACAGGGAAATGTTCGTCGATGATTTCGAGGAAAGTGATCAATGCGAAAGCACGGCGTCTGGAGCATGCGACACTCAAGGCAGTGAACTAGCAGAGCATGTGGACGCCTCACTGTTTCTCTCGTGATCTGTTCCAGTCTCTGGAGAGCGTGAACACGGCACCAGAAGCCACAGATACATCGCAATCCCAAGCTGTGTCTGTCTGTGTACGCAGAACATGACCCTTGGGTTCCCGACTCCGCGGGCGCACACGATGCCAGCCAGCAACCTCAAGTGCGGCTCGCAGCGTGACCGAGATCAGCACGCTCAGGATGACGTATGGTAAACTCATCTGGCGTGAAGATTACTGCCTACTGGGCCCCGAATCATTTGGAACAGGCAACTGATCTTGTGTTTCTAGTCGTGAAGGCGAGACGCTTCGTCGAATGCTCACGAGCGCTGATGTGGCGGCTCATTGGACGTGTGACGCAGTCTACGCAGCGGCTTGTCTTTATGGTCCATGAAAACATGCCGTTGTGGTCATGCGAATGGATGCAAAGCAATGCATGACGGCCGCACGGGTTCCGACACAAGTCCCGCATCGAAGAAAACCGGTTCTCAAGCGATGATCGCGGGCGCGGCACTATGAACCATGTCTGCGAATAGCGCGTTAGGGGGCTCCCCATGTATGGAATGGTGTGAGCGTGGCCTTCATGCGCCATGCAGAGCATGACGTCGTGAGAGGCGCAGCGGAAACAAGGTAAGCACGCGCGTTTGAAGACCCAAGGTCTCCTGCATTTGTAGAAATGGCTTGTAAATAAGGCGCTTTCTCGAAAGGTGATGTGCGAATGATTGTCCTGTGGAGTGTGATGGACCGGTGCGCTTGCGCTCTTTCAGGGCGCAACCTGCCACCGTGGTGCTCGGCGATATCGGATGCGGTGCCCGGATATCTGTCCTGCTGTTTAGGGCGTCGTCGGAGCCGAGAGCACGGTAACGAGAAGTCACGCCCACATGGAGTCTCGATCCAGGGGTATGCGTTTGCGTATAGTGACATTCGTGGCAAACTGAAACGGAGCGGATCGCACCCAGCGATTTTGGGCGTAAACGCTTCACCCTGGGTCTTTTGCTACGTATATCAATACAGCCCTTTGCGAGATTTTTCTCTAACTGCATGGTTTCCTTCTCTCCTATCTCCGGTTGGAAGCTCGGCAGTCTATCGTTTCCCCTTGAGCGCTGTTTTCAATAGTCGAAATATGAAGCGTTCGGGCGCAGGTTTCACCGCTTCTGGCCGTCGTCGACGCCTTTGATGCGAAGATGGAAGTTGGGATCTACGCGCTGCTTACAATGTTCGTCTTCTTTGTATCCAGCTTGGTTGCGCAATTTCCAGCGGTGAAGCTTGAATATGGTTAGGTGTCACCGAATACCCATTACACCTCCGCTTCCGTGCGATGTTCTTTGGTGCATGGACGCATGTTTCAGTGCTCGTTGCATGTCTCCGACGCATGCAGAAAGCTGCTTTCGATGTCGTCCTCCGTTTCCGTGCTCGATGCCATAACCTACAATTACGGGCTTCTTCTGGGCGATCCCCTCGGCAAGTACGCTGCACACTGCATGCGCAAGTGGAAGCAGTTCTATTCGAATGAGGGTTTCTCGTATGTGATGTAACCCATGGTGATAAAATTACCGGACGAAACATTCGCGCTAAGGAATAACTCGAGAAATTTCGATCCTTCTACACTTCATTCGCGCAAAGCGGTGACGGACGCTCCAATGGAAGCGATGGCTGCAATGACACATATCCGACTCCAGCGCCCTTTCCCGAGCGAGCAGAACAGACAGAGGTTTCCGGGCGCATATCGCATGAGAGATATCAAGCCATTGCCGAATGCCGTCTTGTCGAAGGCCATGAACAGACGGCGATTCGCCTTTCCTAAGGACTCGATTACTTTTGGTGAGCAGTTCTGCGAACCGGCGGTATGAGCGTGTGAACAAGTCGTCAACGCAGGTCTTCGAAGTTTTCCTCTTCAATCTGAGTATGCGAATTCCTTTGGCCGCGAGTTGCCTTGAAACAGCGAGATCAAAAACCTGAAGCATGCGCGACTTGAGCATGCTGCATTTGAAGGAAGGATGACGCGGAATTCTGAACATAAGCATTCGATACTGATATCGCTTCGTTCATGAAATCTAGACAGAGAGCGTCGCGCATATGATCTTGATCCCAGTCATGTGACGGATTCCAAGAGCAACGCGTGGAAGAGACTATTCCGAAAAGGCGACCGAGAAATTTGAACCTACGTACGAACTGAACAGCCTTATCGCTACGCGTCGGTAGCCGGTGCTCTAAATCAAAACGCGGTCGGGAAACTAGTCGAAACGTAGGCACCGGGCGACCGGTTCACTGTTCCGTTTTTATCTGACACGGGAATAGGAGAGGAAAGCGGCAAAATCGAGTCTTTCCTAGATATACGCAGCTCAATCGTACGCAGTTGGCTCTGTTGGCAACGCACTAGCGTCCAAAGCGATTGCAGTCGACTGCATCGCCTCGATAAGGCGAAATACGCACTACCAAATGTCATCTTTAGACAACAGGCAGTCTTTTAGTTTTTATGATCTCAATATGGATGGCGCTCTGAAGGCGCGTCTGCTGAATCCATGGCAAGTTCTGACGCCGGGGCTCGTACTCGTCCAGGAGAGGGACCGAGCTCGTCTGGACGCTATAAGTGAGCCAAGTGCCGTAGCGTTCTACGAGCACCAAGCAAGCCCGAATAGCTCGTTCCATCGCCCTTCCCGTCGCGTGGAGCGTGAAGGTATTATACTGTTTATCAAAAAGTACCCGTCTTGCTCGTTCGAGCACGCCCACGAAGCGACAAGAGCCACTGAGAAAAATTTCGTTCTGCTGGCTTCTCCGACGCCCAACCGGAGGCGAGCGGAAGCGGTACAGCTCAGGGTCTCGTAGTTGACTCTTGGATACGTCGCAGCGGACGTCGTTGGGATCCTTGTGCTCAGCGCGAGAGCGTGCGTTGCTGAACGCGAGCACCAGTGGCCGTACCTCGTCGGTGCAGCTCACGCTGGACTGTCGCAGGTGTTTCGCTGATTTTCCGCTGCCCTCAGCGCCCTGCGACTTGCGTTTTTTGCCCGGGGACATACCGCATGGAGCTGCAGTCGAAGAACGCACGCGATCCCCTGCTTGGCCTTACGATGGTTGGTCGAAAGCACACGCGAGCGCTCTGCGTTGCACGTCGGCTCTCGACTCGCACCTGATATCGATACGGCGTACTTGCTCATTGCGGAACTGCGTCTGTAGAGCCGAGGTACGGACAGTGTCTCTTGTTCAGTGATGTATGATATGTACTATATGGTTTGATTCTGTACAATTAGATTATATATTGAGACAGCACCTGTGTCGGCGGCGCAGTATGTCCAAGAAGCTCAATGTTTCTTCGATCCACCTGGCACCAGTGCATGTTCTGATGCGGGCAGCTAGTCGGGGGCGGCAAATTATCACGAGCGTTTGCCTCCAGATAGAGGCCAGCTCGCCTTCGAATCCGCTTTGGTGCAAACAACTAATTCGGGATATGGTGAAAGCGTAACCATCTGGAATATACAAGTACTTGAATGGCAACGCTTGGATCTTGCACCTCCTGTGTAATTCCTGGAACGAAGCGAACGCACTATAGCTCTTGCGACTGGAATGAAGACGGCGTTTGCTTTTCCGCAAGCAGCATATTGGAAACGGAAACACTCCCGATTCCAAGTTTCCCTCAATGGCAAGAGATATGTTCACTATCTCTCCTCGGGAGCTGTAGGCACGCATGAATGAACCGAGCGCACTGTTGGAATGCGACAAGCGGGAACGGCACATGTTTTTTGTAAATTCCAAAACAGATCTTATCTCACGAGGACGAATTTCAGGAAATATCCTCATACATCTGAATTTGTGCACGCAACCTGACGCGGATATACTGTTTGCGCACATAGATACCCTCCTTGTCTGGATCAATGCCGGCATACTTGAACGAAAGTACTGCGTGCACGCAAGGACATTCTCCGTGCCACATACGGTCAGTGACACAAAAACTGTCCGACGACCATGAAGAGTAAATATGTCGACTTACGCACAGACGCCTCCCAGCCTTGTCTGGCCGGCCCCTGGCATCGGTTTCAGTTCCTCTCTGCACACTTCGAGCCCGAGGGCATGCTGTACAAAGTTTGCATCGCTCAGCCTTTAGAGTGCCCTTTGCAGCACAGCACATTTCCTGATACGGGTACCGGCGTTGAAGTCTCTGTTCAGACACCCCTTGCGTTTGTTACCACTCGTCAGAATCCCCAATGCAGGGATTCCTCGAACTTGTGCCCGCAGTTCCATGACAGCATCGTGGTCGTCTCATCGGACAAGCACGCTTTCTTCTTCCTTTTCGTCACTTGCGCTTCTTCACTCGATAGTCTGCGAGCAGCGTATTTGTCTCGTTTCTGCCCAACAAGGCAATGAGTGCCAGCCAGAATCCCCGACTCGCCTGTCCATACCTTTCCCTTAGATATTTTACTCCTTCCAACGAACGTACTTTGCGCATATATGGTATCCAACGCGAAAGAAGCATAGGATAACACATATCCATAGCCGGTACACAATTGAAGTGATATGCTGGAAAACGCGAAAAAGCATAGGATAACACATATCCATAGCCGGTACACAATTGAAGTGATATGCTGGAAAACGCGAAAAAGCATAGGATAATACATATCCATAGCCGGAACACAATTGAAGTGATACACTGGAAAACGCGAAAAAGCATAGGATAACACAGACTCGTAGCCGGAACACAATTGAAGTGATACACTGGAAAACGCGAAAAAGCATAGGATAACGCATATCCATAGCCGGAACACAATTGAAGTGATATGCTGGAAAACGCGAAAAAGCAGATGATAACACACACTCATAGCCGGTACACAATTGAAGTGATATGCTGGAAAACGCGAAAAGCATAGGATAACACACACTCATAGCCGGTACACAATTGAAGTGATATGCTGGAAAACGCGAAAAAGCATAGGATAACACACACTCATAGCCGGTACACAATTGAAGTGATATGCTGGAAAACGCGAAAAAGCAGATGATAACACACACTCATAGCCGGTACACAATTGAAGTGATATGCTGGAAAACGCGAAAAAGCATAGGATAACACACACTCATAGCCGGTACACAATTGAAGTGATATGCTGGAAAACGCGAAAAAGCATAGGATAATACATATCCATAGCCGGAACACAATTGAAGTGATACACTGGAAAACGCGAAAAAGCATAGGATAACACACACTCATAGCCGGTACACAATTGAAGTGATACACTGGAAAACGCGAAAAAGCATAGGATAATACATATCCATAGCCGGAACACAATTGAAGTGATACACTGGAAAACGCGCGCCACCGCCGTCGACGCCGGCGCGCTTCCGCTGGAGCACTGCGCGTCCGCCGGCTCCTGCACCCGGTGCCGTGCCCGGGTGTGGACTTGTCGTTTGGGGAGTTGTTGCACGGCGGGTGGGTCGCCACTCCAGCTACGGTTGCGTTTGAACTGTGCTACTTTCTATCTTCAGACTGGGCACGTTCATCGCGATGGACTATGACCTGCAGACTTTCTCCTCAGCAGAGCTGAAGGCCGTAGGTGCTGTTCAGTTCGGGCTCCTGTCCCCGGACGAACTGCGGCGCCTCTCGGTGGTGCGGGTTGAGTACGACGTAGCGTTCGAGCGTGGCGTGCCCAAGGCCGGGGGGGTGCTGGATCCTCGGCTGGGGGCAATCGACCGGAACTTTCCATGTGCAACTTGCGAGGGGTCGTCGATCGACTGTCCGGGGCACTTTGGTCACATCGAGCTGGTCAAACCGGTGTTCAACGTGTTGATGCTGTCCACCGTGCTGAAAACGCTTCGTTGCGTGTGTTACTATTGTTCCCGTTTGCTTGTTGATGGTTCAGACTCGCGCATGCTGCGGGCAGCGAGGATTAAGGATCCCGTCAAGCGTTTTCAGGCGGTTTTTCAACTCTGTAACGGAACAAGGGTTTGTGGCGGAGGCGCCGACAGCTCGGAGGAACAGCTGATGCTGCCTGCCGCCGTTCTCGAGGCTAGGGAGCGTATTGGCAAGCCTCGGGAAGGGTGCGGGAACCTTCAACCACATGTAACACGTGACGGCCTGCGAATTCTCGCGGAGTTTCCTGACGCGGAGGCCTTTGCAGCCGAGCGCAAGCAGGAGCTTGCCGCAGAGCGCGTCCAACAGATATTCCGACACATTCGTGACGAAGACCTAGAGCTCCTCGGCTTTCATCCGCGGTTTTCCCGACCAGAATGGATGGTTCTGAGCGTGCTACCGGTGCCGCCACCACACGTGCGACCCTCGATCCAGATGGATGCAGTGTCACGAGGGGAGGACGATCTGACGTTCAAACTGGGCGACATCATCAAGGCGAACAATGCCCTGCAGCGACTGGAGGCGGAAGGAGCGCCCGCCCATGTTATTCGGGAGCAGTACGTGCTTCTGCAATTCCACGTTGCCACATTTATGAACAACGATTTGCCGGGCATGCCTCGAGCGACACTGAGAAGTGGACGTCCGCTCAAGTCCATCGCCCAACGACTCAAAGGCAAAGAGGGTCGTGTCCGCAACAATCTCATGGGCAAAAGGGTGAACTTTTCGGCACGAACGGTGATCACTGCAGATCCGCAGCTGGCGCTTGATGAAGTCGGTGTCCCGCGCTCCGTGGCTATGACCCTCACCTACCCCGAAGTAGTAACGCCGTATAATATCGACCGCTTATGGGAAGCGGTGCGAAACGGACCCAACGCCTATCCGGGTGCATTGTTTGTGATTCGAAACGATGGCAAGCGGATTGCGTTGCAGTTTGTGCGCCGATCGGCGGATATCGTGCTCGAACCGGGCTGCGTCGTGGAACGACACCTTCTGAACGGAGACCTAGTGCTCTTCAATCGTCAACCGTCTTTGCATCGCATGTCGATCATGGGACACCGGGTGCGCATCCTACCGTACTCAACGTTCCGCATGAACCTCAGCGCAACCAGTCCCTACAATGCGGATTTTGACGGTGACGAAATGAACCTTCATGTCCCGCAGTCGGAGGAGGTTCGAGCGGAAATCAAGGAACTCATGGCAGTCCCCAAGAATATTGTATCTCCGCAGGCAAATCGCCCAGTGATGGGCATCGTGCAGGATTCACTGCTGGGCTGCATGCTCTTTACATTGCGAGATACGTTTTTGGAGGAAGACACGGTCTTTAATCTTCTGTTGCACTTGCCGCACTTTGACGGACGCATTCCGGCACCAGCAATTCTGAAGCCGCGGCCACTCTGGACGGGAAAGCAGATCTTTTCGCTGCTTTTACCAGACGGCGTGAATCTAGAGCGCCTCTCCAACGGACATCCCGATCATGAGCGTACAATCATGACGCCCAGTGATACTCGCGTGCTCATCCAGAACGGAGAGCTCATCACCGGCATCGTAGACAAACGCACGGTAGGATCCAGCGCGGGGTCGCTGATTCACGTCACCTGGAAGGAGTCAGGTCCAGAGAGAACGAGTCAACTGATCTCCGATATTCAACTCTTAATCAATTATTGGCTTATGCAGAACGGTATGAGCATTGGCATTGGAGACTGTATTGCTGATGCACACACCATGGCCGCTATTAACCGAACGATTCAAGAAGCGAAGGACGAGGTGCGGCAGCTTATCCGTCTGGCACAAGAGGGTCGCCTCGAGCGTCAGCCCGGCAAAACGATGCTGGAGTCGTTCGAGGCCTGCGTGAATCGCGTACTGAACAGTGCCCGCGACAAGGCCGGTGGCTTTGCACAGGAGAGTCTCCTTCCAAGCAACAACATCAAGCGGATGGTGTCCGCCGGCAGCAAAGGCTCCTTCATTAATGTTTCCCAGATTGTGGCATGTGTTGGCCAGCAGAACGTCGAGGGCAAGCGCATCCCGTACGGCTTTCGTCGCCGAACACTTCCCCATTTCGTGGTGGACGATTTGTCACCCGAGGCCCGAGGATTCGTGGAGAACTCGTACCTCCGGGGACTGACTCCCGAGGAGGTCTTCTTTCATGCCATGGGCGGTCGAGAGGGTCTCATCGACACCGCAGTGAAGACTGCTGAAACCGGCTACATCCAGAGACGCCTCATGAAGGCCATGGAAGACATTCGGATTGAATATGACGGTACTGTACGCAACTCGCTGGGCGATGTGATGCAGTTCCTCTACGGAGATGATGCCGCAGACGGGGCCATGCTGGAGGTGCAGGAGCTGCGCCTTGTGCGCGCAAGTAACCAGGAAATGGAAGCGCTCTTTCGTTTAGACGTATACGACCGAGATTTCGGCCTCGGCTACATAGAACCTGACCTAATCGACGCGGTGCGAACGGATCCTGAAGTGGCGCTCGAGCTCGAAGAAGAGTACCAACAGCTCTTGGCGGATCGCGAGCAACTCTGCGCGGTCTTTCCCACGGGTGAGGCCAAGTGGCCGCTTATGGTGAATGTTCAGCGGTTGATCCAGAACTGTCGCTCTATTTTCGGTATTCAACACGATACACTGAGCGACTTGCATCCCCGGCAAATCATTCAAGGCGTGCGCGTACTGCTCCAGCGCTGCGTCGTTGTTCCTGGCGACGATGAGCTCTCCCGCGAGGCCCAGCGGAACGCAGTACTGCTCTTTGCGGCCCACGTGCGGGCAGAGCTCGCCACGAAGCGTGTCCTGCAGATTCACCGGCTGAACAGCAAAGCTTTTGCCTGGCTTCTCGGCGAGATTGAGACGCGCTTTGTGCGAGCACGAGCAACACCTGGTGAAATGGTTGGCGCGGTTGCTGCCCAGTCGCTGGGTGAGCCTGCCACCCAGATGACCCTGAACACATTTCATTTTGCGGGTGTGTCGGCAAAGAACGTCACCCTGGGAGTCCCGCGTCTCAAAGAGCTGATCAACGTAGCTCGTCAAGCGAAAACTCCATCTGTTACGGTGTATCTGAAGAGCGGCAAAGATAAGGAGCTGGCGAATATTGTGCAGAGTGAGCTAGAGCAGTGCCGACTCCGCGACGTGGTCGAAAGCAGCGCCATCTACTTTGATCCGGATCCCGCGAACACCGTTGTGGAAGCGGATCGGGAATGGGTCCGCGACTACTTCGACTTGCCCGATGAGATGGACCGGCCCGAGCGCTTATCGCCTTGGCTTTTGCGCATCGTCCTGAGCACCGAGATGATGATTGACAAACGCCTGCGATTGAGCGATGTTGCTCGTCGTCTGCGGGCGGAGTTTGGTGGCGACCTCTCCGTTGTCTATTCGGATGACAATGCCGAGCAACTGGTGATGCACATTCGCATGGCCGGAGACGAGTACGAGAAAGGCGCGCTGGGCGTTCCGATTCTCGGCGAGTCGGAGCGCCTTGACGATACACTGAACCTACTGGGGCCTGGCGACATGACCGCGGGCGGGAACCAGTCGCTAGAGGCACTGGACTCGGGCACCGTTGAGGAGCAAGATGATGTTTTTCTGAAGCGTATTGAACTAGCGCTCCTAGAGGATATGCAGCTGAAAGGGATTCCAGGTATTCGAAAGGTGTTCCTGCGTCAGACGCAACGTGTTCTCTTTGATCCCGAGGCAGGATCTTTTCGCAGTGCGCCTGAGTGGGTGCTAGATACCGAAGGGACGGCGCTATTGGCGGTGCTTTCCCATCCGGATGTGGATGCGAGGCGCACGATTTCCAACGAGATTACCGAAGTGCTACAAGTGCTCGGGATTGAGGCTGCTCGGCAAGCGCTTTACAATGAGATGTACGCGGTGCTGAGTTTTGATGGATCCAGTGTTGGATACCGGCACTTGGCGTTGCTGGTCGAGGTGATGACCTGTCGCGGAATGCTCATACCTGTATCTCGATTCGGAATTAATCGACTCGAGACGGGACCATTGATGCGCTGCACTTTTGAAGAGACCGTCGAGATTCTCGCAACCGCGGCGACCTTTGGCGTTCGTGATGCTTGTGAGGGTGTCTCGCAAGCGGTGATTCTGGGGCAACGAGCAAAAGTAGGCACCGGGGCCTTTTCACTAACGCTCGACGAGTCTGTACTGAATCAGGCAGAAACGGAAACGAGCGTTGCTGCAGTGCGGGACGCCCACGTCGGCGGTGTCTTTGCGAAAGCCTATGCTGCAGCCGACGTGGATGCAGATCACTGGACACCAGCGTACACGCCAGGAGCAACGCCTGGGATGGCCAGCGACGGCTTCGCAGCGCCCTGGACTCCGAGTTTGAACCTCGCGAGTCCGTACGGTTCATTTTCCCCAGCCGTTGGCTTTAGCCCAGCAACGAGCACATATGTCGGTGGTGATGCGATGAAGGATGCCGGTCGGTATGGGCTCGGTGGAACCTCACCCTTTGCGAGCTTCTCCGCTAGTGCGACGACTCCGAATTGGGCTCCGAGTCCCGCGGGGGGCGGGACCGGTACGTTGGGCGCATTTTCGCCATCGAGTCCCGCCTATTCGCCAACGAGTCCTCGTTTGGTGTCGCCGACGAGCCCTGCATACTCACCAACAAGTCCTGCGTATTCGCCGACGAGCCCTGCATACTCACCAACAAGTCCTGCGTATTCGCCGACGAGCCCTGCATACTCACCAACAAGTCCTGCGTATTCGCCGACGAGCCCTGCGTATTCGCCTTCATCACCGAATGTTGCATATTCGCCTTCATCACCGAATGTTGCCTATTCACCTTCTTCACCGAATGTTGCCTATTCACCTTCTTCACCGAATGTTGCATATTCACCTTCTTCACCGAATGTTGCATATTCGCCCTCATCACCGAATGTTGCATATTCGCCCTCATCACCGAACGTTGCGTACTCGCCTTCTTCACCGAATGTTGCATACTCGCCCTCATCACCGAATGTAGCGTATTCACCTTCTTCACCGGTTGCATATTCACCCTCTTCACCGAACGTTGCCTACTCACCCTCATCACCGAATGTGGCATACTCGCCTTCGTCACCGGCGTTTTCACCATCGTCACCTGTATATTCTCCAAAAAACAAATAGAGCTTGTTGTTTTTGTTTAATCTTGGACAAGGTCCAGTACAAAAACCAAACTGCTCGATGGACTGCATCGAGTGGAACGATCTGCGATTCTTTAAAGCAATCGCTGAGGTATCCGGATAGGACACCTTTAGGCGCTTCTGCGACACGGATTCCCTTTGCGATGCATGAACCTGAACTGCAGGGCATTTCAACTCCCAGACGGGCGACTGGGTCATGCACCAGAGACTAGAGACCTCACGGAAACACACACACACACAGAGTGTCGCGGTTCTCCAATCCTGAGCAAGCACCCGCTACGCACACGTCCTGATGCAGTCGGCACTGGCTGGGGAGGATTTCGTGCCTTGTCGCCGCTGCATTGCAATCAACCGTTGTGAACGAAAGAAGCAACCGCTGCTGCTGCTGCTGCTGCTATGGTACAGCAGTGCCCGCCTTGCATTCTACATCGCCAATGCGGCATACCCGGTACCCTTTCGCGATCCACAAGCTCGTACAGATACGAAAACCCACAACGCAGGCGCATTCATGTCTATCACAGCGCATCGGTGCGTTGTGGCTTGCCTCGAGTCGCCGCTGTCAGTGTTTTGTCGACACACCCTCTGGCCACGGAGGCATAGAGCGATTCTGCGGATCAGCGAAATCCTCACACAAGAGCCTCCAGACGATTCCCCAGTTTCGCCAGGTGCACGTAGGCATCCGTTCCAAAGCCCTCCATGGAAGCAATGCTCAATTCGCCTCCAAAATAACGCGCATAGAGCCGAGATAGCGGCAGACCGTAGCCGAAGCCGGCTAGCGGGTCCATGGAAGCTCCTCGCGCACCGTGTACATGACTCCCAGGTCCATATTCGGGTTGGATCAGCGCCTCTGGGGGTACTGTTGCCGTTGTGAACATGTAAGTCCAAATTTTGGGTAAACTGGAACGCGAAATGCCGCCTCCCTCGTCGGCGATCTTCAGCGTCACATCCTCATATCCATCCGCAATAATCACCTTGATCGGCGGAAAGCTTTCCCGTCCCATATGATGCTCCATGGTTGCTCGGATGGAGTTTTTGAGCAACTCGAACAGCACATGATAGAGATGCCCCTCAATGTATGGGAACTCCAGGTCGGTTTTCCCCAGGATAACCACCTCGGGCGGCTCTTCACCGTAGTGTCGATAGGCTAGTGCTCGCGCTGCATCCGCCGCATCCGCTGCAACGTGCGCTGGTCGACAACGTATGTGAATAATGCCCACGTATCCCTGGCGCGATCGCTCCAGAGACATACTGACTTGTTGAGAAATGAGCACGCGAATGCCTATCCTTGAAGTGTAGAAGCGATCAAGGAACGAGCTGATGTGAATGTCATCCGCGCCCATCCCACAGGATTGCTTCAGTTCGAGTACCCCGCACGCAATCTGTCGCACAACGTCAGAGTGCCGGTCTCGGATGCGACGCAGGAGCTCCGTAAAACGACGCTCCTCTTCACCTTCCCGTTCAGGCCGGGGATGCATGAGGATGTCGGCGAAGGAGTTCTCGTATAGTTCGCAAACGCGTTTCACGCTGCGCATCTCCGACAGACCGTATGGAAGCGACTGTAGTTCCACTACGCGGTGCGCCAGTCGAATGGCGAGCTCACGATGCATCAGTTGCGCCGCAAGCAGCAGCTTCTTCGGTGTCGGATGTCGACCAAACTCGAGCAGCTGTCGCAGCGACACTGGAGTCGCGCTGCGACGAGCGTAGCGCGGGATGAGTTCCAACGCCTCCTCCCTGCTCGAAGGCAGACGCAGAAGCAGCGGTTTCGCTTCCAGTGGCGTATACGCGACGTCTGGTTGACTCGGCGGGCATCCAGACGCGAGCCAACTGGGAATCGAGGGATCCTCCGCACTAGTTCTCAGGGAGGCGGCAGGTGCGAGCCGCTGTGCAGAGGTCCAGCCCCGCGTTGCTGACGGCCACAGCCCTGAGCCGAGTCTTAAAACGGCCCATGCCAGACCCTGCTTTCTCCAGATAGCCATAGAGAGATGAATCAAGTCAAGTTAGTTGGATCGGATTGGCGCTGGAACTCCCACGCCCATACACACACACACACAGTGCCCAAGCTCGCATAGAACAGGTGACGCAGTTTGAGATCGGTTTCGCGAACGAGCGGCAGGGCGTTGGTACCGCGGCGCCACGCGCTCGGGCAGGCCCTGATATTGGACGGCACGGAAATCATGCCTATTTTTGGTATAAATTGGATACAAATGACATGCATGAACCCCACATTGCTGAACAGAATAGGACATACAGGATCGAAGCACTGCCAGATGCTTGGCAATCCCATGTCGCATTTTGGCGAGCGGGGCCACAACACTCGCGTCTGAGGATGTTAATTTCGGACGCTAGGTGTTCTTTTGCAGGCGACTGGTAACCGCACGAGCGTTCTATCCTGCGTGCTGTGTCAGCTCCAGCGTAAGCGTTCCTGCTCGTCTTGGGGTCTTTCCAAGGAAACGCTACCTCTGGAGAAAGCTCGGCTCGAGTTTTGCGTGCGCATGTCGGAACACGGAGCAGAGCACGGGAGCCAGGGCGCCGCAGCCCCAGAAACACAACGCAGCATTTCTGGGCGTTTGCTGGGCCTTCGCTTTATGCAACGAGCGCTGGAACGAACACAGCCTGAGCACCGGGATCATCTGCGCACTACGGGAACGCTACCTCATCAAACTTCGGGCAAAGCACGGCACTCAGTTGAAAAGAAAGCACAACAGCCAGCGAACGAGGAGCGAAGGCTCCTTGTTGTGTGTGATTACGAGTACAGTGTAGCTGCTGAGGACCTGAAGCTGAGTCAATATGCCACAGCTCGACAGCGTTACGGCTTCGAGACAACAGCGGTTTTTTTTGAAGAAGAAGCGACGACCGGTCTGGTGCTAGCTCGCACCGAGTCTTCGCCCAACAACGTCGATGAAACCTTGCGGCAGGCACCGGGGTCGACACCTCGGCACCCCGATACGCGTCACGGAGACGAGCGCTTCCGCGAACTAGCCCATGATGGCCGCGCTCGACGGCGGCTAGATGGTTCGCGTGTGGCAAAGCGTTCCGCACCGTCTTCGCTCGCCGAAGCGTCGTTCTGCAGCGTCCGTGGACACCAGCGGAAACCGTGTCGTTTCTCAAAGTTGACCAGGTCGTCGCAACAAGGAGCAACTACGCGAAGACGCTAGCGAAATGGCTGACTCCCGACCTGAAATGGAGGATACACCAATGACCCGGGATTGATGGAGCACACTCGACGATGCCGCTTACCTGCGCCTAGATTTGAACACTTGTGCAGCCATCGACTGTGTCACTTGACTTCAGCAAGGTGATTCGGGATCAAATTCCAGTGATTCGGATTCATTGTTGCCACTTATCTGCGTCCCGCGTTCCGTACTCCTGCGGATACGGACAGCGTTCCGTACTCCTGCGGATACGGACAGCGTTCCTCGGCGCTCCTCCAAAGTATACGTGGAGAATCGAGCTGCCAGCGATCCAGCTGCCTTACAACCAGCACCGTCCAGAGAGACACGAGGACTGCAAGATGCCTTGGTGCGGTGCGTCATCGACTTGGCCGATGGAGACGTTTGCCGTGCCGCTTGTCTCGTAACGAGTATTATCGGATAATGGATCATCATTGCCGTCTACCAACTGTGCTGCAAAATCATTTTATCCGCCTATCCGCGGCACGTCAGCCTCTCCGTATTGCTGAACCGCACCATAGCTGTGGCCTGCTCCGGGCGAGAATCCAGTTGCCTCTCTCGTAGACACTGATTTTTTCATTGAAAGTATTCAGCGTTACAGCACAGTGCCCAGACTGAGTAGTGCATAATAGCTTCAAAAAAGCGCATGACACAAAGCCGCTGGACACACTCTCGGAGCACGTGATGACCTATACGGATGCTCATCGAGGCGTTCAATACTCGGTGCAGAGGGTGCTTGCATGCATTTTTGCCGGCGGCGTTACACCATCGCAAGCCTCTCACGTTCGACTGCTGCGCCAGTTGACGTTGAGTTCGCATAACGTACTCCATCTGGTACATATGTCTGTGTCCAATGCTCTTCTTTTCATCCTGTTTGAGCGTGCAACCGCGCTTGTGATGCGTTTACGTCGTCGTGAAGGCATCCACGAGAATCACGCTGAATCGAATCCTCCGCACGTTCAACGCCCACGTCGACGGAGCGTGCGTGCAACTTTTACGTGTTACAGCGTATCCAACTCCATCGGCTACCGCCACTAAACGACACGAGTTGTCTGTTACTTAGTTTTCCAACTCATTGAACAAATTGTCAAATGCAAGCTTTTTGTGCGCGTTAGACCGGAACAGCTGGTGATCCTGGCACGGTCTCATGCACTCCTGCCAAGATCGCTGACTTGAGCCACATTGATGCCCGCGTACCGTCTGAATGAGGCGTGCGGAGCTTTCTGCTCCGCTCGATGCAGAACTCAGAGCGTCGAGACGGATCCCCGTGATGTTCGTCCACTTGTTGGCATGCCTTCTGGCGTCCATGATGCCGCGTACTCAACCATTCGGAGCCCTGGGAAAATTGAGCGGTTTGATGGGCTTTCCGTTCAGGCCTTTAACGCGGTGCTTTTGATTGGTAGAGGTACGGCGACGGCCTTGACGGGTTTCAACCCCGGATCCAGGCCCGTGATGACGGCTTCTACTTCGTCTGGATTGAACGTTTCAATACGGGCGTCGCTGCTCGACACACCTTTCGGTATCATCATGTGCATGCTGCGTGAGATTCCGTTGGTCTGCATTGTCCCTGCAAAATGCTTTCAATGTCCACTTTATATATGAGAGATCTTGAATGAGATGCCCCAACGCTCTCTGCGAAGCTCATCGCGTCATGCAAAGCTCCTCGCAGAGACCAGCCGTTGCTTATTGCATAGCGAATATTCCACAAAGGTGTCTACAGTTATATCACGGGTCATGTGCTGAAATACTGGAACCACATCTTATTGGATATTGAGGATGCTAGGGCGCTCGGCTTCGACGTGCGCGTCTGCTTTGTTCTGAGCCGGCAGGCTCTGTTCTGAAAAACGTGTCGCAAATTGCGAACAAGTCAGCGATCACATTCCAGGCGTTTTTGCTAGACGAGCTTCACTGGCCGCAGACCGAAACCGCGGCTATAAGCTTGGACGTTCCGGGGTGACACTCGTTCTCGTTGCGACTTCGCTTCGGAAGTCGCAGTCAACTCGAGCGCTTTGATCACCACGAGCTCGTCCCTGGCCTCCTTCGACACTGCGAAAGATCCAATTCACCAGTCGCAGCTTTTATTTGGTCTTGTGAGGTTATAACGGCCACAAATTGCGCGATGTGCGCCCCATGAAGCGCTCGACATTGACTCGCATCTGATTTCTGAGGTTCCTTTGATACGTTTTTGACAATCGTACAGCACAGCAGAGCTTTTCCGATCGCCGATATCGTGTGGCGCCCCCGGAAAGCATCCTGGGAATCGTGTATAGGAATTTGTGATGCAATGCTCAGAACTTGTTGCATCATGTCTCCGGAGCATCAGTTTTGTTGTTGCACGAATGTTGGATCACAATATTCTTGAGCAACTTGGACATCTGGTGGCCCTGCTCTCGGAACGCCAAAGAATAGCAGCATGACGATTGCGTCAAGCCGAGTGATGCTGGGCGAGAGACAATCGCGTAGGAGGCTTCGCGACACCACATGCCGTCCTGCATCTCACATTTCGGAAGATGCTCCCTACTGATATCTATTCGTTGAGAAGCAGTGATTATGGTTTCAGAATGATGTATCCTGGATGACACATTTCCATTCCAGACCCGTCTCATTCTCCTTTTGAGAGAATCTTTCTTCTTTTTGTCAAGTTTTATTTTCTCCGTCTTCACTTTCACCTTACCATGGTGTTCTGGTATGAAAGTAGTCACTATACTTTATATCCGTCTTGTGTCCTCGGGACTCAGACGTACTGGGCGGACGTTGACACCGAAGCCTACCTTTTCTGTCCGTGTATAGATCTACTTTTGCTCAGGAAGTTTTACGTCACCTTTTGCGTCGCGAGCATGCCCAAAAACCGATGCACGGCTTGCCGGTCCGTCCTCCGTGCGACCAGAGGAGCTACACATCATTCCAGGGCTGATGAAGGTAGCGACCGACTTGTCGAAGAACGGTGCCCCGGATGCGAACGACTCCACTACTGATCCGTCTATGGAAAAAACGCGTTTCCCGTGGAAAAGCGACCGACTTGTCGAAGAACGGTGCCCCGGATGCGAACGACTCCGCTGTTGATCCGTCTATGGAAAAAGGCGTTTCACATGGAAACGAAAGCCTTCAACTGGATTGAACCATAGCGACCAGGCTGGCACGAAGCACCACTGCTCGCCCGATCTCGGCTGCGTACTCCATGACCGCGTTGGAGTCACGGAGAACGAAGATGTGGAAGAGCTGGGTAGAAGAATGTGGGTACCAGAACCCACGATGATTACCTCAACGAAGCCTGGGCTGTTGAACGATCCTGTCCGATTCGCAGTTTTTCGGCACCTGCAAGAAACAATTGTCGCTAAGGCGGATGCTGCCAGAATGCGCACTCGTCTCGTCTTTACGAACAGCAGCTTATCTCTCTTTGAATCACCATGTACAGGTCTACCACTTCACACGATTAAAGTCGCATCACGGAAGACGAACACCCGTTTCTCCTGTAACAAGCGTTCGCGCTTCCGTGTCCAATCGACAGTATGGTGGTCACCGAGCAACGGTCTCCCATACAAGCGCGCTTTTTATTTTTTTTATCCGTCTCTCTTCATCGCTGTCGGTATCAACGGTACGGAAGCTTCGCATCCTATTGCTTCTTCAGAAATATTTGGTAGAGAACGTATGGAATGGATTTAATTGACGAGGAAACACTTGTGCAGAAATTGTTCGACGAATTCTGGTTTACAGACACGATATGCAGCTTACGGAGAACGATGACAATGGTTCATCCACCTGCTGACCGTAGAAGGAAGGTATTGTGGACATCAACAGGTTTCTAGCAAGTTACCACCAAAAGCACCGATTATCTCCGCGTCCTCTATCTGCATGCTACATCATACATTCCTTTTGTTGACTACCTGCAATACATCGAAGTGAAACCAAATTCACACACTGATGCACGAGTTCCAGAGTGCGCTGCTCTGAGCATGACGCCCACCATGCCGTGGCAAACATAATTCTAGGACAAGACACACCGCAGGCATCCTCGAAGCTCGCGAGGCTCAACCGGGTTCCCCGCTCGCAGGCAAAAACGAACCGCAGATGCGCCCCCTGCGCTCAGGAGGTGTGGCGCCCGCTCATCGTTCCTTGTTGCACGCTACCGTATCTGGCTCGTCAGCGCAAACTTGTCGGTAAAATATCCTGAACTTTCGCCAGAATGCTGCAGAGATGCTTCAGGCAATGAACAGGTCGGAGGATCCACCAGACACGACGTCATCGTGACGACGGGCAGCGTGCCTGTGTGGGTTCTGCAGCGCAGGCGCACCAGCGACCAACATTGTTTTCAATTCTGCAAGTGTGTTTACAAGCGAGGAATCAAAGCATTTGGATGGTCAAAGAGAACGCGACCTACGACCTCGTCGCTGTCTCAGAGAAGCGCTGCTAAAAACCCGAATTCCCGCCACTGCACTGGAGAACTCATCGAGTTCCAGGCTCGGTGGTAACATTGCCTGAAGGGTCGACGAGTGCGTCGATGCTCGCTCCATCCGCTCCAGACGCCCGTTCGGTATGTGCAGCAACCTAGAACGTTGAGATGCAACGCCGGTGCCTTCCGACTCATGCGAGAAACGGCGCCACAGCCATTCATCGGTTTCTAGATATTTTTCACGCGCACTGTCGACGTTCTTGTCTGACACTGTGCGCAATCGCCTGCGTGTTTCATGTCCGTCGTGGCTTGTGCGGGTGACGTTATCTGGGGCGCCGAGCGGCGAGGTCTGCTCCAGCGGCCGTACGCCGTTGGGCGAGTGAGCCGGCGCATCCACGTGCAATGCCTCCAGGACGGTCCGCAAGTCGCTTTCCTGGAGCACAGTTAGCCATCCCGATACGAGGCTCTGTCCCCATGTATCTGTGGGCATGAGTGCACCCAGGAGCACGTTTAGCGCTGCACAGGGAACACGATTTTCGGTAGTCTCATCCGGGTCGCTCCAGAGCCCGGGGTGCGTCCCGAGCAACAGCTCGTCTGCGCCCTGCGAACCGTGCTCTTGCTCTACAGAACATGAATCCTGCTCAGTTGCCCGTAACTCAAGCGGTATCTCGGTACTACCATGATCTGTGTTTTGGAGTAGATCACTGAGGAAAATCAGCAAAGCTGCACAGAAATAGCGTGGGTGCATCGCGGCGTAGGGGCGCTCTCGAGCATCCCTCCGGGCGGCGTTGGTTCCGACGAGCTCACGAATATCGACACGATGCGCAGCGGTTACCTTGCCAGAGGCTAACCAGGTAGCGGGCGACCCGTGCATGTCGGGGAGCCTGCCTTCCAGTTCCATTTGAGCTGCTTCTGCTTCTGCTGCTGCTGCTGCTGCCGATGGACTCATTGCCCGTTCTGTCGACAAATAAATACGGAGAATGACAGGCCGACAGGCTTCCAACAGAAATAGGCACGTCTCCAGCAGCGACGATTCATCTTCAGACCAGACCGGCGCCAAGCAGCGGCAGCTGTGATGCAAAACATGAAAACGATGCTCATCTAGAACACGTCGTATCCATTCGCAGATTCTAAAAATGTATGCATCTAACCCCACATATTTTCTAGGCCACTGAAATCTTTCCAGTAAAAACGCCTCAGCCGATTCCAGTTGCGAGCGCTCGATCGAGAAAACTTCTCCTAGCGCGTCGCCAAGTGCTTTGGTTTTCATGAGAGACCGAGCCGCAGCGAGACGCGTTGCTGCTGCTCCAACGAGATGAAGGACATCGAGCAGACGGCGCCTGCGCGCAAGCTGGGTACTTTCTGACTCGTCTTTCAGATCACGTTCGCCAGTGGCATCAGCGTTGATTAACGTACATAAACCCGTCGTATCAATCATAAAGACCTTCTGGATCATAAAAAAAGCAAACTCGCCGACACCTGGTTCCATTCCGAGAGTAACGCACAAGTCCATAAGCCAAGAGACGAGCTCAGTGCGCCAGCCCCATTTGCTTTGCAGTCCAGTCTCTGAAGTGAAGTTTCCAACAGCAGCAGAGAGCGACCAGTTCTCGGGGCGAGCTCGATCCAGTTGGCGCAGGAGTTCCTCCGCAGTGCGATCCATGATGCGTAAGTGCTGCACAAACCGACGCAGGCTCGGTGCTGCTCGCCGCAGCGACTCCGCTCTCGGCAACGGCTCGAAGCACTCGTCCTCGGCGCGTGTGGTCCGCCTATGCTGTACAGCCTTCGGGATCGAGCCGTCATGTCCCAGGGTCTTCGCATCAGAAACCTCTCCAGCGCCTGCGTGACTAGTTCCCAGGCAGCTGCTGCCGCAGAGACTCGCCGCGCCAACCGTAGCTGGAAGGGTTCCTCTCCAGACGTGAGGCCGTGGTTCTCCTTCCTGACCCTGTGTCGAGAGAGTCTCTATGGACGTTCGCGACAAACATCTCTCAAGAGCTGGCGTTTTAATTTCAGCCTGCTGACGAACACGTGCTGCAACAAAAGACTGCGGTGCGCAGCGCTCTGGATTCACGGACGCTACGCTTCCCAGAGTGAGTCCCCTTTTCGTTGAGTCCATGGTGGTACCCCTCACGCACCACGTGCGTTCCCCTGTCGCAGGTATCCTGTTATCTTGTCCCTGAGCACCCATCCATACGTCGGCGGATAACCCAACGACCAGCAATGGGCGCACGTCCCAGGGTATCCCCCGCGTCTATGGTCTCAGGCTAGTCTTGAAGCTTCCGCCCCGATGCGATGTCACGTAAAGCAGGGGCCTCGTCCCGTGCGCGAGATCCCGCGGATGCACCAGACTGATCACAGGCGCGCCACATCGAAAAACGCTCAGCGATGCAGCGCAACGACGTTGGTTGGCGCGTCCGTTGGCACGCGTCGATGCGACGCACGTGCAGATATTTCTGGCGGTGACGTTCGTACAGGGCGCCAGCGGCGCGCGCACACGCATGGGCGCGATGCTGTCCGTGCACGTGCAGCGTCGAATCCGTGCGGAATGCCGTGCGGCGGCGGCGGCGGCGGCGGCGGCGGCGGGCGCCGTACCCGTCCCCAGACGAGCCATTCACCTCGGTGTATGGTTCATACCATGGTGATCTGTTGATTTGCTCGCGGAACCCGCATGCACCCGTTACCGACACCAGACCAGATGATCCATACAAGCAACCGATGTCCGAAAGGGTACCACAATGCGGTCCTATTCCCGCATAGATTCTAGGGGTTACGTCACCTACAACGTCGGGGCAAGTGCGTATAGCAGACTCCACATCCGCAGCGTCTCTGGATCGCGGGAGAATTTTCCCGTAGACAAACACTGCATCAGGGACGGTGGAACACGAATACATACTCGGACGAGATGAGGTCTGCACTGAGGTGTGTGGTGGCGTCTGTGTACCCGGGAGCATCTGTTACAATCCATGAATCCGCATCGTGCGCAAAGCATGCAGGCGCACCGCAGCCCGCGCTTGACGCGAGATCATCGACGCGATTGAGCGCATTACGACGATAGCGTGGATGTCTATCCATCGACGTGCTGATGGCTCCCAGTCTTTTTCGAGCGGCCGCTGGTATCGGTTTCAGCTTCTTCTTGTACACTTTGTTCCCTAGAGGCTGCTCTACAAAGTTCATTCTCGTCAGCTCCGGGCGCCTCCGCTCCCGCACCGCCTATCTCCTGGTACTTATGGGAGCGTTAAAGTCCCGGTTCGCAAACTCTATCGCCTTTGATCGTACCCGTAAATAGCTGTTCTTGCTCGTTTTGCGACGTTCGATATCGAAGGTATGCTTCCAGTGACTGTCCTGGTTTTCGCTGGTGAACTCTATCTTCCTTACATCGAACTCCGTATGGATCTCCCTGATCATCCCGTACAGGGCCCTGGAGTTGATAGCCACAAAGTGCGACTTGTGGTTGCATATCGTAACGAAATTCAAGCGCATCCCCAGATGCGCAGCCGCCCGTTTGTACGACCCTGCATGCTTCCGCACACCCAGCTCCATCTCCGCCTTGCGTTCGAGTTCTCGGTTCAGGAGTACGAAATACCGCAGGATGGGGGAATAACATCTTTTCACATCTTTTTTCATCTCTGGTATCTTTTCTGATGGATTCGCCAGCGCCAGAACCGCACGGTGCTCTTGAATAGCCGTACGGATTATAGAGGCTTCATTCGCGCTCCTGGGTGACGTCTTCTTGTCGACGAATTCGACGTCATCTTTATGCTGGTGAATGTTGGTGATTCCATTGGTAACCGCTCATATTTCCTTGCGAGAGAAGCCCGGGTAGAATGCAAAGATAGAGCGTATCATGGAACGTTCAAGGTTCATGGTAATCTAGTTCTTCAGATTCGCGAGGTACTTCATTGCCCCGTATTCGGAAATACCCCAGTCACTTCTGTACCGAGTACCCTTGTACCGGAATTCCGCGTTATTTTCTTGGAGGGTATGCACTCGCTCATTTTCGTCGACGTTTCCCCTGTGTCAAGCACCAGGTGCGGAATGAAGGTCATGTTGAAAAATTCTTCCGGAACCTCGACAGTTTTGATGTCCGCCACGTTGTCATAGGTGTCCTTCACAAAATGCATCAGTCCTGACGACGCCTTTATAATACTCATGGACTGTGTCTCGACACAATTTCCGAAGTACTCTCGCAACTTTTGCTCGTACGGATCCTTGAAATATCCAAGAACAGAGGCTTTCACGACAATCTCGTCGTACTGTCGTCTTTCTTGCAGGCATTGACGTCGGCCTCCTGCCTCGGCTTCTTCGTCTTTTCCTGTTCGTCTTTGCTCGGGACTGCTTTTCGTTTCTTTCCGTCAGCCGGCGACACTGCGCCTCGGGGACCTTCCACTTCCTTGTCCATAGATTTCCTTTTCTTACTTTGGTTTGAAAATGAACCGGCTTTGTACGCTTCTGCTATAAAACAATTAAAAATCATTTGAATAGACTCACTTGAGGGTTGAAACACGATTCAGCTGAAAGACTATAACTTGCAACGACTTTAACGCAAATACAACTTGTAATTCAGGTGAACAAGTTAACGAATTGTCAGGATCGTGTTTCCCTTCAACGTCGACGTGCGTGTCATCTCTGATGCCTGCCAGATATGGAGATATGCGTATCGAGCGCATGATCTAGAACAAAGAACAGATACTGACCACTAACTAGCAACGATATAACGATTTCTCTCCCCGTCTACGATAAACGTTAGAAGAGGGAAAAGCTTTCCGCATTGCCGGAAGTTTATCTCCTGGGCGGAAGGTCCTGCGAGCCGGACGAGTCTGCCGGGCTTGCGCTCCGTGCGCCTCTGCAGCGACCGATGCTGTAGTGGGATCTGAGCAGATGGTTGGCAACGCAATTTAATCTGGGACAAGGAGCAGGCATGCTACGTCTGGGCGTCGCCCATATTGCAGTTGTCTCCTAACATATCGGTTCGCGCTGCCGCACACAGTTGGTCTGTCTGCGCAGCTTGCAGGCTCCCCGAGTGTTTATATTCTGCGACTCCGTGTCAGATGAATGACTCCTCGATCCGACGCCTTTAGTGGTATGACAAAGCTGTTCTGTCTCCGTCATGCATTTGCCCGAGCGGTATGTGCGCTACGGCGGCTGCAGGAAACCAGACGCTCCGCGCACGATAGAACGCACAAAATGACCATTACATTCGAGAACAGGTGATGAAACTCGGGAGTATGACGCAGCATGATGGACGCTTTCCCGAAAGCCAGTATCCATCCATCCATCCATCCATCCATCCATCCATCCATCCATCCATCCATCCATCCATCCATCGACAAAGTAAACGTTCTGCCATCGGAAAAAATCCTCGCCGCAGCCGTCGGCGAGGCAGATGCCCCGTGGCGAGCGGTCAGTCCACCCGTCCTGCTGTCAACGGGGTCCATCACGGACACTGACACAAAGTGGACGCGGAACTGCCAGCGGACACGTCATAGCTCGCCAGGGCTGCACCGTTCCTGCTGCCAGATGCGGACACGAGGTCTTCGTGTCCACACACTGCACCAGGGTTGTTTCCAAGCGCTGGCTTGTTTACAACAAACGCGGAATGTGGGAGTGCATAGCACCAACAGCCTACGCGGTGGACTGGAACACCGCGCTTGGTGACGTTCTGCAGACTCCTGAAGAAGTAGAGTTTCTGAGCACACTGGCGTGCTCGCGGGAGCGCTTGCAAGTCGCGCTGCGGCACTGGAAACAGCTCTCTCTACGGGAGCGTAGTCTATGTGGAACCCGCCAGAAGCACGCGAATAGCGAGGCTCACTTGCCAGCCGCGGAAGAGAAACCTGTCGACGAATCTGCTAATAAAGCACTCCTTAAAAACTTGAAAGAGACCCTGTTTGCGACCGCTGGGCCGGTCGAGGTGCGGAGCGCCCTCTATCAACTTGAGGCCTATATTCCGTGCTTGCAGCGCCTGACGAGCTTGTTTCAAGAACAACGTACTGTGGAACATTTTGCGCATAATCGGCACGCGAGCGAAAGCTGCCGTTTCGCGTGGAAGTCGGGAATGGCGGAACGCCGCACCGTCCAACGGGAATCATTATTGCGTTTCGAGATCCTGTTCACCCTTTTTTATTGGAGCATGGCAAAGATCAGAACCGGGCATGAAATACTTGATGAGTTTTCATCGAATGCCGAAGGTCAAACTCGCGAGGCCGTCGAGAACGAGGCAGTCCGACTCTTCCGCGAGGCCAGCGGTGTTCTCAAGTATCTCTCGGAGAAGCTTTCTCCGGGATTGCTGGTGGACATGGATAGCTCCGAATTCGTTTGTGAAGTGCATCCATGTGTAGCATCCGCACTGTCAAGAATAGCCATGGGCGAAGCTTATTTGCTGGCACTAACGCGTGCCGAGTCCCGACAGCTATCACCGGAAACACTGCTGCGTCTCTCCGTGGGTGTTACGGAGACTTTCGCGCTCGCACGCGCTCAACTCCAAGGGCTCTGTGATGGCACTAACAAGGCTGCCGCTGGTCACAAACGACTCGCGTACTCCCCAGAGCCTGGTTACCGCGCAGTTGCGGAGCTTGGCGAGGCACTCGGACGCACACGTTGCTTCTATTATCAAGCGCTCATCTTTGAAGCGGGTACGAGTCCGCGAGAAATTTCAGGCAAGCGCGGGGCAGTTATACGCTTGCTCGAGCACGCATCGCTCGAAATTGAGAAGCGCCGTGTGGGGCGCCTCCTGCGAGACGGCGCGTTTCGCTTCCTCGTCCCGCCGATGCGTGCGCCCACCGTCCAGCATTGGCAGAACTTAATTAGCATCAAGCTAGAAAAGAGCCGCCGCGACAATGACCTGGTATACATGGAACCTGTTCCGGACTCGATACCAAACATCACAGCAACTGAGGCCCTGTATCCGTTCTATGCTGTTGAGTATTCCTTCACGGACTTGAACCAAACCCAGCTCGATGCCAGTTCATCTCTAGACGCGTCACTGAATGGTAGCCCCCGCGCCGGTGCCCAGCAGAACGGAACGAACGAGTCGATTGGAGGGACTTTCCGCTGAAACCAAACGCCAAATAAACACTGTGTTCTGATTCACAACGACAAATGGACGACAAGAACCGCCTCAGCGAAATCCACGCAACCGAGTCAGCATTCACGGCACGCTAGAAAAAGTTCGTATCCCGACCTGCATCCCTTGGGTCTGAACGACAACCAATAAAACACGCCATGTATCGCAAGCATGAAACTAGAGCAATGCTCCAGCGGGCGCTGCGTATCGCCGCGCACAACGCCTGCGCGTATCCTCGAGCCGACGCACTTTGTGTGGTACGGCAACGCCGTTCTGTCTCCGTGCAGCGACCTCAGCGGCGCTATAGGCGCTATTGCTGTCGCTTTCGGCAGGCAGTAGGCACACACGATAGGACGTACGAAACCACCAGAATATCCGAGATGAAGTATAGGTAATGTAACATGGAGGTAGGTGTAGATCGTTGGATCCTCCACCTCGCACTGGAAAAAACATAAACTAAGAAAAGCAAAATGCGCATAATCGGAGAACGCTGGCCTAAGTGAACGTTCTGTCAATGGAAAAAAAGGGAAAAAATGCCTGCGCGTGTTAAACCCGCAGGCACGCATCGCTCACATGATTCATGTTTAGAATCGATGAGCAGAATGAGGGATTCCACACGCGTGCGATTCTTAGCAACAGGTAGAAAAGCGTCTACTTTCCCGTTTTAGACCGCCTCAAGTTCCACAAATTCCAGACGAGACTTGATTACGGGAATTATGGTCCGTTCAAGCGTTCCTCCGGGCATCGAGCATATTGTTAGAAGCGGCTCCGGCGCGAAACGCCCTGATGCAGTCGACATACAGAGAGAGACCGGCTCTGGGGTATCTTTGCCGGCGTCAGTGTCAGGCGTTATTCACTGGATTCGGAGCCGAAGACCATTGTTCTTCTGGGAACCAAAAGGCCGTGTAGACAGACCTGCTTCCAGCAGCGCAAAACGACACGCTATGACAACATAGCGACCAGAGCGACGCCTAGACACAGACCGTCCATCTCCATCCCGGAAAACCGCGTTGCAGAAGACCTGTCTGGGTCTCGTCACAGCATCCGCCACCGGGGGCACGCGGAGCCATAGCGCTGCAGGCTCGTCCGGTTCGCGAAACTTTCCATCTACAGGATGAACTTTCGAATATCTGGAAACCGTCCAACCGTACATCGTCTGCGACACGGATGGAAGATAGTATTCGTCAGTTGCTGGTTACTTCCTCGTTTTTGTTCTATGGGCGCCCGTGCCGCCCATGCAATCCGCGAAACCTATACCTGCGTCAGATTGTAATGGAGCGTTGCACTGCTCGCTCTGCACCTGGGTTTCGATTTTTTCGGAACTAGATTAGTTGCGTACCCTCGAAATTCGAAGTGCAGTCATGAGAGCATGTGGAGGCTTTTTGGTTCTTCAAGGATTTGCGGTTGTCCTTTCGGAATGAACACCACAACGCTTCCCAGACGGAAGCGGGTCCGTCACCGGAATCAACATGATTCGCGATGCTATCGAATAAGGCTTCGCAGAGTAGTACACTTCAATTTCCCTGTCATTCGGATGAGCATCCACGCTTCTCCCTTCCCAGCGTCTAGCGGATGCCTCAATCGCGCATTCTTCGCGTTCTCGAGCACTCTGTTTCGTAGCAGAGTCGGCGCTCAGCAACGGGCAACATCGTCTACACAGACAAGGCTAACACGATGACGTCGCTTGACGGCTTGCTCACGGGCTCGGGTCAGAAAATCACTGACCTCTGGTCATCATACAATCGATTCCGTTCGAAAGCCAAATCAGCCTCTATTTGGAACCGCCAAAGACATGGCATTCGACGCGAGCACGAGACCCTTCAGGGCATGTATTCCCGAAAGCTCCAGTCTTTTCCGGTTGCACGGAAAAATGTCCTGACCTCGGCCAGAGGTCATCGCAGCGACCGTCTCCGGTGGAGCGCGTACCAGCGCTTTACACGGCGTCAGCGTTCACCGATGGACATCGCTCAGCTCGCTCGGCGCCCTGGATGGAGCTCCCGGTGCTCTTCTCATCGTGGACAATATCGCGTTCCACAAATCCTCCATGGAGTGCGACACAGTGCGCCTGCGTGTGCAGCAGACAGCGCTCCCGCCTAGGGAGTCGCCCAGGCGAAGCAGGTGATCGCGAGGCATAGCGCCAGGTGCGGAAACGTACGAGAGCACCCACTGGCGCCTTCTGTACCCGTCAAGGCCAGGCACCGAGCGGTGAAGCAAGCGTCCACCCGCCACAGGTTAACGCTGCGAGGTGTAGTGGGTTTCTCGGAACACCTGACCACTGTCAAGGGTCAACGCGCGGAACGGCGTCCAGCGCCCGCGTCCAAACTAGACAGAGAGAACACCTGAAGCGTGGATCGCAACTTCTGCCCATGAACGAACAGCGTCTGCAACGGCCAGACGTGTCGACATCGGGACGCTAACGCTGCCATCAACGTCCGTCGCCCGTTGACAACGGAACTGGGTAGGCAGGATTGACCGGCGTCATTTTAAAGCCTGAGATGAGAGAGCGGAAAAGGAAGCAGTCCCAGAAAAAGCGCACAGTGGCAGGCAGTTGCATCAGTTCAAAAAGAGGCTCAGACGTTAGTAGGCGCGCCCGAGTACGCAATGTGTACACGATGCACTCTTTTCTGACGTGGGTCTAACGCATAAGCAATGCCGGAAACCGTTGATGAAAAAATTGGTATGGGTCCGATTCTCTGGAACTCGATATGCTGTAAAGGCTTTGTCTCTTCAGGCGAAGGAAGTCAACGGAGGCCGCTTCTCGGCAAATAAGAAAGTACACGTCGTGCAATAACGAACGCGCTCTACAATCGGACTAAGGGGCTTCCGTGCTGGCGTTGTCGCGCTTGGTGCTGGTCCGGAACGGTACTGATCGCGGTGGTTCTTCTTGCTGGACGGAACAGTGCAGGTTCCCGAATGGCAAGTTATGACCCATTTGCTTTGAAAGCAAGCGGTTGTGAGCAGAAAAAACCACCCGCCTGGTTTGAACTAGGCAAAAGTCTGCTAACGCTCACGTTTGCCGCGGGCGCCGATCAAGAACCCTATAGCCCGGACTCATTTTGGATAAACGCCGGATCCGAAACCTCCAGCACACGGGTCAAGCGAAGCAGGCCCGTTGAAGCCGTTTCCACGACTAGCGCTGGCACCTCTGATGACGTTCGGGCGGCTGGACGGAGCGAAACGGATAGGCAGGTCCCTGTTCAAGAGCCCCGAAACGAGCCGAAAGGTCCCGGCTGCTTCTTCCCGCCGCCAATAGACGACCGAGTTTTGTGTGTTTGCGCTTTTATTGCTCGGAACTTCACAGGTCCTGATATTGAAATCGAGGCCAAGCTGGGAACAGTTATTGATCTGTCCACCAGAGAACGGGCTGTCCTACCTGGCTGCGCCACTGCGGCCTGCCTCCAAGCCGAGGTGAACAACGTGCTGCGCTTTGAGTCGAAGGTTTCTTTCGATGCATTCAAGCGACTAAACGAAGTCTTAAACAGGACAGTGGCATCAGCAGTCCGCCATCGCGGACCATTGGTGCGACATTCGCGTTCACGTCAGACGGATCTGCGCTTCTCGTCAGGCTACAGGGAGACGCGTCCGTGGAGCCGCAGCGAAGGCGAAGCAGAATCCGGAACGAATGCGACCCAAGGCAACGATAAGACGCCTGCCTCGTTCATGTTCAAGACTCGGTTAGAAACGCTGCATATTCTCTTCCCAAGTCATCCATATGATGTACGCGTGAACGCTGCCCGCGAACAGCAACTGACTCCTGCCGAAGCGGTGCGACTCGGAGACGCTCGAGGTGTACTCGAAAGTGAACGACTCAAGGATCGTTTATCCTATCGCTGTGGTGAGCTTTCCATCGATATCACCGTGGTGCACCTTCCCAGAGAGTCGCTCATGACGTACGAGGTTGAGGTCGAGCTCATCTTCGACAACCGAGCCGACCAGTGCGCAGAACTTGTACAAGTTTGCACGGACTACCGTCAGCGTCTTGAATCCGCAGCCCCATTGGCGCCCCCAATGGGTCCTTCACCGCCAGCGTTACTCGTCACCATTGCAGAGACTCTATTCAACACGCTAGTGGCTCTGAATAACGTGCTGGCAAGCATTACCAACTAGTCTCCGTGGACGCTCCTGTAACCAAACCCGAACCCTGTGTCAGACGCGTCGGCACAGCGTCCTCTGGGCCGTCGCTCAGACGACAAGACGGTATGTAACGTAGCGCCCTGCAGTCTCAGAGTTGCGGGTAATCTTAAGCACTTGCCCTCGTGTCACACCAAAGTAACGCGCGACGGGATCGCTCTGTAGGATGCGCGGCAGCTGCGTGTCCTTGAGCTGGTACCGTTTAAGGAGGGTCTTCTTCTGCTCCGCCGTCAGAACTTCGTGCTTAGGAACCAGCTGGTGTCGAGTGATATTCACTAAAAGCTCAGCTTCTTGGAAAAGCTCCAGATGAAAGCGCGGTTGGAGCTCTGCCACCGCCTGTTTCGCAATAGGAGTCAAGCCCGTCTGCACGACGATGATCGCACGAAGTACGTTCTCTGTCTCCAAGCGAAGGCAGTACTCTCGGATGGGCTTCACACCCACCTTCTCCTCTTTGGGGAAAAAGACGTATATTTGGTTAGAGCGATCGTTGCGATGCTGCCGCAACATGGTAAGAGACTCTCGCGCACGCCCCGCTGCGTCGAACTTGTGTGCGAACTCTTCCAACGGCAGTTCCAAGTCAGTTTTCGTCGGTAAAACGAGGTAACCACGGTCTCGTAGCATTTCTAGAATCGTCCGACGAATCCTATGTAAACGACGCGTCTCGTCGGCCTGGATGTCGGTGGCCATTGCGACGAACGCACCGCTGCCAAAACAAGTGCAACGATTACGGCGACAACAGTGTTCACGGTGGTCTCGCGTAGGCCTTTGCGTCGGCTTTAGCTCGGAGCGATATGTTCGGCAGCGAAAACCACAACACCGTCAACGTTAGCGTCTGTGTAGCGAACGCTTCGCAGTAGCGCTCCCTCGGAACGCGAACACAGTACAATGCTCATCCAGGCTGATATGCGGTCGCGAACGCCCCCGCGATAGCGCTGCCCAGGAGCAAGGAGCCTTTGACGGAACGCCTGCTTGACAAACTGCAGAGCTTCGACTGGTGTCACTTACTAAACGCAACCAGTACAAGCCTGATGAAGGTATGCACGCACCCTGCAGTGGCTGCAGCTTAAGAGAGTCTTGCTCGTGTTTGCGGACGCTCCGGGCAAAGTAGGCCAGGAAGCAGTGCAGCTATCTGGTGACTACGCTGCAGGCCGATGGAAACGACCTTTTGGAACACGTAGGTGTTGAAGTCCCTGTCTGGCGCTGTTTCATAACCTGAAAGAGGCAGCCAAGCAGCTCAGGGCCATGTTTGACGTTTTTCGTGGTTTGGACGCTATTTTGGACAAGTTCTTGAGGGCAGTGCGCGGAGCTGCGACACGCTGGTGTTTCCCAAAGTCGCTCGCATACGGGGACAGACAATTTGATGCGTCGGTACACTCGTCATGAAGATGCTCGTCGCCTGGACGGGAGTATTTCGGGAAGGATGCGGATAAATCGAGGCCACGTGCCCCGTTTCGCTTCGGGAGTACCCGCGAGCCACTGGGCAGCAGCAAAGTACCCGACGCTTACGTAGCGTCGATCGCACGTCCCGCGAGTCGCACTGCTGCAGTAGTGCCGATGCGGCAACCAGCAACCTGCAACACTGTGTACTACGGATAGCCGCTCGCTGACGGTGCCTCAGCGATGGACCTGGAAACAGCGGAACGCCGGTCGTGTGCTGTGGTCTGCCTACTTCACTCGAATGCATTGGGGAGCTGTCGGAGAGCAGGGAAATCGCGGTGTCCGCGAGCAGTGTGCCGCGTTCCATGTAACGATTTCACTCGTATGTACACTCGTGAGCGCGTCGACGTTGGGCAATATGCTTCGAATCTGGGCCACGGAAAACAAGAAGCTGGAAAGGTTTCGAAGCAGATCACTTCGCAACCACGAACTGTCTCTTGTCTGAAACTTGGATGCTTTACGTATTTACGGATCCGCCGAAGCGTTTCCGCAGCTCTTCTGAGTTGCACAGATACGAAAACCGTTCCATCAAATCCGCCTAGACAAAGCGCACACTATCTAGTCGCCATATAAAAGTGATACCGAATCCGAAGGATGCTTGTGCAATCACCGTCTCTCATTCGTCCGGACCAGCTCAATGCCGAGATTTGTATTCCTGGTTGAGATCGTCGACTCCAAACTCAAAAGCAACCTCTGCCTCGGCTTCCGCCAAATCCGCTGGTGTCATCATCTCGTCTATCATGACGTCAGCCTTTTTCTCCCAACGCAGCGCCCAGCAACGTATTAGCTGCACAAGGAGCCAAGCCAGCAGAACAGATGCTGTCAACGTAGCGATCACAAACAGTACGATCCCGTAGAGAGGCCACCCGTTGGATTCTCCGAGATCGCATCCATCGTTCGTGCACAACAGCATCTGAAGCGTCCGGTTCCCGAGCGAATGTATCGCAATACCGGGAGCCAGTGTTGGATAAAGGAGCGCGTCCGCAGGATCCGCTGTTTCCACGAAGAATGCACTGTCGTTCGCCGCGCAAACAGGCGAACAGGTACGCTTCAGAGAGTAATGATCCGAAACGGATGGCCTCAGAAAATAAATAGACTGTTCCGGCGTGTATTTGCTGGGGGCATAGAGACTCGGTAACTCGCTCAAAACTGATGTCGATGCAAAGTATAGCTCATCGGAGGTGACGAAACGCGGGACCAAGTCCTGGTGGTGCACAAACGCACCCAATGATACCAGCGGCAGGAAGCCGTCATGGCCACGCTCAGGAGATCCGTACAAGAAAATATCAAAGAAGGTCGATGCTTCGTCGTTATTGTCGTCGACGAGAAAAGCAGGCTGGTTGACGGCGTTCGCACGAATGAGACCTGTGAAGCCCAGCACTATCGCCGCCGCTCGTAGAACAACCGTCGGAAGATCGTATTCATCTGGCGGTGGTTTGCCGTCTGTTCCCAGATAGAACCGATTCGCAGAGCGCAGGTACACCCAGCACTGAAGCGAGTCCGAGTTCACTGGCTTGAACAGGTACTCCTGCACCGCTTGGGTTGAGGCAAGCTGGTAAGAGCCGCTCGCATAGAACGGTCGAACACCTGCTTGCGTCGATACGAACGACTGGGTCACATAAAATAGCTCGGTCTCGCGCGTTGCTTGATCCTTCAGAAATTGAGTTGACTCGTTGATGAAGGAGAAGTTACATGTTACCGTCTGTGCTCGCAGACCTGGATATTGCTGTGGCCAAATTTGCAGCGAATAGTTTATCGCGTCGTACCGTTGCTTTAGCACCGTCTGATTGGTGACGCCATCTTCGGAGTACACTGAAAACTCCCAGAAAGGTCGACTAAGTCCAAGTGCAGTCCACCGCTGGAAGACCAGCAGCGAAACGAGGCCGAGCCGCAGTAGCCAGCGCCAGGAAGCTGCTGAGCCTGTGGTTGCTGCCATGATGGAGCCAGCAGACTGCGGCCTCGTACAAGCTTGTTCTGACGAGTGATCTTCGTCGACAGCGAGTGTGGGTTGTTCTTGTACACGAGGACGTAGCAAAGGAGTGCCTGAAATAGCCGGCAAACACCTACACACACACACACGAACGCAGGTAGCACGGTCCAACACAACAGCTCGCCGACGAGATTTTCGCGATGCCAGTACACCCACGTCAGAAAAGAGTGCATCGTGTACACATTGCGTACTCGGGCGCGCCTACTAACGTCTGAGCCTCTTTTTGAACTGATGCAACTGCCTGCCACTGTGCGCTTTTTCTGGGACTGCTTCCTTTTCCGCTCTCTCATCTCAGGCTTTAAAATGACGCCGGTCAATCCTGCCTACCCAGTTCCGTTGTCAACGGGCGACGGACGTTGATGGCAGCGTTAGCGTCCCGATGTCGACACGTCTGGCCGTTGCAGACGCTGTTCGTTCATGGGCAGAAGTTGCGATCCACGCTTCAGGTGTTCTCTCTGTCTAGTTTGGACGCGGGCGCTGGACGCCGTTCCGCGCGTTGACCCTTGACAGTGGTCAGGTGTTCCGAGACACCCACTACACCTCGCAGCGTTAACCTGTGGCGGGTGGACGCTTGCTTCACCGCTCGGTGCCTGGCCTTGACGGGTACAGAAGGCGCCAGTGGGTGCTCTCGTACGTTTCCACACCTGGCGCTATGCCTCGCGATCACCTGCTTCGCCTGGGCGACTCCCTAGGCGGGAGCGCTGTCTGCTGCACACGCAGGCGCACTGTGTCGCACTCCATGGAGGATTTGTGGAACGCGATATTGTCCACGATGAGAAGAGCACCGGGAGCTCCATCCAGGGCGCCGAGCGAGCTGAGCGATGTCCATCGGTGAACGCTGACGCCGTGTAAAGCGCTGGTACGCGCTCCACCGGAGACGGTCGCTGCGATGACCTCTGGCCGAGGTCAGGACATTTTTCCGTGCAACCGGAAAAGACTGGAGCTTTCGGGAATACATGCCCTGAAGGGTCTCGTGCTCGCGTCGAATGCCATGTCTTTGGCGGTTCCAAATAGAGGCTGATTTGGCTTTCGAACGGAATCGATTGTATGATGACCAGAGGTCAGTGATTTTCTGACCCGAGCCCGTGAGCGAGCCGTCAAGCGACGTCATCGTGTTAGCCTTGTCTGTGTAGACGATGTTGCCCGTTGCTGAGCGCCGACTCTGCTACGAAACAGAGTGCTCGAGAACGCGAAGAATGCGCGATTGAGGCATCCGCTAGACGCTGGGAAGGGAGAAGCGTGGATGCTCATCCGAATGACAGGGAAATTGAAGTGTAATACTCTGCGAAGCCTTATTCGATAGCAACGCGAATCATGTTGATTCCGGTGACGGACCCGCTTCCGTCTGGGAAGCGTTGTGGTGTTCATTCCGAAAGGACAACCGCAAATCGTAAAACTGTTTACGAATCCATACATCCTTATTGCTGGACTCTGATTATCCAGGCTGCACATCAGAAAAACAGCCTCGGAAGACCCCAATGGCAGAAACTGGGCGAGCAACTCCCTTTTCCTTTCTAGTCTGACACAGGTGTAGCAGCATGGACAAATTCTCCGATCCAGGAAAGCGCGTTTTCGCCAAGGCACAACCCGCTTTGACACGGCAGGTCTTTCAGGAGCGGGAACGTTCGAATGGTAACCGTCTCTCCTCTCTCGCGCTCTGTGGAGAGTGGGGTCTGGATGTGTTCCGCTCAACCGAAAAGGCTCCACTACAATCTCTGTTCGCATTTGCGCCTCGACAGAATTTACCGGGATTTCATCTCCCAAATTCTTTATCATGGCTTAAGATCGATGTATCTGACATGTATCGCTTGGATGCGCGACTACCGCCAGTGCCCAATGGAAGAGAATTGCGTTGTTCCACACCAGCAGCGGTTCACGCGTCGCTCCCCGCGGGAAACGAGTGGCGAGCGCAATGACCAGAGCCTGAGGAGACAGGAGGCTGGAGCTCGCCGCACAGGCAGGTATCGGATATTTCGCTGCGTCGAACGATCCTCGATGAATCGTTTTCCGTGTGCAAAGCGCAAGGGTTTCTCGGGCGAGTCGGCGCACTGGTGCCGTCCTCAACTCGGCCAGAAAGCGCGCCACTGCCCTGGCATGCACAGCGGAACCAGCAAGCTCCACATTCGACAAGGTCCATTCGGCAAGTCCCTGCAGATTATTTCAGATGGACCAATACAGTCCGTAACCAGGAAGTTAACCATCATTCCATTACATATTCTTCGACGTTATATCAGATCACGACTTGTCTTTCCCTCCATCATAGATACTTCATGAATCTATCGCCCGTTCGGGTGCCCAGCCTGTGCCAGTCACTTGCTGTGTCGCTGGATGCGCCGTCGCCGGGTGCGACGCATGCAGACAGGACACCAACGCGACGCTTTCCTAGCAGTTGGTTCGGAGAGGTCCGACTCTGTGCCGCCGTGCGAAGCATTCGCTTCGGGTCTGCAACCCCAAACTTGAACACGACTCTGGGTCCAGCGGGTGTTTCAGAGGACGCTGTCGGTTTATGCCTCGCGCTTCCCTGGTTGCCGATGGGCATCGCGCAGCCGGGCGAATGCCGCTTCGATGCACTTCCGGGTACACCGCCCCGTACATGCAGTAATCGAAATCGCGCGCGCACAGATGCATGCGTTTCCCGCCAGAAAGACGCTGCCGTAGGCGGCAATCGCACGGCAGCACGCGCGATCCCCATCCGCTTGTATCCCGAGCGCTTTGAGCGTTCTCTTGGACTGTGTTCCTCACTGCGAACGTGTCTCCGGAATGGCCACTGAACTAGCATACCGACTGCCATTTGATAGTCTGAACTTGGGTAGTAACCCTCAGCAAAGCTTGCGGGCGCTCGGTGGCTCACAACCTTCAGACTCTCGCGGTGGGGCGGGCCGGAGTCGTAGCAGTCCTGCGAACACGTACTCGACGGACGTGGAAGTCCTCGTCCACTTCTTTCAGACTTTTGTGGATGATCGTGAGGCAAACCCGAGCTTGGGCAGCGACAGTCTGGACAGGGATGCCGACGGGACTCGCCACACGGCCGCTGGCTCCGAAGCGGCTGAGGAGCCCGCTGCGCTAGGCGAGCGGCAGAACTTGCGAGGCGTCGCGCCAAAGTACCTGCGCCATCTGCAAAAAATTGTCGACCGCGACTCCAAAATACTTGCTGTTGAGCTGGATGACTTGTTCACGGCTCATGAGGAAACGCTCGCTATGCGCATCCAGCTGAACACCAAGCGGTACATTGAAATCTTGTCTCAGGCTGCGGACGCCATTATCGCCACGTTGCGACCGAGTAGGCTGCTGGCTTTGGACACTCTAGACCTATTGATGCAGCAGCGGGAGCAAAACGAACAGGAGAACCGTCTCGAAGACCAGGAGCTTTTCGGTAATGCCGGTGCTGGTGCTGGTGCAGCAGACGAAGATCCCTACAAGCGCATTCCCCCGCTTTTGGCGCGGCGCTATCAGGTGCAGCTGGTCCCTGCATCAGAGGACAAACCGTTCCGGATCCGTGATGTGCGAGCTGAGCATGTTGGCCGGCTTGTGCAAGTCAGTGGCATCGTAACGCGCGTGCTCGATGTGCGCCCACTCGTTCAGGTTGCCATTTATGTCTGCGATGCCTGCGGTACGGAGTATTACCAACCGATACCGGGACGACAATATATGCCCCTTTTCTTTTGCTCAAAGCAAGAATGCATGCGTTCCGCCACCGGAGGCGGGCGTCTCATTCCCCAGTATCGTGCTTTCAAATATAGCAAGTTCCAAGAGATTCGCATTCAAGAGCCCGCGCACGATGTTCCCGTTGGTAGCATTCCACGAACGTTAACTGTTCTGTTGCAAGGCGAACTCTCGAATGCTTGCGCAGCTGGCGACCACATTACGGTGGCCGGTATTTTTTTGCCAACGCTCGTGTCTGGCTTTCGCGCGTTCAAGCAGGGACTCCTGTCGGACACCTACCTCGAAGCCACTTTCATTCGGCAACAAAAACGGGACTACAAGGATTATCAGCGGGAAATAGCCCGCAATCAGCTCATTCAGGCTCGGATTGCTGAACTCGCCAGTACCGCTGGAGTTTATGATCGGCTCGCGCGCTCCATTGCTCCAGAAATCTACGGGCACGAGGATGTCAAAAAAGCGCTCCTTCTGCAACTGGTAGGCGCACCGACCCGTGAACTTGCTGATGGGATGCGCCTGCGCGGTGATATACACGTATGCCTCATGGGCGATCCCGGTGTCGCCAAGTCGCAGCTGCTTCGCTACATCTGCAATGTAGCACCGCGAGGCGTCTACACTACGGGCAAGGGCTCGAGTGGTGTGGGCCTCACCGCAGCCGTTCTCCGTGACTCCAATACCGGTGATGTGACGTTAGAAGGCGGCGCCCTCGTCATGGCTGACTGCGGCATCGCATGCATCGATGAATTCGACAAAATGGATGAGATTGATCGCACCTATATCCATGAGGTCATGGAGCAACAGACAGTCTCGATCGCCAAAGCTGGTATTACGACTTCGCTGAATGCACGGGCGGCCGTTCTCGCAGCAGCGAATCCAGTTCAGGGCCGTTATAATCGACGACGCTCAGCCGCCGAAAATATCAACATGCCAGCAGCACTGCTGTCGCGCTTTGATCTGTTGTTCCTCATGCTCGATGCACCCGATCAGGACAAGGACCTGGCTCTTGCCCGACATGTGACGTACGTGCACCGGACGGGCGAGGCCCCAGAACTCGGATTCGAACCAGCGTCACCCGACTTGCTGCGAGCCTACGTTGCGCAGGCTCGACAGTGTGTGCCCGTAGTACCGTCCGAGTTGACGGCCTATGTCGTAGAACACTACGTAGCGCTACGCGCTGATGATAAGCAGCGCCGCTGGTTGCCTCGCGGCCACACGACTGCTCGCACGTTGCTGAGCATCCTACGACTTGCACAGGCACTCGCTCGGCTGCGCTTTTCCAACCTTGTTTCGCGCGAAGATATTGATGAAGCTGTGCGACTGCTCAACTGCTCCAAGGCCTCTCTGGACGATCCGAGCGAGGCAGGTGGCCATCGGAACTTGCACGAGCTGGACGCGACAACGCGGATCTATCTACTCATCCGCGACCATGCTGCTGACCGGGGCGAGCGCTCGGTGCCCATTGCGGACATCCTCGAGCAGGCCCTGCAGCAAGGTTTCACTAGCCAACAGTTCTACACCGCGCTGAGTGAATACGAAGACATCAATATCTGGTCGGTGGACTCGAACCGTACCCGCATTACATTCACGGTGTGAACGTTCGCCTGCCTAGTCAAGACCAATGCCAGAATAATATGGAACGCGTCCCCCATCTCGGGCGTTCACATGAACGACTGGATCTGTTTCTAATGTCGTCAGCACCAGGCTTTGCGGCCATTTCCGCTCTCTCATCTCAGGCTTTAAAATGACGCCGGTCAATCCTGCCTACCCAGTTCCGTTGTCAACGGGCGACGGACGTTGATGGCAGCGTTAGCGTCCCGATGTCGACACGTCTGGCCGTTGCAGACGCTGTTCGTTCATGGGCAGAAGTTGCGATCCACGCTTCAGGTGTTCTCTCTGTCTAGTTTGGACGCGGGCGCTGGACGCCGTTCCGCGCGTTGACCCTTGACAGTGGTCAGGTGTTCCGAGACACCCACTACACCTCGCAGCGTTAACCTGTGGCGGGTGGACGCTTGCTTCACCGCTCGGTGCCTGGCCTTGACGGGTACAGAAGGCGCCAGTGGGTGCTCTCGTACGTTTCCGCACCTGGCGCTATGCCTCGCGATCACCTGCTTCGCCTGGGCGACTCCCTAGGCGGGAGCGCTGTCTGCTGCACACGCAGGCGCACTGTGGCGCACTCCATGGAGGATTTGTGGAACGCGATATTGTCCACGATGAGAAGAGCACCGGGAGCTCCATCCAGGGCGCCGAGCGAGCTGAGCGATGTCCATCGGTGAACGCTGACGCCGTGTAAAGCGCTGGTACGCGCTCCACCGGAGACGGTCGCTGCGATGACCTCTGGCCGAGGTCAGGACATTTTTCCGTGCAACCGGAAAAGACTGGAGCTTTCGGGAATACATGCCCTGAAGGGTCTCGTGCTCGCGTCGAATGCCATGTCTTTGGCGGTTCCAAATAGAGGCTGATTTGGCTTTCGAACGGAATCGATTGTATGATGACCAGAGGTCAGTGATTTTCTGACCCGAGCCCGTGAGCGAGCCGTCAAGCGACGTCATCGTGTTAGCCTTGTCTGTGTAGACGATGTTGCCCGTTGCTGAGCGCCGACTCTGCTACGAAACAGAGTGCTCGAGAACGCGAAGAATGCGCGATTGAGGCATCCGCTAGACGCTGGGAAGGGAGAAGCGTGGATGCTCATCCGAATGACAGGGAAATTGAAGTGTAATACTCTGCGAAGCCTTATTCGATAGCAACGCGAATCATGTTGATTCCGGTGACGGACCCGCTTCCGTCTGGGAAGCGTTGTGGTGTTCATTCCGTAAGGACAACCGCAAATCGTAAAACTGTTTACGAATCCATACATCCTTATTGCTGGACTCTGATTATCCAGGCTGCACATCAGAAAAACAGCCTCGGAAGACCCCAATGGCAGAAACTGGGCGAGCAACTCCCTTTTCCTTTCTAGTCTGACGTAGCTTTCACAAAATCGCATCTCGTTTGACTTTGACGATCCGGATCCGGCTTGGGGCTCCTCGCAGCACCCGTCTGTTCTCCGCTCGAGCGTATGAAAGCACCACAGTACACCTTATGCGCATGTGTCGATCAAGAGGAGCTCCAGAAGCGCATGAGTCTCGAACCGGAGCGACACGTCGAAGTGTGGGTGATCCAGGCGATCCCGCGTCACGCGGAACAACTGCTGCGGTACCTGTCGAGTTCGGTGCCGCTTGGTCGAGAGCTCGCCCATTTGAAGCGTGGACACCGGGATAGCACCGGTGCCGTCAACGTACTGCTTGCACTCGTCTCCGCGGACGATCCGGAAGTTCCCAACCGAAACGCGCACGCCGTACTAGAGCGACTCGGTGTGGCACGCGAGTGGGTACATACCGCCACGCTTCGCCGGTGTGTTGTGCCCGCAGTGGCGCCTCGAACTGGACTACAGAGTCAGCACTGGTCGCGAACGCTCTGGCCTGTTATATACAGGCCAGAGGCTCCGGAACCACCGATACTCGCTGAGACCGAGGTCGGCACGGCGCTGGAGCTCCTCGAACGTCTCGAGCACGAGACGCAGGGCACCGACGTTAACGCCGCTCTTGTTGTGCGTTGGCCGCTACCCAGCGCACCTGCACAGGTGATCTGCAGTGTCCAGGGTCCGCATGCGCCACTCAGGTGCATCGACGAAGCGTCCCGCATTTTCCGCGACCGAGACAACGGCGAGGAGCATCCGCATTATATGCTCACTGGTTTGGACCTCTTCACAGTTCGGGAGCCGTGTGTTTGCTGTGCAATGGCGGCGACGCATTCTCGCATTCGTCGCCTGTTCTTTATTCACCCGGACGCGAGCTTCGGTGGGATCCTTCGGGTCGGCGTGCATCGACTCAAGGCCCTTAATCATCGGTACGAGGCGTATCAGCGCCAGCTCGCCTCTTAGCGAACAAGTGGCGTGCGTGTGTGTTTCGCGCGCTTCCCCCGTACAGGAGCGGACGCTGAACGCATGTATCCGATTCAGCAATACGGGGGCTAAGAGAGATTCATGGGAGTATGGAGCACGTCAACGGAAGCTTTCGTCGGGTCCGCATTGGCGACATCAGCACAGTTTCGGAGTCGTGGTTCAGGCATCAGCCCTGCGCCTGCGAACTGGGACCTAGGTACCCGCACGATAATGCCGTAGCGCTGGGGGTGCATCGACTGGCACGAAACCGCGTGATCCGGATGCGGTGTGGTCGGGCGCTACGTTCGCAAACGCATGCTCGTCGGTGACATCCTGTGGGCGGCATGACGCTATGCTGGGGCAGTCTCGCTTTTTTTTGTCTCGGATTTCGGAAGCATCCGACGAGACCGTCAGTGTATTCAGATTCGGCGTGTCAAATTGAAAGCGCTGGGGATGTGACGTACAAGGCGCTAGAGGTTTTGGAGCGCCACTATGTAACCGGACTCGACATACGAACTGACTGAGCGACACACCTGTAGAGCACGACGCTATAGGGCCCTCGCTGCCCGGAGGGCACGAAAATACAGAGAGGATGCTGCTCGGTGGAGCGCGTGGATAGCGCACGCAGAGGTCTTGACGGGCGCGCGCTGCTCGAGGGCCATCACGCCGGACACGTGTCCATCCCAAGATGCTTGCGTGCACGCACACGCGATGCATCGCAATTTTCGCGATCATTCACAGGCGAGGAATGCTCCTGACAGGCCGCTTGTCGAGTTACACCCGGAAACTACCAAAAGAATGAAAGCGTGCTCTGGGTTGCGGATTTGCATGCGCACTGCTGCCGGAAGCGAGCAATTCACTCAATGTCCGCAGTCACTCTGCGTGGTGCTAGCGATTCTTTAGGTCAATTAGAATTGAAAGAGGTTTCCGAGCAGCTTCCAGAGAAGGACGCTGCGAAAGCATCCCCTATCGAAGAGATTTCATGCAAGCGCAGGTTGCTGCTGCTGAAAATTGGATAACGCAGCTGGTGTCGATGTCTCACCATGATGCTGGCGAGTCAACGAATGCGCTGCATCCGTCAGCTCGGAAGTGCCATCGCGACACACCGCTACCGCGGTATCACCCCGTGAGCAGCGCATGTTGCTTGCGCACCGGATATGGAGCGCTGAATGCCTCCTACGTGCACGCTATTCAGTGCGTGCGGATACACATGATACTCAGGATCGGCTGCTTCCGTGATCTCGATCTGCCATCTCCAAGTTGGCCATTTTGCTTCGCGCACAAATCGCTTATCATGATCATTCGTCAGTTTGCTCCGCTACTTCTCCCACTCGAGGACGACCTTGCCGGCAGTTCCGCTGCCTGCGACTTTGAACGCTTCCTCGTACTCGTGCGCCGGAAAGCGATGCGTCAGCACCGGTTGGATGCGTTCCATGAGGCCGCCCACCAGCATGTTGATCATCCGGTACCAGGTCTCAAACATCTCGCGCCCGTAAATTCCCTTAATGGAGAGCCCCTTGAAAACAACGTCATCCCAATTAATGGGAAAAGACTCACTCGGTATCCCGAGGAGTGCAATACGACCTCCGTGATTCATCGTCGCCAGCATGCTCCGGAAAGCAGACGGCACCCCGCTCATCTCGAGACCTACATCGAAACCTTCGGTCATACCTAGCTGTTTCATCGCATCGCGAAGCAGATGCTCCGTATGCTTGGAGTCATCTTCCATGCCTAGACCAGTAGCCGGCTTGCCCTGGCTCGTATTGATCGCCAGCGTCGCACCGCATTTTTGCGCTAGTGAGAGGCGCTCATCACGTACGTCTGTTACGACGATGTGCCGTGCCCCGACGTGGCGGCAGATTCCGGCTGCCATCATCCCTATGGGTCCAGCGCCCGTAATCAAAACATCCTCTCCAACCAGGTCATTCGCCAGTGCCGTATGTACAGCGTTTCCCAACGGGTCCATGACAGCACCCCAGATATCCGGGATACGGTCAGGTAGTCGGACAACATTCCGCGCTGGCACTGCAACATAATCTGCAAATGCGCCGTCACGATTCACGCCTACGCCGAGCGTATTTCGGCAGAGGTGTTGGCGACCCGCTCGGCAGTTTCGGCAGAAGCCACAGGTCACGTGACCTTCTCCAGTGACCCGGTCGCCAACGCGCAGCGGTACTTTTTGTGCCACTTGATCACCGAGCGCAGCGACACGCCCGACGTACTCGTGACCCACAACGAGAGGAATTGGAATCGTTCGCTGTGCCCAAGCGTCATACTTGTAGATGTGAAGGTCCGTCCCGCAGATTGAGGCGTGCGTCACGCGAATGAGCACGTCATTGGGACCAACAGGCGGGACTGGTTGATTCTCAACCCACTCAAGACCGGCCTTTGGAGCCTTTTTCACCAGCGCTCGCATAAACCTTCCGACAGACATGAATGAAAGCTCTTTTTGGACGCTGCAAACAACCTAAAACTAGTCGATAGACGACGCGTACGAGGTCTGTATCGCACACGCGCGATGATCGCTCCAGCAACTGCGCTCGACACGGGTGCTTTGCCGATCGCCGGCGTCGGCGTCGAACACGCACCTCTTATGAAAAGCGGCGGCATCGGCGGCATCGGCGGCATCGGCGGCATCGGCGGCATCGATGATCGATTGCAAGCCGCTTGAGCACATGTGCGTTTCGCCCAGAATCAGATACGCCGCTGCGCGTTCCTGCATGGACGTTGCAATTGCACGCACTTTCCCGTGACCTCCATGTCGTATTCGTGCTGCACGACGTCTGCGGTGAGCCCAGCACTAGGATGTTGCTGGATGTGGCATCTATTCAACAAGACGGCTTCGTTGTGGGATCGGTGATTCTGTGAGGCACTCGCGAGATGCAGCGGATGTCTACTTCCACGGCTACCGACAGCGTATGCGCGCATACGGTGGTTGCTGGTTGGATGCATCGATCATGCAGTGCAAAGGTGCGTGCCGCTTCGGGGTGACGTGCTTGCGAGCACCTAGTCGTCTCTCTCTGGACCATATCTCACTAGAGAGAACAGGAAAGAGGCATAGACAATGATTCTGCAAGGCACCAGGCGAACGCCGTGCAGTACTCGAGCACAGAACGCCATGAATCGAAAGCCTGTTGCCGCGATGCAGAAGCGTGCGTCGCATTCGCGATCGCCCGCTGTCGCTGATGCGTCACAAGCTATCCGATGTCGTGTGCGACAACAAGGCACGTGCGGTGCGAGTAGCGCCGAGGATCCTGTAGCCGGCCGCGTCAGCACCGTATGGCAGAGAGGCGGCAGCGCTTTCAGCGCCATAGCCTCTGCCCATGGCAACCGCAGCAGCGGAAGATCGTCAGAGATAATAGACATCCCATTTTCCAATATGAAGACCAACCTGGTGCCTCTGGGCCAACAAAGGGCCCGGAGCGTAATCGTCATCGCTTCTCGAGTTGCTGATATTCATCTCGCGTACCAGGCATGGTGGTACGCATGATCGCTCAAACGCCGCAGGAAACGATGCCCTGGTAGCGATCATGCGACGCGCACGCGTCCTCGAGCAGAGCACATCCTCCGCTTTATCGAGTTGGTGCATACTGCTCGTGTCCAGTACGTCTTCTTTTTTCGCAAAAAACCATGTTTGTGCACGGGAAAGCACTGAATGCAGTGAGTGTGCGACAAAACGGGCGAGTTGTATGTCTAGCTGAGCGGCCGCGAGGTTCCGGCGGAACGGCTCGCATCAAGCCCGCTTGGGCTGGCACCGACGAGTTGCTGTCGAAGCTCACGAACTTGCTCATTCAGACACCGTGGGTGTATCGCATTCTGAAGAAGCAAGCAAAAGCGGTTATGGTACGGACAGCAGCGTCGCGTGGCATTGACTGGAGCGGTTGTGCTGCTGCTTTAGAAGAAGCGGGTGTTTCAAAGTACTTTGCACCGCGCACAGACCTGGTGTACCCCGCATACTACACCAAGCCGTTTCATGCGTACGATGAGGGAAACTTGTGCTGGCTGGCCGCGTATGAGGTAGAGCCGGCAACCTACGCCATGGCGCTTCGCGTATGGCCCCAGGAGCGGGAGCTTTCCTGGCGAGACGCCCAGCGACGTCTGCGTCACTGCTTTCTTGACCAGGTCACGCGCTTCATGGCGGACCCCGGAGACTTGCGAATCGACCGTGTGCGTTTCACGCTGGATGTTGGCTGTGGCGCTGGAATCAGCACACGCTTCCTCGCAGAGTACCTGGCGCGCAACATACCCCGAGACGACGCTTTGCGCGTGCTCGGTATCGACCCGTCACCGTATTTCCTGGCCGTGGCCAACTTGCGGAACGAAAAGGCGAACGCGCTAGATGTGCAGAGACTTCCGCCAAACGTTCGCATTGAATACCAGCAAGCATTGGGCGAATCGCTGCCGCTTGCTGACAGTGTCGTGGACCTGGTTACACTACAGTTCGTCCTGCACGAGTTGCCGCGAGATGCAGCCGAGTCTGTCTTTCGTGAGCTTGTGCGAGTCACTCGAGACCGTGGCTGCATCGCAATGGTGGACAACAACCCGCGCTCGCCCGTCATCCAAAACTTGCCGCCGGCGCTCTTCACGCTTATGAAATCAACGGAGCCGCATTCCGACGATTACTACACTTTTGACGTGGAAGCATGTTTGCGCCAGATTCCCGGGATCGAACGGGTTCAGGTGACGGCATGCGATCCTCGCCATCGTGCCATCCTTTGCCGTGTTCGTAAATCTACGTAGCGAGTTTCTCACTGGTTCAGGTGACTTGATCGTACACGAGACTTGCACCAAGACTAGCCCAGCGCCCGCTGGGCGAAGCCTAGATATACCAAGGGAGCTAGAGACGACGCACCCAAGTCGCACACGCCCCCAGAGCCTGCACGCGCCTGAGATACGGGCGAAAGAGCGTCCGTCCGCGAGCGCGAGTGTCCCAGTGAATGCCAACTCGTTTTCCGAGCAGACCCCCGAGACGCCACGACGCCCGGCGATATTGCCGTCGTTTGGAATACGAGCGGAGCAAGAACCCTGAGCAGTATCTCATGGCAAAGCGGAAACATCCAGCGCTGTGGCGCGGGAGGCCCTTGTCGAAGCGTATGCAACGGCTCGCCCGTCAGCTTGTAAACGGTCGGATCATGATGGATGCGCCCATCAACGTTGCTCAGGAGGCGGCGTTTCCCTCGTTAAATAGCGCTTTTGACGATCAGCGCGTTGTGTTACAGTCTTGGGCAAAGCACCGTTTATCGAATAGAAAACCGATCCTCACTAGAACTCGCACTGATCCCATGTGCCTGCTGCGAACATTTCTCGTCAACACACCCAAACTCATGGCGCGACTCGTAGACGACTGCGCGGATACCCAAGCGAAGCGGGCGCATGGGCATCCCAGAACTAACCGAGGGTAAACCCTCCGGCGTTGGCAACAACCGGTTTCGGCTCCTGCAGAGGTGTCGTATCTGCGCTCTAGGCCCTCGCTGCGCAAGCGCTAGCCGCTACCGACGACAAACCGAGTTATATCGCGGAGCACAGGTCGCCCAGCCTCTAAGAAGGGCTCTGTGCTCGGACCTCGATAGATCGGTGCTCGCCGCACATTTGCGGCTGCCTCCGAAGCAGTACTGTTCTGGGCGGATGGTCTATTCGATCCTGTTCCTGTCAAAGATCCAGACCGCTGCATAGCGTGCTTCACTACCCTAGCTGCAACCGAGTGTTGCAAGGCAAACGCGAAAGCGCTTTGATAGCACCGGGGTGTGGTGCAGCGGTGTCCCCAGCTGAGGTTGAAGGGAAAGCGCGCGCTCTCGTCCATGTGCCGCTGGGCTTACGGATTACAGACGCCGCGATCGACCTCGACAGACTGTGCATGTGCCGCTGGGCTTACGGATTTCGCGCGTAGCGATCGTCCACTGGAGGCACTGCTGCGATTACGGATTTCGCGCGTAGCGATCGTCCACTGGAGGCACTGCTGCGATTACGGATTTCGCGCGTAGCGATCGTCCACTGGAGGCACTGCTGCGATTACGGATTTCGCACGTAGCGATCGTCCACTGGAGGCACCGCTGCGATTACGGATTTCGAGCGTAGCGATCGCCAGCTGGAGGCACCGCTGCGATTACGGATTTCGCGCGTAGCGATCGCCAGCTGGAGGCGCTCAGGTACCGCCGCGCCGCCGCCGCCGCTTCCACAGAACCTGACAAGCGCTGCTTCTAAACTGGAGCCGTTCTCTGCGCTCTGGGGCGGTACACGCCCGCGCCAGCGCTCTTCTATCTTCTGTACAGCACCAGATCATGTACATCACACTGGGTACTTTTATAACCCCGAACGCGCTGTTCGTTCCGAAAGCCTCATTCGAGGCACAGGCGTTTGCGCGGGGGCGACTTGACGGGCGCTGGCACCCGGCGGTCACTCGGATTGCGCTGCGGGGGAACAGAGCATTGCGCCAGCAACAAGTTGCAAGACGAAGCGCAAGCCGCTGGTTCATGGGCTTCCACGACGAGTGCGGGGTTGTCGGTGTTATGACACCGCTGCACAAACCGGCGTCGGACGTGCCCGCACGCTTGGCCTACTTTGCGTTGCACGCTCTGCAGCACCGCGGACAGGAAGGTGCCGGGATTGTACTATGGGAACCCGATTCCTCGGACGCTCAAGTCAGTACCAAAGGTCAGTTGCGTGAGATCAAAGGCCTCGGGCTGGTCTCCGAGGTATTCACGGACGCGATTTTGGGGGCGAGTCGGGCGGTTGCAGCGCTTGGACACGTCCGCTACTCCACGGCCGGCGAGAAAAACATTCGAAATGTGCAACCGTTCACTGTGAAGATGCGGCACGGTCAGATAGCGATCGCTCACAACGGCAACTTAACAAACGCTGAAGCGCTGAAGCGAGAACTCGAGGCGCGGGGCACCATTTTCAATACATCGTCGGACACGGAAGTTATTCTGCATTTGATGGCACAGTCGGTTCAAGGAGGATCCGCTGATGCGCGTACACGCCTAACCGACGCGCTCGGTCGTGTTGACGGTGCTTACTCGCTGTGCGTCCTCACGGCAGGACAACTTATTGCTGTGCGGGATCCGCGGGGATTCCGTCCCTTGATGCTTGGTCGAATATCGGAAACTTCGCCAGCCACTACGACTGGATCACCCCCGGACGCCTCGATGACGACGTGGATCATCTGCAGCGAGTCGTGTGCCTTGGACATGGTTGGTGCAGAGACCGTCCGTGAGATTGAACCGGGCGAGCTGGTGGTTATCGATCGCGCCAGCGGAAACCTCCAGTCGTTCTTCCCGTTTCCACGGCAGCAACGTCGCGCTTGCATTTTCGAGCACATCTATTTCAGTAAGGTCACATCGAATGTGTTCGGCCGATCGGTGTACCTCTCGCGGTTTCGATTTGGAGAGTTGTTAGCACAAGCAGCACCAGTCGAAAAGGGGGCCGACTACGTCGTTCCAGTGCCGGACAGCGGCATTGCTGCCGCCCTCGGATTTAGCGCTGCGAGCGGGATTCCCTTCCAGATGGGCATTTCGAGGAGCCATTATGTTGGTCGAACCTTTATCCAACCTACCCAGGAGATTCGCAATGCAGGTGTCATGTTGAAGCTAACGGCTGTCCGTAGCCTGATTGAGGGCAAGCGCGTCGTTGTTGTGGACGACTCGATCGTGCGCGGCACCACGAGTCGCAAGATTGTACACATGTTGCGCGAGGCTGGCGCTAGCGAGATCCATTTGCGCATCGCTTGCCCGCCAATTATAGGCAGCTGCTACTACGGGGTCGATACACCGAATCGCGAGGAACTGCTCTCGTGGCGCATTCCAGACTCACATAAGGCTTGCGAGTGGATTGGAGCGGACTCTTTGGGATTTTTGTCCCTCGAGTCGCTTAGATCCTTCCTGGCTGATGAGAGCGGGGACTATTGTTACGGCTGTTTCAATGGCCAGTATCCAGTTCTTCCGGTCGATGCCTGAGATGAAGGAAGCCTTTCGAGGCGAACGTGTAGCATGGACGCAATCGCTTGTGTGTCCGTTGTGTCGCGATACCTTGGTATGACCAGATTCGAAACTGGCGAGTGCTTGTTTCCAGCTGTGTCGAAGTGACGCACGTAGATGCATTCGCCCGGAAGCGTGCGTCTTGCCAGGAGCCAGCGGACAGCTCGCCGTTCCGACGTCGTCTTTTCGTCTCTGGACTGGCACGGCTACGGACCTCGGCGTGTCCATGGGCGTGGCATCGTGCGCATGTATACATCGCCGTTGCGCCTTCGGCTCAGCGCTGTCTCCAGTTATACACCATGCGCGCTGCCAAAGGCATCAGGATTGTTTTCGAGCGATTTCGCGGGGAAACAACCCAGAGAGCCCATGCGTCGCGACTTTGGGGAGCGGTTTAGATTGGCTCAGGAATGTAAAGGGTACGCTAAACCGCACCAAAAAGCCAGGTTGTTCGCGAGGCATGCGAGCAGGCGGTGTACCCCCGAGAAAGCCGACGATTGGACGGTTTATGTATGTGCGAGCACGCTACGCTGCACCCGCAACACCGCGATTCGAGACGCCTCCGCCATTGTGCAGCAAGCAGACAGTGCCTTGTGGCAGTTCGGAGCAGCTGCAGGTGCCGGGGCACAGCATTGCGCGGCAGACTCTGGGCATAGATGACGGTGGACGCACAGAGGCTGCAACCGTGGCCTGCTGCGCAATACCTGCAGCAATGATGGGGTGCTGGACGCTACGTTGGCATCGCGAGTTCTGGTGTCTACCACGACACACAGGAGGATGCCTCTCTGGAACGCAGCTGTTTAGAGTAGGTTGTCCAGTGCGTTCGTTGCTCCGAGAAACGCGGTTACAAGTAAATGAAATTCCCGTATGGTACCGGAACTGGCCTTGGAGCTGTCGGAGCAGAGACTGCAACCGACACTCGCCTCTGTGAGCGGTCTGCGAGCCAGCGCCCAAGCACACCTGGAAGGAGTTGCGTCGTCTTGCCTCCGGGTTCCTGGACAGAAACGTTCACGAGCACGAGTGTACCCTGTCGCGGTGGGCACGGCAGTGCGCCGGCGCACCTGTCCAGCGAACAGTTGCGCGTGAGCCTGTCGAGCGTGCGCCCGCACCAGTGCCTGTCCGACTGGGAGCACGGCTCGCTGAACGGCGTGCCTACGCTTCACGTGTGCCCTCAAAAACAAAAGCTTACGCCGCGCGGGAATCGAACCCGCGTCTAGACGATGGCAACGTCTTAGGATACCACTACCCCAGCGGCGTTACAAGGCACTGCGATGACTTGAAAATTCAGCATCCGAAACTAGATATAAAGGCATATGACGCCATCGGACTGCATGGCGTGGACGGGCGCGATGCTGCGCACTTGCGCGCACGCTGCTTGGGTGTTCCGTTGCACAGCATTTTGCCGAAGCGAGTCCGGAGACGCAGGCTCTTGATGGTGGCCTGTTTTGCGAACGAGGCTTTTCCTGGTATCAGGAGGCTCGGTCACTAGTCATTGCGCGGTTTGTATGGTCAGTGGCTGCCCAGTTGAGTGGAAACGGACGCGGTCGGGTGGACACGCCCACAGACACCTCGAGGCCAGCGTGCACCTGAAGCACGCAGCACTGTGCATGCGTGCACCTGGACAGGTTCGTTGGGCTCTGAACAAAAATATCACCTAGGTTGTCTCGCTGGTGCGAATGCGGGAATGATGCGGGGCACCGAACCTCGCTATAAGCTCTCCGCGCGAGGCTTGTATCCGCACAGCTGATGTGGCAAACAACGACGGAGGCGACGCCTACTCACTGTGTGCTGGTGTTCATATTGCGAACAAGCACGTGTGCCATGAAATGGAGTAGACCCATGACCTTCCCATGTGCTGGCCCATTTTCCTACTCGTTGCGACCTGCGAACGAACTTTTTAGGTAGTTCAGAACAAGTTTAGCGTTTCTTCTATGCTGAATGTCATGTGAGCGCAGCCGCCCGTTCACTGCACCACCGCCATGATCCACCGGGCGGACGCGGATGTGCTTCAGCCTTGCATGCCTGGTAGCAGCCCGTTCGCGGTCATCGGCAGGAAACTCGCCCCGGAATATCCGTTGCAGACTGTGTATGTTCTGCAAATCGCGCGAGCGCGAAACCTACTTGTATGCACGGAATGAAGCATTCCGCAGTCGAGCGTGACCCCGGCGCGAGGCCCTCAAAGTTTGGACATAAACTCGCCGATACGCACGGCGCGGCGCTCCTTCATGCTCTTTCTCGCTGCGTAAGCGAGCACCACCGGCATACGCCCATCCTCCCCGGTCACCGGCACCGCCTTTCCTTCCATAATGCAACGCACAAAAGTCTCCATTTCTAAAGCGTAGGCATCGCGATAGCGGTCCATGAAAAAGTTCAGTGGCAGGTCGCGACGTACACTCGCACCATCCTGCAACGTCGCATTGTTCGGAAAGTTATTCGCAGTGGACACATTTCCCTTCGATCCGTGAATTTCAATACGCTGGTCGTAACCATAAGCGGCTTTTCGACAGCATTCGATCGTACCGATGGCGCCGTTCGCGAACCGCAGGGTCACAATCGCGGTGTCGATATCGCCCGCTTGCTCACCGATCTGGGGATCCACCAGGTTGGCTCCAGCAGCAGCAACGACTTCCACGATTTCTGAGCCCATCGTAAACCGGGCCATGTCGAAATCATGCGTCATCATGTCAAAGAATAGGCCCCCAGACTGCTTCAAGTAGGCAAGCGGAGGTGGCGCAGGGTCACGTGAGATGATGTGCAGTGAGTAGGGCTCGCCGATTTCCCCGCTGGCGACAGCTTCCCTTACCCGGCGGAAGTTCGCATCAAAACGCCGCTGAAACCCTATTTGCATCTGGACACCGGCGCGCTTCACTTCCGAAAGCGCGTTATCGATGCGCTCGAGGTCGTAGTCGATCGGTTTCTCGCAAAAAATCTGTTTGCCTGCCCGCGCTGCTGCCACGATGATTTCGTAGTGCGTGTCTGAGGGCGAACAAATGATAACAGCGTCCACCTCAGGTGACTGGACAACCTCCTGCCAGTCTTTGACTGCACGCGGGATGCGAAACTCTTTCGCCGCCGCCTGGGCAGCCTGCTCGATAAAGTCCGCAATAACCACGACCTGCGCGAGGTTGCTCATGCGAGCCAAAGCCGCGCAGTGAACACGACCAATTCTCCCGGCACCAATGATACCAATTCTAACTGGTCCCCCCCTGAATTGAGCGACCGCTTCCATACCTGTTTGACTTCGTGTGTAGCGCAGCATGCTCCTGTGCGCGAGCCGTAACCACAGCGCCAAGCGTAGCGCATTCGCCGTCTCAGCGCCGGGGTCCAGGGACGCTCGTCGATTGCTCACGGTATTTAGGCGATGCATCGAACTTGAACGTCCGTGTGCGCGATGCTAAAGGCAACAAAGCGCATGAACGCTTTTTTCGCCGAGACTTGAGCGCCTCGATGAATATCCGGAAAAGCCTCGTGATTCTGGAGCGTGCATCAGGTTTACAAAGAGCGAACTTTCGACGGAATCGTTTCGCTTTCAGCGTGCACATAGTGCTGAATGCGCAAGACTTACGGTGGAAACAATGCCGCGCACGCGGGGGCGAGAGACACAGAGAAAGCCCGAATTCTGGCAAGCTGCAAGACACTGGTGTGGAGCGGTTCAGGAATCCAGAAAAACCTGGAACGCTGCATGTATAGAATGCGAATGGTTTTCCGGCGCTGTCGACGAACGACCATGAGACCATGATTTTCCACGAGCCGCATGTATGGATTTTCTCGCAGAGAGCACTATCCCAGGGCCAGAGCGACAATAGAAGAGGTCCTCGGAAACGGGTGCACATTCCAAAGATTCCGTCCCTGCACGCTGTCATCAACGAAACCAGCCTCTGTGGGCTATTTCTGCGACTGGTTCCTTTTTTTCCCGCTCGTATCCCCAGCTTGAGCCAGCTAGGTAACTTGTGCTTCTCCAGCTCGACTGTCAGCAGTCACAGTATGTGGACTGAAGCACCAGAATTCCAATTTCGCTGGTTGCTTGTGTCTTCTGCGCGTTTCACGCACAGGCCGTACTTTCGAGCCGCACCTCGCTGCCAATGTTCATCTTCTTTTCATATAACATCGGAGCGTCTTGTGCAGCGATAACACTTTCATGCGGTCGGGATGTTTCCCTATGTCCACCAGAACGAAGCGTTCTCCGAGCGCCACCCCGAAGCGCTCGAAAGCTTGCTTTATCGCTCGCGACCTGCCCGGGACCGATAGCGGTGGCCCGTGTCGATGCCCGCGCCGCCTCGGAGTCCCGCGCACGGCACCCAGAGGAACATTGCATCCCTCGGATGTCCCTTTTGTACATGATCAAACGATCGCCAGCAGCGCTCGCGATATGCTGTCCATTTATTCCGCTCATATCCAGATATGTACTTTGGAGATCGAGTGCCACATCGCTTCACACTGCGGCAGTATGAGCGCGTCGGCGTCGTCGCCGAGCAGCAGCAGCAGCAGCGCCAGCAGCGCCAGCAGCCACAGAGCGTACGCCTGCAGTCGACGCGGCGCTCGAGGGCATTTTCGTGGCGAGCGCGCGACGCAGGATCGGAAGCCCTAATCCAGGCTGCCAGGACGTTTAACGTTGCCTTCTTCGTGCTATTTGACGGACGTGTGGCACTTTGCTTCGAACATTCAGCATATTGAAGTCTGCTTTGAACAAGTAGTCCACTGACTGAATAGTAGCACGCGTTACGCGAGCCGTTTCACGCTACAAGCGCGGGGAAACCTTCTCCCGTGAACGGAGGCTACGCGGCAAGCCGGAGCCTACACCATGCGACGGCTGCGCGCTGACGACGACGTCGACAAGCCGCCGGGGCAGCACAAGGCGACTGCAGACGACGTCACTACCCAAATGTGGAACGAGACAGAGCGAATTACTCGCAGCCCGCGGACGACAGGTGCTGTATCTAGTCGTGCCGAGAGCAGAGACTCCGGTTCGAGAGTGCGACGGACGGCGCTGAAAGGCGCAAACGCCGGCGCCTCGTATGGACCCGGCACCGGACAACAGACGCGTTATTACACGAGGGCCCGCTCGCGAGAAGCGAACTCTTTAGCTGCAGAGGCCACGTTTACCGGCTCCTCGTTGACGGTGTACAGCAGTGGTGAAGGCAGCGTTAACCAGCTGACTGCGACAGCGTCTGGCTCAGGGGTTGGGTCCGGCTCTGGACAGGGCTCTGGTGCGAACTCGGGACAAGGTTCGGGCGCGGACTCAGGGTCGGGCTCCGGTGCTGGCGGTACGGGCTCCTCGTCTATCAGCAATGACGCAACAGGCTGCAGTCGTTCGGGTTCTGGGGGATCGGCCGGTTCGCAAGGCCGGGGTGACCACGGAACCGAAGATACCCCTGTCTCTATGCAGCGAGCACACTCCACAGAGGGGTATCTGCATCGTGTTCCCAGTAACGGCCGACCGCGAAACCTTGCCGAGCAAATGGAGCTCGTGGAACGCCCCGACACGAGCGCGTTGCAGCTGCGAGGACCGCGAACGCACGCGCTCCCCATAGGGTCACCAGCACAACTGCAACTGCAAGCGAATCTGCGGGAACAGGCCAACCCGAACGCGACCGCCGTTGAGCCTGCGCCTCTCGACACTATGCAGCGGCGAGCAGCTGCCTTTGCTCAACCAGAACGCACGAACACGTCGAGACAAGCACAGCAGCAGGGCTTCGCACGAAGCCGTCGCGGCGTTTTCTCAGATGCCTCCTCAGGCCGGATGCAGTTTCCAAGTGATGTGTCCGCAGGTGCACAACATGCCTCCGGTATGCATGGTCACCATGGGATCGCGTCACAGGCGCTTGCCCAGGCAGCGCCCGCGGTCGCAGTGACCGAAGCACAACGCTTGCGAGCCTTGAGCTCAATGGACGCACACGAGTCGTTGCCCTCGTGGAGAGCCGCTACACCGCGTGCCCCAGATGCCCAGACGGTGCTGAGCGCAGAGACGCGAACGGCAGCTGATGAGTGTGTATCGGTGTCAACGAGTTCCTTCGAGCGGCAACGGGAGTCTGCGCTGGAGAATCCACCACCATCACCGCTCATGATGATCGCTGCGCAGGTTGTCGCACCGCGACTGCCACCAGATCTGGGACTTGCGCTCCAGCCCGATGATCCAAACGGTCATGTACAGTATAGTGTCGGGGAAGGCCTCGGACCAACCGCTGACTTTCCGAACGGCCGCTACCAAATTCTAGCGCCGCTCGGAAGCGGCACATTCGGCAAGGTCGTATCGTGCTGGGATCGAGTTACAGAGCAACTCGTTGCTGTGAAAGTGATTCGAGCTGTGCGCAAGTACGCAGAGGCGGCAAGGATGGAAATCGATATCCTCCTTGAACTGGGGCGGAAGGATCCCACAAGTCGCTTCCACTGCGTTCGCATGCTATCCTATTTCACGCACGTAAGCCAACAGGGGAATGCGCACGTCTGCCTCGTATTCGAGCATTTGGGACCGTCCCTCTTTGACGTCCTGATGCGCAATCACTTTCGTCCGTTACCGGTACCCATTTTACGTGCGGTAGCTCGGCAACTCTTGGAGGCCATCACCTTCTTGCACGAGCACAACCAAATCGTGCATACGGATATCAAACCAGAGAACGTGCTCATCGTTCCGAGCAGTTACTATCCGAACCGGCAAATAACCGAACATGTGCAGGTGCGTCTGATAGATTTTGGTTCCGCTAGCAGACTCGATAAGGTCAGCGTTCGGCACGCTATTGTTTCGACGCGGCACTATCGAGCGCCGGAGATCATTCTGGGCACCGGCTGGTCATTCGCCTGCGATATCTGGTCGTTTGGTGCGTTGCTGGTAGAGTGCTACACTGGCCAAACGCTGTTTCAGAGCCACGACGATCTGGAGCATCTCCAACTCATGCAGAAACTTCTCCAGCACGAGAATGGCGAGGTGATTGTGCCACCACCGCGACCGAGCCCCAGCAGCACCTCTATGGGCAGTCAACGGCGCCGAGAAGCACTGAAACTCTTCCGGGATGGCCGCCTAAACTGGCCAGAGGGCATCGACGAGCAGAGCGCAAACAGCCTTGCACGGCAGAAGAGCATTCGTCGTGTCGCCCGCATGCCGGAGCTGCACTCCATCTTCAGACCAGAGCATGCTTGCTTGCTTCATCTGATTCGATGTTGTCTAACAATAGATCCGTTGAAGCGATGGCGCCCCAGCGAGCTCCTGCGTCACCCTTTTTTTATGAGTTACTCGACGGAAGCTACGCCCTAGGCGAACGCGAGACGTGCATATCGAGTTTATGCACTGGCGCTGAGCGCACCTGTTCCCTGCGTCGCGTTGCAAAGACAACGGGATACGCAAACATACGGTATTCATCGGGTCTGCGCACAGCAGCGAATAACACTCGTGTCCGATGTATAGTACAGGCGTCTGCGAGCGTGCGTGGTGAAACGTTCGTTGGCAGGCAGCTGGTTTTGATGGGTGGCCTTCATCAAGCGCCATGCTGGAGCGAACACCGGATAGGCGCTGGAGCGCCTGCGCAACTTGCGTGGCTCGCATGCGGACGCTGTCATAAGTGAAAGCCACCTCGCAGGTCACCGGTGCAAGCTTTCTGGGTTGCAAGCGGTTGTCTCTGGCGAGAGGAACCCGGCCATCAGCGGTGGAGTTTTCCGTGGTACGCGTGCAGCAGCAGCAGCAGCAGCGCTTGCGAAGGAGCCTCTGGCGCCAGGAGCATCTGCGAACAAGTCAGTGCGTACATGACCTCGTCGTTGCGTCTGACAGCGACCGGCTCCATAGGTCGAGAAACGCCTCTGGAGCTCGCATTCGGGAACCAACAAAAAGCGGCAACCTTGCCGATGTGAAACGTACCCGCGGATGCTATGGAATCAGGAGAGCAACTCCTTTTACTGCAAAGCGTGACAAGAGCACAGCAGGCTGCGCCCCAGGCCGACGCATCGGTATCGTGGACGCTTCAAAGCAATTCCACTGACTGCAAAGCGCAACACGAGCACCAGAGAGGATGTCACCTGTGAAGGGCCCTGGCTCTTCCTTGGCCAGCAAACACGTGAACGCAACGCACAGAACGCTGCACCTGTTCGTACGATAGCCCTGCTTTACCACAGTTACCGCAGCGTAGGGCTCTCGTGCAAACCTCCGGTGCCATGGATAGCGCGCTGCACCACAGGGCATCGCCAGGAGCACCAGCTCAGGCCGGCCAATGGATGACCCCGCACTCGCAGCCGCGCCTATTGACCCGAAGGGCGAAAACTGGCCATCAGTGGACTCGAAAGCAATAGTGTGGTCAGGGTTCCGACCAGGCCCAAGGCAATGACCGCGGCAGACGCGGCTGTGCTATCACCGGAGGAGGTCAGAGCCGCGGTTCCCAGGCCGTGCGAGACGCTCCCCAGTGCAACACCGCGAGCGAGCGCGGGCATCTCGGGTCCAGGCCTCAGGATCATGGAGCCCAGACTAGCACCGAGGATGCCGGAAATGAGTACGCTCGCTACGGTAATGCTCGTATCCGCCTGCAAGCGCTTGGACGATGCGATCGCTAGTGGCATCGTAATCGAACGTGGAAAGAGGGCAGCTCGCAGCGCTGGTGTCCTTAAGCCCAGGATCCGACTCGCAACTGCCGTCCAGACGAGTGAGAAGATGGCTGAAAACGCGGACCCGCCGACGAGCGGTAACCATTGGCGACTGAGGAGCGCACGTGCGCGATACAGACGGAATGAGAGGGCGATGAGCGAGGGACCTAATAGCTGCATAAACCAATTCCCCGCAATGAACGGATAGCGTTCTAGTCGCTTGTACCAGCTGGCGTCCGCATTAACAGACTCGGAGAGCTCGAGTCCACTGGCGACCACAGCAGTGAGACCTGCACAAGTAAGCACCGGGTGCAGAACTCGTTGCCACGGCTTGGGCACGGCGCGAGTACCCAGTCGATAGCTTAACGCGGTGACGACGGCAAGGAGCAGCCGATCTCGCCAGTACTGCGCTGGGGCGATACAGAGGATCGCCAACAACGAACTCAGTCCGAAAAGCACGGGGTCTGCGAAGGCACCAGCACGCTCCCGGGAAGAGCAGCTCGTCTCTGGTGCGAGATCCGAAGCACGGTTCTCGGCAAGCGGTGTAGATGCCCGCTCTCTGGACTGCCATCGCATCAGCGAACGCGTGACCGCGGCAGTCGTCCACAAGCCCGCAAGGAAACCCGAAACGATGACACCTGCTAGGGCTAGGAGCTCTCGCTTGGAAGCGCCTCCCGTATACAGACGAGCGGGCAACGCGACTAACGGAGGTGCAAAGAACAGCGGCATCCATTCAGCCAGAAAGGCCAGCGCTGGCTTCACGAAGCGCTCGAGCCCAACGAGTGCTCGTGCCGACCACGCGTGTTCCACCACACCAAGCAGCCCAACAAGCAGTACGAGGCCAGTGAGTGAACCCGGGAGCAGGTATATGTCTTGATCAAGGCGCCTTTCCAGGTACTTGAGGATGAGAACGGTGAGGCACCCGCGCCCCAGTGCCTCGCAGCGCTGCCCGAGCGTGCGGGTGGACGTGATGCACCCCGCTGACGCAGGTCGGTTTCGGTCTCGCAGGATACGCCACTTTTCCATCGCAAACGCATAGAGCTGATCAGTGAAGCGCTTGATTAGCTGAGTCCCTGACGCGTCTGGGGCCTCCGCTGAAGAGCCAGTGCCCAGCTGCTGCGCTACCGGCACCAAGGCTTGTTTATCCAGAGCTGGCACCCAATTCACCTGTTGCAGGGCGATGAGTGCACTTGCAACTGCGAGAGCAGAGCGTACAGAAGGCCATCGAGTCGTTGTAAGCCTTGTATCGAAAAGAACTGGAACCTGTACTTGTGGTCGCATGGCGTGCGAGCGTTGCTGCCAGCGTGCGGCTTGCGAGTACGCAAAGGCACAAGCACAGCAGTAGCCAGGACACAGGTACCGGCACGCGCAAAAACACAGTCTCAAGTGCAGCAGACAGCACAAGCAAAAGCGCAAGCAAAGGCACGAGCGAAAAACACGAGCTCGAGTGCCCACAAGAGCACAGCATCAATTTTTTTCGAAAACATTTGCGAGCTTCGCTCCAACGAGACGTTCCGTTATACGCACGATACCTGGAGCAACGCCAAGCACTAAAGCCGAGAAGCCAGCTTGAGCGTCATATTACGTTAGATTTCATTAAAGCAATCGCTGCTAAAGCTGTATGCAAGGGCGTCGTGCTGAACGTTGGCGGAGCTTCGGGTTACGTCCACGCTGAGCAGCGTACCAGGGCGCCAGCGGTTTCTCACTGGCGGTTGAGGCGAAGCTTCCACACGAGACGCGCCTGCTTATGCAAACGCTAACGATTGGCGAGGTGGTGGAAACCTCGTCACTTTCGCGAATACGTTTGCATTCCAGTACAGCAGTTCCGTTGTTTCCTCCCAGAGACTCGAGGCTTCATCCAGTCATTGGCGTAGCGGGCACCTAGTCTTCAGCGGACAGCGCAAGCCATCGTACAAGTTGTGCGACAGAGACGAATGCAAGCTCCTTCGACTTTCGGCTGACTAGAATGACGTGCACCTCGTTCGGAGGCGTCCTCCGTGCAGCGCTGCATGACAGGAAGCTGTTTACGGAAATGCGCACCCATGGGGAACTCGCCGATGCAGTATGCGTTCCACAACGGAGCTGAGTGGCGTGACGGGTGCTCGTCAGACGAGGCCCCAGTGACCGCGACTCCTGATGCAGCACTCTGGGCGCTGTGCGTAAGTGCTGCTTGTTCACGTCGAGCATGCCGATCAGCGTGCTGTCCAGCAGGCATTCTAGAAACTGCTCCATAGGCGGCGTGAAGTGTGCATATGCCGCGCGCGTCCGCAGCGAAACCCGCTGCGACACTCCCAGACAGCTATGAGAGCTCGTCACCCTGGTTGAATGCAGCTCGTTTGAAACGCGAGTTTCAAAAGCGACTGCTTATCCATCCCTGAACAACGCTATTCACCCTTGATTTAGCCAAGGATCAACAGGATGTGCGCATTCTTTTGAAACGCGAGTTCCAAAAGCGACTGCTTATCCATCCCTGAACAACGCTATTCACCCTTGATTTAGCCAAGGACAAACAAGACTCAAAGCAAGCTGTGCTGCGACCGCCCAACTGCATACCGCTCGCGAGTCGATCAGGATACCCCGTGTCCTGTGAAGCAGCTGCACTGTGGCACATCCGGGGTTCCAGAACCTCGTCCGTACGCCTGCGCATGGCTCGGGTGTATCCAGAGAGCGCCCTAGTCACAGACACGAAACCGAGGCATCTCATCAATTCCGTAGCTTCGACGCAGCGATGTGAGGTAACTTGCCAAACACGGTGGTCTTTGGAAAGGAGTGAACGCGAACAGCGCCTGGTATTTGTCCCCCTGATCCACCTGCACAGCTTCACCTGTAACGCTCTGTTCATTCACGAACGGAAGCAGAAACATATCAAAGCAGGCAAGGTCCTCCTCGACGAGTAGCCCTTTCGTCGGTGAGGAGGCCTCAGTTGTCGAAGCGCCGCTACCAAAGAGCCGCTCTGCGAGCTCCACTGCGCCCATGTCGGTTGCGGATAGACCACTCTGAACGAGCGACATCGCATCCAGGGGATCTGGTGTGCCTCCGTCATGACACCGCAGCCGCTGGACGTAGACACGAGCGCGCCCGCGTTGGCGTCCCGGATCAATGGTCAGTTTCAGGGAGTCGTGATCACGCTGTAGAGCATCGTGCCAGTGGGCAGCTGTGTGCGCCAAAATCTGCTGAAAGAGCCCCATGACAGCGCTGAATGCTTCTCGTGCCCAGTGCGTGTTCCCAAACACATACTGTTCCATTTCGGAAAGCGGTACGAACTCAAACCCGAAACATTCCCGCGTGTTGTGGTAGGTCACAAACGCACCAACCATGCGGCCTACGCGAAGCTGGAAACAGTACTTGATGAATACCGAGCGAATCATATCGTAAAATTCTCGCTCATAAGAGTACATCGGTCCACGCAAGTGCGTGATACGGTACTCCAAGTAGTCCCGGTAGTTGTCGAGATCCCAGCGAATCGGTGCAGCGGCTCGCGTTTTCAAGTCAAACGGCTCATCGGTGCGCGGGTGTCGGCAATCAATCTGCGCTCGCAGGACAAAGTCCCCGCAGCGGCTGTAGTTGAAAGCCTGGTCCGGCATCGGCGAGATCGCTTCGTCCGTCAAAAGCTGGGCCTGGGGACGCAGAAACTTGCGACAGAATGCACCGGGTTCCATGGTCAGCATGCGCTCCATCGAATGTCCCAGATCCATGAGGATGCTTTCGCGGTTCACGATGCCTTTGCATGCGTCAATCGCGATCATACCGTCGAGCGGTTGGAGAAGAACGCTCACCGGTTTGTGGGCATGCCTGGTAAAATGTCGAGGCTGCCGCTGGAAGAATTCGCTGAGACCCTCTAAAGTGGTCCCCCGAAAGCTGCTCACCAAGTGATAGAGCGCCGTCAGCACGCCCGTGATCGAGGACGTTGAGGCGAGGTACGAGGCACCTTCGAGGCGCGCCACCTCGCGAAGTGCATCATCACGCGAAGCAGGTACATAGGGTGGGATGTTCTCCCAGGCGATTTCCGCCGGCTGTCGAATAAGTCGCAGGTAGGGATCAAAGTTGTAGCGCTGGGTCTCTGGGCACAGCAGCGGATGAACGCCCCCGTCTTCGACCACTCGGGAGAGGTCGTGCGCGAGGGTCGGCACACTCACATTCGGCAAACGTGCATTCGACGCTGGCGTGAGGGCAAAGCTGTTGTGCGGAGGCAGTAGCAGCTTCCACTGCCTGTCGGAGGCGATCAGCTCGGGGGGAGCGTTGCGCCACAACCGTTCCAACTCCCGCGCCGCCTGTCGCTCTGCCGCCTCGAGCGTTGTCGGCAAACGAGCCAGCGTCTCCGAGCGCCTTCGCTCTGAAAACGGAACCGGTACTGGACGCGTGCGATAGACGTAGCCTTTCGGGGGTCCCGGTGTCAGGGCACTCGACAGTAACGCTGTCGCCGGGTCGTTTCGCGTGCCTGTTGCCACGGGTGTCGGCTTGCGCTGCGCGGCCGGTACCTCCACGGCGACTTGTGGTGTCGACTGGGCCGCTACCGCCACTTGCGTTGCAGCAACAGCGGTAGGCACTTCCGACAGCACGCGCTCTAAAAGCTTTTCAGCAGCGGAACCTACTTCTGCCGCAGGTAGCAAGTCGAGCGCTGCCGCAGCGCGATCGAAACGGTTCGAGACGGATCGTCGCACGGGATTTCTTGGCCAGCGCTTGCTATGTATCAGTCGCCTGTGATCATTAGCCCAACGAACACAAGTTGCCGTCGTCATCGCCACAGCTCCTGGAAAGCAGGCGGTGTAGAGCCCGCGCGATGGAGCACAGGATGCCGAGGTCCGTTCTTCGAGCGCCGAGGCGCCTCCTGTGTGCCGAGCTCCCGCGTTTCCCAGTGTGTCGAGGCGAAGTACTCGCCCTGAACGTGTAGCATGCTTGCTCGCGAAGCCTCGCAAACAACCTAGCATGACTGGAGCGCTCCCCCCGTCTCTACACGATGAGCCGCCACCAGCTGCCCAGCAGCGCTGGAAAAGCCCACGGGCGCACGTTGCGTTCCAGCGACGGCAGGCGGCTGCGGCGCGCCCGAGGCCAACCTGACAGGCGTCCAGTTCGCTGGTATCCAAAACTTGCTATCGAGAGGGTCTTCGTGTGCTCTGTGGCTTCGCTGTCCACAAATAAGAAGAGTCAGGGGCGTGGGACAAAAGGTTTCAGGGGTTGTTTGGAAAATTAGGGGCCTCACTGCAGATGCGCTGCTTGCACGGTGCGCTGAGCGCTGCGGGCGAGCGCCCAACACTACTGCACTCGTTACGCAACCGAGACGCCGTTACTCGGTGAAACCGAGAACAAGTTCACTCGTTTGATTGTCCGTAGTGTTGGCGAGTTGTGACGCATCAGGTAGCTGTGTTCTTGTGGGGTTAGCAAAGGGCGAGTGGCTGCTTTTCTGGGACGAATGGGCAGACCGGTGGTGTCTGTTTCCGGAGCGATGCTCGCTCTGTGACAGTGCGCGCTACTCACAGCGCGACGCTGACTGGCAGAACGTGCAGCAGCTGGGATACCTGTATACTATGGATTACAGTGTGTAGTTGGATAGGGCTTCCCGCCTTGATCCGCGCTGCTTTCTGACTAATGTCGGCGGCGTGCGCTGGAGCACGCTCTACCGAATACAGATCAGACAGCAGCGAAGCTTCTCAATGCGTAGAGGCGCCTGTAACTTGAAGCGCGTTACATTCTCGAGCGCGGAGTAGGAACGGCGGTGTTGTCAGGTTTGAAGGAAAGCAAACTTTCGTTTTTCGTTTTTGGTGCTTGTGGCTGCTGTTGGAACAGAAAATGGAATGATCGTCGAGGACGATTTAACTCGGATGACGACTCCAAGCTTCATCCTTGCGTGCGACGCTCGGCCGCATACGAACCAAGGTGAGCGCGCAGTACCGGCCCGTGCTGAATCGCGTAGCCACGGTTGCAGCGCTTGATACGCTGACATTCGTCCAGCGACTTCAGAGGCATCACGGATGAAGCGCAGGCACCTGTTGACGGCTCTGCATGCGAGGCGATGGTCTCGGGACAAGGGCGGCTTTCTGGAGAATCTCGCAAGAGACATGATTCAAGCAGCAATGAGGAACCTCTGAGAAAGGCGTCCAGCGCCACGAACGTTGTTACTGATGAATCTGGGAGTTTGCGCACGGCTCGATACTCGTTGGCGGCCCTCTTTCTGTGGAACGTATAGAGGGCCGCTTCCAAAGCGTTCATTCGAAGCCAAGAACAAGTACGTGCAGGTTTCGCTACCGCCCGGAGCATATCGCTCACGATTTACGAGGAACGCGGTCGATAGATCACTGCATACAACGCGAGAGCATTCAATACGAAAGGGCTGCTCCATTCAAATCCCCAAAGAGAACCAGGTAAACAAGCACTGTGCAGTTGCAGATCGGTTATTGACGCCTAGTGCAGGAATCGAACCAGGTCTGGGCAGGATGCTCTTGCGCAGCACATGAGCCGCTACACAATGCTCCCTGCGAAGCAACCGACTCTACCTCTTCGATATAGACGACGCGCAGTAGCAGGCATTATCTATGCATGGAGTCAGAATGCTCCTGATGGTCGGATACTGGGCATTCGAAGGCGCCAACCTGCGTCTATGTGGTGGCAGGCTGCTGACTTAGCCGCTACGCCTATCGTCGACCAGGATGCCGCCATGACGCTGTGTGGAAACGCATTTGCGCATGTAAACAAGTCAAGGCCACAGCGTTGTACAGGGCTATGGTTCCCGAACCTGGTTCCAGCGAGTGCCAGAGCCAGAGCGTCCGGTAGCTTAGTATGCAGTGAGGAGGTTCTCGGGCGTTACGGTTATGGTCGCCACGAGGCCTCTGTGGTGTTTGCAGCGAGAGTCTGGGTATCGTGGACGACCACGTGCGCCCTGGCCGCTCATTATCCACTGATGGATAGCATACGGTGCCGACTTGGGAATGAATTGGTACCGGTCCAAGTACCGAACATTCGCGTGCAACCTAAAATTTGCGTCCCGTTCCCCTGCCTCCAGAAACCACCGACTGCTTACGATGGAGTTGGACAGACATGAGAGACCGGCGTTTGCAAAGCTAGATATAGCTGGGAGGACAATAAACCAGTCGCAGAATAAGCTCGCAAACGCCGGCGTTGATCGCAACCGGAACAGACGCAAAGTTTTGCGTGTACCCCCCGAGTAAACGAAGTGTTCCTGTTCCAACACACTCCTGCTGAAACGGGTTATAGGCCGTAGCCGACCTAGGATCGAACGCTGCGATCCCGTGCGCTCCAGGTCAAACGTAATACCCTCGCACGCGTACACAAGTTTGCGCTATGGCCTCGTAGTGTTTCGCTTCGTCTGCCTGCCTTCTTACTTGCTCGGGGGGTCTCGATGCTTGCCTAGCGGAAACCGTAGTCCTGCGGCAACGTTCGCCACTGACTGCATTCTTGTTGTTCCGTCTCTGGGCGCAGTTGTCTCTACGCCCCGGCGGTGACGCGCAAGCCTGGGCTCACCAGCACCGCTGGGCACTGTCCCTGCAACACGGGACAGCAAACACAGCACCAGAGGACGTGTGTGCCTGGCCGGCTCGCTGGATTCGCTCCGAACTCGATGCAGCTACCCGAGACGCCGATGTGGCAGCAGGTGCTGCAGCGCGTCCTCACGGAGCTAGAAACCCTTCGAATCGTGCACACCTGCCGCTCTGCGAGCCTGTACGAAGACGATCGGATATGGACGCTGATTCCAGCCCACTTTCGTGAGCAGATCTCGGACAGTACCAGCGCTGTGTTGCAGCAAGAGGGCGCTGCGCTGGCGGACGCACTGCTAGTACCTTTCGTCCACACGCCCGAGTCTACGACGTTTTTAGAACAGAAGGACGATCTCAAAACAACGCTGGAACTTGCTTACCAGCGCCTACCTCGAAGAAAAGCGCTACAAGTTCGGAAACTCGCGCCCCGCATGGGACAGCTTCTGGACCAGCTGGTATGTTTCGCGGATCACAACGAGGAGCATCTGCAGCTCGTGGAGGTAGGTTGCGGACGTGGTCTTGTTTCCCAGACCCTGAGCGTTGCACTTGGGGCGCAGCGAGGACGCCACTGCCTCGACATCCTCGGCATCGAACAGGATCCGCGTTTGTGCGCGCTGTTCCGCCGCCGTTGGGCGCGTGCGCCTCAGCAGGTCGAGGCAGCGCGCTGCGCCGTTCGACACGCACGTATCGAGTGTGCGGCGGATATTGCGCGGCATGCGTGTCTTGCACGCGAACTTTGTGACAATGTCACGCATCGCAGCGTGATCCTGGCGCTGCACGGATGCGGTGCGTTATCTGCGTATGCGTTGCGCACGCTTGACTCGGAGCGGTGCACACTCCAGCCTGAAGCAGTGATCTGTATTGGTTGCTGTTATCATAAGCTCCGGTGTCGGGATGCAGTCGCGGAGTTGGTGCCGGATGAAGCAGCTTGTGTGGAGTTTCCGCTCTCTCGTTGGCTTTCGCAGCTGGAGGGGTTTACGTTCAGCGCGCTGGCCTATGGTGGCGATGCGCTGATGAATCGGAGTTCTTTGTATCTGGCTAGCACGGATGCAACGGCACTGCGCAATCCGAATGCGATGCATGCGCAGAAAATCCTTCGGCAGCATCACTATCGAGCGATGCTACAAGTGGTGCTGAGCAGCCTGGCTACCGCGGGGGATGCGGAGCTCAGGCGGCGCGCGCAGATGCTCCTCGAAGCCGAGCGGGACCCGCGCTGGGCGCTTCTACGTCGAATGGGTAAGCGTATTGACCAGTTCAACGATTTCGCGGCCTATGCGAGAGACGGCCTAGAGTGCCTGCAACTGCCTTTTGATCCAGAATTGGTGCAGGAGATTGCGGCGAAATACGATACGCCGCTGCATCGACATCGATGTTTCGTGTTTTGGACCTTGTGTGGCAGGTTGGCGCCCCTGCTCGAAGCACTTGTCCTACTAGATCGCGTTGTTTACGCCCAAGAGTGCGGGTATCATGCGTGGATTGAGGCGGCGTTTCCAGCAGAGGCGTCGCCCCGTAACAGGGCCATTATTGCGGTTCGTAGACAAGTCGCAGATCGATGTGCTCGCGCCGCATGATGCGCTGCAAAGGCGCGATCATGCAAAAGCGATCAACGCAAACGGCTTGTTCGCCGCTTTATACAGGGCATGCGTCACCGGGGCTAGGTTGTCGGCAACGTGGACGAACGCTTCGCAATGCAAACGCGGAAACGAACGCGATTGCAGCACGAGCGCTGGTGCATGTACAGCAATGTTACGTGTACTCGATGACGCACGGGTTTCGTCTCTTCTGGGTTCGCGGGGCCCAGGAGTTGCGCTCGGATTCTCCTGCAAGCATCATATATCCGTTTCTAGTCACGTGCATCGTGCCGCATCATCCGTTCGGAGCTCAGAAAAGCAACCTGTGTCGAAGTATTGCCTCAAGCTTAGCAGCAGCAGCAGCAGCAGCAGCAGCAGCAGCCTTGGCGTTGATAGCTGCAACCGCAACATGCGACGTACTCTGCGCGTTGCGGTTTCGCTGCAACTCTCCATGACCAAGATGACGCCAATGACGATACCGAACGAGGCGTCTTCGGTAACTTGAAAACCTAGGCATGGACCGAGTGGTGCAACTGCTTCCAGCCCATTCGCCTCTGCGGAGCGTATTCATGTCCTAAGCGCTTCACCACGAAAAAATGGATTCGCTGCGTGCAAACTTTCGTCTCGACCTTGAGCGGTTTCGCTGCGGCCGCTCGCGGAAGAATCGGTGCCTCTGGGGCAGCGCTTTGCGATTTGCGGCGCATTCCATTCGCTGCAGCTGGCATCTCGGAACGTGCAAGCAAGCCTAGGAATCGTATCCTGTCCATCCGTCGCGCATGTCATCCGCTCAATTTCCAGGAAACAGCAAGGACCCGATAAGGCATGCTGAAAGCGGTACCGTTATATTATCATCACCAGGCGCGACAAGTTCCACCACAGCACAGCACACAGTAAGCATTGCAATGCGCGCTGCCGCAGCAGCGATCCCGATGTCGACGTATCCCCACGCGTGGAAAATCGCGATGTACAGACACGATACTAGAAACGCGCTGACAATGAACACCGTGGTGCCGCCGATGGTTTTCTGCGAGCCACCACCCCGTGGTAGTGGCCATTTCGGTGTTCGCCATCGACGCCCAATGAGATCCGCCATCCCGTCCCCGACACACATTTGGATCAGGGCCAGGATCCCTACCGGTGACGGGCCGCGCCAGAAGAGAAACGTACATACCGTTGTCGCTAGGCAGTAGTAAAGCGGTCCTTTGAGCGCTTCACTTCGATCTCCTTGAACCACCATCGATGCATTTGCGGTCATGGATTGCTCCGAGGCGCCGTCCTCATCGGCATGCTCTCGGATCCATTTCTGCATTGCTGCCTTCTGTCGCGCCAACGCATTCACCAGCGTGTCTTGACTTAGACCCAGACCTGCCAACAGAAGCCTCACCGAGAGAATCGCAGGCACCATGGCTGCAATGCCCTGCGAGCTCCTCGCAGCCATGCTCAGAAACGTCGACCACGACTGGAGGGAGACCCCCGCGGGAACCGCGCCAGCTGCGACGTGATTCTCGGCAAAGAGTGGCCACGACAGCATGAAGAGAGGCACACTGGTGATGTGAACGATCTTACGAGAGAGTGTTGACTCAATGTATCCGTTTGTAGCGAGCCAGTCCCATATTTTCAGCCACGCGTACGAGCCGATCAGAGCGAATACGGCGGCTGCCAGGTCGCGTGTGACGAGCGCGTTGCCGTGCACAACTTGAAGACTCTCGCGCGCCACTGTGCTTCCTGAAGCGTAGCAAGGCGCAGATAACGTCCCGACCAGTGCAGCGCCCAACGTTTCCAGGTACTGCCGCCAACGCGAAGCGTCCCTGCTGGCGAATACCCCCACAGACGGTAAACGACGCTGCCAGACGCTGCCTTTGACCTCGAGTTCGTGAGCGTGCCATCCAGTGAACCTAGAACGCGTTTCGTTATCCTGTCCGCCTCTGGTGCAGTGACGTTGTGCATTGCGCGGCACTTGGCCTCGGTTATCGGGCTGAAAGCAGCACGAGCCCCAGCATCGTCTACGCCAGACTGCTATCGTTTGCGTTGCATTCGTCGGGTGCTGCGCAACATCCAGGTAGCGCCGAAGTGTACCAAGCGCCGGCCAAACGAAGCAGACACTGTCACCAGGACGTGCCCTACGGTGCACGAGCCGCATCCACTACAGCCTGCTCGGAAGCTCCCGGCTGGCTACCCGAGAATGGACGTCTCGAAAGAACGAACGTCGCCTTGGCCGCAGATCGGCGCGTCGTCGCCTGCCGAAGGCCGCAGCCGAACGCCCTATATTGGTAGTGGGTAGTATTGGTAGTACATAGGATTGGTAGTAGGATCGGTATCAGTAATGATGGTTTTCGTGGTTGTGATAATGCCTCCTGTGGCGAAGCGAGCGCCAACAGTGGGCGCAGTGAACGGAGCGCACAGCATCGATCTAGATATCGCTTTTAAGGGAACGAAACCTACTCAAGCGTTATGATCCACAAACGTCTATCTGAACGAACGGAGATCCGTTTCGCTTTATCGGGTAGCAATGATTCATCCGGGATAGAGTCTGTTTGGGCTTGTCGAATGTACATCGTGAAAATTCGCTCTGCTGGAGTCTCTATTCTATAGAGAACGAAACCTACGCAAGCGTTATGATACACAAACGTCTATCTGAACGAACGGAGATCCGTTTCGCTTTATCTGGTAGCAATGATTCATCCGGGATAGAGTCTGTTTGGGCTTGTCGAATGTACATCGTGAAAATTCGCTCTGCTGGAATCTCTATTTTATAGAGAACGAAACCTACTGAAGCGTTATGATACACAAACGTCTATCTGAACGAATGGAGATCCGTTTCGCTTTATCGGGTAGCAATGATTCATCCAGGGTAGAGTCTGTTCATACGCATTCATCGTACATCCTGGGGAAATTCTAGCCAAGCAGCCAAAACGAAGTACGAGTAGCACCGCACTGCTGCTGGCAGACGCGGGAAACATGCGCTGGGGGTACGTGGCGCGCACGCCTCGCGCTTCCATCCATAGCGCTTTCCAGGCGAAACAGTGACACCTGGAAAGAGGCGATTTCCCGGAAACCTCGTGATTCAGCCTGGAACGATTTCCGATATGGAAAACTTCAAAACTCAGCGTCTCGGGGGTCAGGGTTCGCAACAGACCTCGGGAGAAACTGGCACTGCGACTACTGGCAGAAGGCGCACGGTGCGTCGCAAACGGGGCACTAGCGGTGCCACAGTGCGTCGGCCGGTGCGAGCGAAAGGAGCGCACGACGTGCAACACCCAGCCGCTGCGTCGAGCTCGGAGAGCACTGCTCACAGGGATTCTTGGCATGGTCCGGAAGATGAGCATCCAAAGGGAGTGCTGGGCGCGACGCAGTCGACCAAAAAAACCGTCGTGACTTACGAAACCAAGTTGGCGGCAAGCTTCGAAGAGCACCAGTCCCCGGCGCGTGTGCCTGTCGGACCGGCACAAACGCCCACGAACGAGGCGGGAAGCGCGAGCGGAACCATGCCATTGTCACCACAGCAAACTACGGTGACACTGGGCACACCCAAGGGAGATCCCATGGCTCGGGCGCTGGCGCGCTGCAAGTCACCGGAGCGTCGTGGCCCCAGAACACCGCGGACTATCGAGCCAGCTCTGTCTGGCGAGCGCATAGGCGAGAATGCCCGGGCGGAGCAGGTGCCCAAGGCTCCGCACCGCGACGCCTTTTACGAAAAGGGAGCTGCATCTGTTGCGCATGAGCATTCAGAGACATCCGTTCCGGCAGAGGCGCCGAGCACAACTGATCTAAGTACCCAATCCACTATCAGCGTCGTCTCTCAAGCGGAAGGACCCAAAAAGCGCGTCCGAAAAAAGCAGAGACATGGACAAGAGCCGAAGAATGGTAGGATGTCTGCGAGCCGCCAAAAGCATGCGCATGCCAGTACGGATGGTGGTGCGCCTGAAGCTGCCACAAGTTCGCTTCTGTCGCGAACAGCGCTTACGGTGAGTCCTTCCCGCGGGAAAACTGAGCATGCTGCAGAAAGCATCAAGAAAGAGACAGCAATTAGGGGTGCAACAGCGAGCAAGGTCCAGGAGGATAATCGGCGATCGGCCTTTGCGAGCAGCGACAAAGTGGGGCAAGAAGAAAAGGATTCAGCGGAAAGGCGTCCAACTCGCCTCGGGCACGTGTCGAAGAAGAGCGTAGCCACGGGCGCGAATGCGCCTATTGCAGACACCAAATCGGTATCGCCACCACTGCACCAACTGAGTGCTACAGACAAGGAGCGCTTCCATGCCCCGGAAACCGGGTTTGCGTCTACGACTAGCAGGCGCGAGTCGCAGACTGCATCAGAGTTGCAAAAGCACCAAATGTCTATGAAAGATGCGCATGCAAGCAGCGAGCGCAACGAACCGTCACGGAAGAAGCGGGCCGCTGCGCTGTTACAACCCGCTGCGCTCGAGACAGACGCGCAATCGGGTACAAAGCACAGTAGCCCCTATCGAACAGCGGCATCAGCGCCGACGATAGAAACTAGACAGAAAACGAAGCGCCCTGTAGACTCGAAACCAGCGCTGGAACCTGCAATGCCGCTGAAGAGACCAGCCTCTGAACCAGCTGGTGTCGACACGGACCCCAGACACCATCGCTCAGCAGAGGCGACTGTAGCGCAGCTGCCAGCCGAGCGTCGTGGTACGAGGCGCGTCCCAGCGAAGCGAGATGCCACCACCGAAGCCCAGCCTGCACCCCCGTCTCTGGATCACGATGCAGCTGAGCGCCTTGGTGACATACGTTTCAACGATCAGTGGAATTTATTTTTCGATCATGACAAGGGGCGATTTTATCCGGTCCATTTCGCCATTCATCCGAACGCGGCTGACGCTGCAGCCATGCACGCTGAAATTGAAAACAACGCCACTTTACAGCAAGAGCTCCGTGAGCTCGTTTTCACTATCTGTCGCCTGCCGGTTTTGCCGCCACGATGTATTTTGACCCCCTCCATGCTTGTTGAAATTGTCTTGGAGGACAGAGCCGATCTGCGCGGCTTGCTTGCTGGCAAATATGCGCTCTGGCGCGGCGATGTACCCGTATTGCCGGACAAGTTCTGGTACACATTTCTTATTCAAAAACTGCTCTGAGCTGACGTGCACGTTGATGTTGTCGTACTTGCACCGCCACTGCTGGTCTCTGGTGATGCATTCCGCATCGACTATACGTGAGGATACAGACGACGACGTGGACACGCATGGAGTGCATTTTTCTCCCGTCAGCGCCTCCCAGAGGCAAGACTGTTCCGAACTCGCCGTCGTTGCCTGCGCTTGGAGTGCAGCGAGCTCCAGCCGCTGCGTGCTCAGGCTCTGAGACGTTCCGCACTGTGAATCGATTGCATACGGTACGCAGACCGACCACTGCAGCTGAGTACGGACGCGATGTTCGGGAACGCGGAAGCATTCGCAGCGATCCCCACGATGCTAGAGCGACCGGTTGCGTCCGTGCTCGGGATGTTGTCGTCTCGGCTCATGTATTGTCGGGCGCAGGTGGTACCGACTTGGAGTCCCCGATGGGTAACTGCTCCTTTCGGAAGCTGCACGGCAGGAGCGCCTCTAGCGACGACACGAGGTATCGACACCGCTGGGCACCGCTCGCTGAGGCGTCAGCAACGTCTTCCCAGGTATTCGTGTGCAAGCTAACGAGAACAAGTTCAGCTTCGGGAGCTGCATGCTCAGCGAGCACCTGTCGACACGCTCCGCACGGATAACAGACCCCGACGCTGTCTCCCTGAACGCCACGAACCCTGGGCGCACACACCGCAACACAAACAATACGAACTTGGTCTGTTCGCCCTCGCGCTGTCCAGCTGGACGTGCAGCTCGCATAGAGGTTGCCAACTGCAACCCTCTCCGCACACATACTTAAACCATAGGATGCGTTTTCGACGTTGCAACCGCTGGCGACGACACCGTCGCTTGTAGCAACGGCAGCACCCACGGGAAACTTGCTGTAAGGAGCATACGCTCGAGAAGCAGCCTCCAACGCAGTTTGCACGGTTACCTGCTGCAGCTCCGTGAGCTGATCGAAGCGGAGCAGTCCAGAACCCATCGCATGCAAAAGCGCTCTCTTCTGAATCTGTTTGCTCCGTGAAACGAACCCACTTCCTCCAGGAGCGCGAGTGCAGCCCGTTTTACCGGACGCCGAGGTACGTGGTCCTCCACCGATACGTAGGTGTTCCGCCAGCCCTTGGTCTGTGGTGCCGACACCGCCCTATCGGCCCACGGAGAACAGGTGCTTCATGTATTCACTGGAACATGTTCGAGTTCCACGTCGCAGTCGTCGCGTGCACGGCCTCGGCAGTGCTGCTGCTGCTGCTGACGACATGTAGCGATGATGTTTCTATCACCAGAACGTTTTGACGGATTCCGAATTGCCAAGGACACGACGGATATCGGCGACCGGGAACGCGTTAACCAGTTCGTAGGATACTTTTCGGTCCCGCGTGCAGCAGTCGTAGAAGGTAAGCGTGGAGCCCTGAGTTGCTTGCTCTGTTCCTGTCTTTCGATTCTTTCCGAATTTGGTTTAGAGATACGGGTTCGATAGTCACAGCGCAGCAATTAGGGCTTACGGATTCATCTAGACTCTGCGGATTCTCTGTCGGGTTTCCAGAGGGGCTTTTCCGACGCTTTGCCACTGGCGTTCTTGACTTTACTAGAGTCGAGATGATTCGTGGCAATTGCGAACACGGGTTCGTATCGTAAAAGGTACCAATGTCCGATGCATGCGTACAAGCCTGGACTCTTCGCAGTACCGTACGTGTCGCGTGTTCAAAGCATGCATTCGTCGAGTATTCGATGTTTGCGTTGCAAGGGAACTCGTGGGTACTGCAACACGCGCCCCCAGATGTCCAACGTAAAGACTCGACATCGTCCATTGACGAATTGATCACAAGCTCGTTCCAGAAACTGCAAGAACTTGTCAAATGAACGATTTCACTCGAAAGAAAAAATTTTCTTCTCTTTAATGTCATCAATGATGCGGCATTTTTTGCTGCAATTGGGTAATTTGTACGGGATGAGTCGCTGGATTTTCCCGTCTCTTCTGTTTGCATGGAAAATTGTCAAGAATTTGGAATTCATCCACCACAACAAGCGCATCTTGGAGAGCGTGCGTCAGCGCTTCGCACGAAAGGAGCGTGGAAACATCGATATTTCTCGATTCGATCCCCAGCCTGGATCTCGTTTCCGATACTCGTTTCATCACGTACAACACCGCGCTCTGGGAATCCTTGATCACGTGAAACAACCTGCGCTCGCAAGTGATGCGGACAGCCTACCCGCCCTGGAGATCGCCTCTCACAAGGCCGTGATCCTTCGGTACGGCACCGCGCACAGCAACGGAAGAGTGCGTCGAAGAGCACCCTCTGTAGCTGTCAAACACCTGCGCAACGCGATGAGGCGAACCTTCACGTACCACCGGGCGGTGCTCTGACGAAGAGGTATCCTAGCCATATGGGAACACCTGACCACTGTCAAGTGTCATCGATGCGAACATATACTGAGGCTGCATACAAACGAGATGAACTTAGAAGGCGACGTGTACATGACGACTTTCATCCGTTCATCAGGTGCGTCATTAATAGCCAGCAGCGGCGTCATCGGGACTCGAATGCTGTCATCAACACGTTTCGACTTCGGACAGCAGCGCTGAACGGAAAGGAGTCAACTGCGAATATATATCGCTGAGGATAAGAGCAAGCAAATTTAAGCAGTCACAGAAAAAGCCTACAAAAACTTGTACATATGGCAGTAAGAAGAGACCCAAACGTTTGAGTGTACACCAGAGTTAGGAATCTCCTTCCGTTGTACGCGGAGCAGGGGATCTGTGCCCGCTTCGTGCAGCCGGCGATCCGACGACGCCCGTGGAGCGCCCCGCCGTCGCGCCCGCGCGTCGATCGCACGCGACAAGGCGCTGCGCTGGGGCGGCACCTGCGCTCAGCGACACCCGAATTCCAAGACTCGGAAATACTTCTGCTACTGCAACTGTTACTGCATCAGCGAGGTGCTATGGGAGCTATGGAACGCACGCCGGGTGCATTCATCACAACTTGGAGCAGCCGATTGAACGTCTCGGTTAGGAGCTTCCGAGGCGCACCAGCGGCGAATACACTCGATGTTCGCCGCGGCAACAGCGAGCGAGAGCGCTTCATTCTTGCGCAGCCGCCACTACGTCCAGCAAGACGTGTGCAACCTATCCGGGACTGGCGTGACCAACGCCCAGCAACCGTTAAAGAACAGCGCTCGCGGGCGCTCAGCACTGTCGCATCGCTTAGCGTCGGAGACGTCACACTTGAACACGTTGGCGCTGAAGGCACGACTTCCTATCGCGTTTATCTGCGAGTGGCACGCGGCGACCGTCTTGAGCGCATCTCGCCGTGGCATGACCTGCCGCTATTCCCACGTGGCAACGCAGAAACGCTTCTTTTCGTAAATGAAATTCCGAAAGGCACCCGTGCTAAGATGGAAATCGCAAAAGATGAACCACAGAACCCAATTAAACAGGACACGAAAAAAGGCGCTCTGCGTTTCTACGAATACGGACCTTCGCTGATCAACTACGGTGCGCTACCGCAAACCTGGGAGGATCCTGCTGTCGTGCACACCGAGAGCGGATGCAGTGGCGACAATGACCCGCTGGATGTTATCGAGATTGGATCACAGGCCATGCCGACTGGGGCGGTGTACGAAGTGAAGCCTTTAGGGATGCTCGGCTTGATCGATAGCGGCGAATTAGACTGGAAGTTGATCGCTATCCGTACGGAAGATCCGAAAGCCGCTCTCATTCAAGGTCTCTCCGATATGGAAGAGCACTTTCCTAACCTTCTTCACCAAGTTCGTGAGTGGTTCCGCCTCTACAAAACCGCAGAGGGTAAGGGCGAGAATACCTACGCGTACAATGGGAAGGCCCTAGACGTGTCGTTTGCGCTGCAGATCGTACGCGAGGCCCACGAGAACTGGCGCAAGCTGAAGAGTGGTGAACGCGCAAATACTGAGCAGCTCGCCCTGTCATAAACGCAGAAATCGAGGCGGATGCGAGCAGGGCATGCAATGCTTTTCTTGGTTGACGGGGTTCTGAGTGGGTTTCCTCCGATCACTGGCGTTCGCGCACCTATGCCGCACAAAAGCAAGCATCTTTTCGCCAACGATGCCACGGTGCATCCGGTGCTGTTACAGAACCCGGGTGCCGGTAGACACTGTAGCTGCCTTCTGTGGCAACCCCTGATTCACAAAATCGTCAACGGTTCAGTGAGACGCTGCTGTCGACGGCTTTGTTGCGATCATTACCATCATCATTACCGTCGTCGTCGTCGTCGTTGGCTCGTGCACCGGGCAGCGTGTCGGGTGCAAAGCCACCTTGCTTGAGACTATATACAATTTTCTCCCGCTTGATCTGCTCCCGCACATCCTTTGGCAAACAGAAAAGCCCCGTAAACGATATGCCATCCAAAGTGCGCAGCGCTGCCTCCCCGAGACGTTCCGTAATCAGCCGCTCCACTGCCTCGACAGCAGCATCTCCGTGTACAACCAGCGGTTTATCGCTGGCGACTGCAAAACCCTGCGGACTCCCGTAGGAAGGAATGAACGCCTGGAACGGATACACCGAAGCGAAGACGGCTTGCAACGTCTTCACGATGCGCGGATGCATTGGTGACTCGTTGAGGCTTGTCGGACCCGCCTGGGTGACGAAAACGCCATCATGGTGCAGTCGGCCTTTCACCGCTAGGAAAAATTCTCGTGTAAACAGCGCCAGACTAGGACCGTGCTCCAGTGGATCCGTCAGATCGCTCAAAATCACGTCGTACTGGTCAGTGCTTTTCTGCACAAATGCCCAGGCGTCGGTTGCGTGCACCTTCACCCGCGGGTCATGAAGCGAGCCGTGATGAATCACGCTCAAGTGCTTCTTACATGCCTGGATGACCTGATCATCAATATCGACGATATCGATTCGTTGAATCGTATCCCATTTGAGTAGCTCACGCGCTGCACCGCCATCGCCGCCTCCGAGAATGAGTACGTTTTTCGGGGAACCGTGCAGTAGACACGGCACGTGACACAGCGGCTCATGGTAGAGCGCCTCGTCACCCGATGTACACTGCAGTTTACCGTCGAGAAAAAGAGCTTTCCCGTAGGTACCAATATCCGCTATGACGAGGTCCTGGTAAGCGGTGGACTCGACGACGTCTACGCGGCGCACGCCGTGCTGGTACACGTCAAACGGCGTGATATACTCGGAGAACCACAGGTCCGCCTTGACTTGTGCACCTGGCATTTTCCGGTGGCAAATGCGCTGCGCACCTGTAGGCTCCGCTCCAGAGCGTTGCACCTTCGAACGAATGCCGTTGCGAGCTCGCGCACTGCAGCAGGAACTGGGCCCACAGGTCGCAGATGCCGTTTCAGTCCCGCTCGCGTCAGAGTGTCAAGCCTAAATTTATCTTGATGCTCTCTATGAAAAGCCAGATCTATACAGATAAGGCGTACCTGTGCCCTATCCTGGCGTACTACCCCCGTGTTGAACGCAGCAGAGGCGTGCACTCGTGTCGATGCCCGCGAGTGCCAGCGGCGGGCGCCGGCGTCGTCGACCCGCTCTCGCAGATCGTTTCGCTGCACTGCGGTGTGGCGACACAGCGTGCAACACACCATGAGAACATCATTATGAACACGAACTTGAACAACACTTGTCACGAATTGGTGTGTGTATGTGTTCAGGATGCCAAAGCATCGATCGCACTGATGTATGAACACGAACTTGAACATCACTTGTTACGAATTGGTGTGTGTGTGTGTTCAGGATGCCAAAGCATCGGTATGAACACGAACTTGAACAACACTTGTTACGAATTGGTGTGTGTGTGTGTTCAGGATGCCAAAGCATCGATCGCACTGATGTATGAACACGAACTTGAACATCACTTGTTACGAATTGGTGTGTGTGTGTGTTCAGGATGCCAAAGCATCGATCGCACTGATGTATGAACACGAACTTGAACATCACTTGTCACGAATTGGTGTGTGTGTGTGTTCAGGATGCCAAAGCATCGATCGCACTGATGTATGAACACGAACTTGAACATCACTTGTCACGAATTGGTGTGTGTGTGTGTTCAAGATGCCAAAGCATCGGTATGAACACGAACTTGAACAACACTTGTTACGAATTGGTGCGTGTGTGTGTTCAGGATGCCAAAGCATCGGTATGAACACGAACTTGAACAACACTTGTTACGAATTGGTGTGTGTGTGTATGTGTTCAGGATGCCAAAGCATCGATCGCACCGATTACGAGGCGAAAATGATTTCAGGGCAAAGTCGCATCTTTTCGAGGTAACCCCGTATGCTGGATGCCCCATTGTGCGACTGCACCTGTTCACAGCTCTATCGATCGTTCTCGTCTAGGCCTGTGCTGCTCCCGGCAGAGCAGCTGCTTCGCATGCCGCCATTTCGGGACCTACAGCATACACCCAGCGAGCGATGGCTCTTCTGGGTGCAACACCTCCGAACGACGCTTGTAACGTTGGGATCGTGTATGCGCAGAATGCATCCCAGATGCATAGATCGTGTTCGCCTTGTGTGGACCATTCGTCAAGCGCAGCGTCGTGTAGCCACACCACACCCCGATCAGGCGAGTGCGCATACCACCAAACCTCCGCAGCGCAACGCTGTGCGCACCAGAGACGTACACCGGGGAGACGAACGCGCGCCCTGCACTGTTGCAGCGACCCTAGTGCGCGGATATGGGGCTTTGCTCGGGCTCGCGCATCGACCGGAGCGCCCCGATGTGTCTGGATCATGCCCTTGACCAGGCACTAGACTGGGTCCTAGAGCAGGTACGCATTCTTTGTTTACAGGGGCCGACTCAAGTTACCCGCGGATGCGCGTGTCCAGACTGCAGCTGGCACTCTGAGGCTGCCCCAGTTCCACGGCAGACGTATCAAGTCCCAATGACATGAGAGAAAAACGGGCGCACGCAGTGAACACCACCGAGATCGGTATCGCGGATATCCGATCGCCAGGCCAACAGCGGCTCTCTCTCGCTCTAAAGCGGCGACAGAACGGCCTTGGGATGCCTTCACGGACGTCGACGTCAGGAGAGACGCTCCGTTTCAGCGTCCACAGCGGAGCGCGGCTGCGAGGCGGTATGGCTTGCGCGCGCCGTCGCCGCAAGGACGTTACGAATTTGATTTCCCCTTGAACTTGTAGTTCACGAGTAAGCACGGTATTCTCAGTGTTACTCGAACTGCTCTTGAGCGTGTAGTTGACTAGGAGGGCGTGAACCCTGACACTCATATTATTTCCATTTCAACGTTTACTTGATTCGAACGACGGCATCCATATCGTCCAAAAAATGGCCTATGCTTCCACGGTGGCTAAAGAGGCTGCAAATCAAATGGAGGAACAAAGTCGCAGGTCGACCAACATCAAAACTTGGAGCGACAGCCGGCTCCAAATGTCAGGTACAGCAACCCATGGCGCCTGCCGGCTGCTGTGTGGCAGTTCCGAGCACACCACGGTCGACGACGACGCGTCTTTCCACTGACGACTACTCTGTTTCCGAAGCGTCCAGCCAGTTTAAACCTCAGCTCCTGGAAGACTGGGTCATAGACTTGAGTGCTGAGCCTTTGCGTCTTTCGGGAGCAGCCGAGCATCCCTGCGGTGGCCTGTTCGAGAAGGGCCTCCATCGGTCGCTCGCTGTGGACGCGCTCTGGCAGCAAGCTGTCGAGTCTGACCGAACGCCAGCCCGAACATGCGCCCAGTACGATGCAGTGCGTTACCTGCCGGTAGATGGCACCACAGACGTGTTGCTTCCGCAGACACATGCACGGGACTGGGCATACGCCCCGCCCGCCGACGCCAAGCAGCCTCGGTCGGCGTTACTGGCTCGGCGTCGATGGACAGAGGGTAACCTCATTGTCGGCAGGAGGCTGCAGCCCCTGGTTGGTGTCCAGGGTTCTGGTTCCGACGGGCGCTATGTGTTTCTGGCACCCGCCGTGTCCACAGAAATGCAGCAGCAGCAGCAGCAGCAGCAGCGTCCGTCACCTGCTGATGGCAATGCCGCTGCTCATCACTTGGTCGGCTCAGAGCGGATCCCGACCGAGATCCTGTCCGAGGACCCATTAGATCTGGTAGAGATGCTGGCGCTCGCGCTAGACCGGCAACAAGTGGAAGCGAACTGTGGCCAGCAAGCTGAGCGAAGCGTACATGAAACCGGATACGAGACGTCGGACACCAGGCATCAGCACAGGCAGGCATCGCTCCACGCGAGCGAAGCATCGCCGCATTCTTCGGATGGTACGCTGCACGATGCTGAGGCTGGTGCCGCTGCTTGTGCCCCAGTCGGCGATGCTTTCCGCATGGATAACATATCTACAGCGTTTGTCGCTGATAACGAGCAGGAGCTGCCCGTTGAATCCAGCGAACTCACACGTGCACCGCTATCACGCCGAGCGCTTGTTCGCACCGTCCGAAGCGTTGCCGAGTATATCCACGCCGTGCTGCTCCGTTGGACTAGCGATGATCACGCAGACGGTGGCGGTGGTCTCAGCGCTGCACCCCGCGAGCTCGATGAACTCACCACGGCAGGTATCGTGGAACTGCTCGAGATCCTGCTCTGGAACGAGGGCGTCATCATCCTGAACGATACAGACGGTCTCACTGCAGCGGTTTACGGAGCCTCCGCGTTGGCAGACTTGGCACTCTGTGCACCGTACGAAACGCTCGTAGGAAGCGCCTCCGTCCTCGAATGCCTCCGCCAGACGATTGCCGCTCAGGAACGGTACCGCTTTGGTCGGCCGCCTTCGCCATTATCGCAGCTGCTGCTACGTGAAGCTTGGCGATGCCTTCGAAATATCACTGGAAATACACGAGTCGCTAATCGACTTGTCTTTTTAGCGCAAGATGCAGAAAGAAACAAGGAACCGTCGCTCATCGAACTCGCGCTGCTCCTGAGTGACAATGCGGCGATACCGGCTGCGATCGCCGTCGAGGCCTGGGCCTGTATACGCAACTGGTGCGCTGCTGCCGTGGAGCCCGTGGATCCCTCTCAACCGAGCAGTTCATCGACGACGACGACGACGACGACGACGACGACGAATGTCCCTCGTCGCCAGCCGATGACATCGAACCCGTGGGCCTGTTTCATGCTCTTGGAGAAAAGCGAACACGGTGCGACCTTGTGGCGTCTGGCCACCCGACACGCTGCCCTTCTCGAGACAAGTACCAGCGACGATGCATGCTTCCAGCATCGTCAAGCACTGGAGCAGCTCTGGGCACTGATTTCGGTGATGCTCACCACGCTCAATGAGCATCAATGGAAATATCTCGACGGCATCGGACTCCTCGAGGCCGTGGAGCATGTCCTGCAAATGCCTTGGCAGTTTGAGCGGGATCCGTTCTCCATCGAAAGCGCTGTACCAGCAGACTCGCTCCTCGATACCAACGCACGGACGGTACCGTTACTCGTACGCCAGTACGCGCTTCGTTGCGTGCGGCTCCTAACTGAGCGCGAAACAGGGCTCCGCACCTGGTTGCAGTACACGCGCAAGTGGAGCATCATCAGGCCCAGTGAGAGCGTCCCGCTTTTGGCAATAATCGTCAAGCACTTGACTTGCACGCAGATGAGTGAGCGTCCCGCCTATTATGCGCTTGCGATCCAAGCGGGAGAGGTGCTCACGACCCTGTGCCGCTACGGCTCCGTTCGTGGCGACCTCCTCCAGACGCCAGGCCTAGTACACGGGCTCGTGGGTCAGTTAGCAGCCCAGTCACTGGACCTGCTGGCGCAAAATCCTCAACAGGCAGCCGCTGTACCAGCCGTCGGTGCTGAGCGCACCCCAGCCGCAACGCACGCGCTTCCCAGGAACCAAAGCTGGGTCCAGGATAGAGTGTACCAACCCGAAGCCTTCCAACAGCAGTTGATGCTGGTCTGCCTCCAGGCCCTTACGGACCTCGCAGCACTGCCGCAGGCGTCACCAGCGATTCTCAGTGCGTTGGAACACTACGGTGGCCTTCGGTTCCTGCTCGACTCGTGTCAAGTGCTGGGGTTGCACCCAGCGATTCGTTCCAGCGTCCGAAACCTGTTGCTTGCGCTGCGATCCCTGCTCACGGAAAGCAACACGACACGAAGCCCTGACGTCTTTGATATAGAGAGCGTTATCCAGGACATTTCTCGAACGGCGACTTTCTTGTGCGGTTTCAGTAGTCGTACGCGTCTCGCGCTGGAGCTCTTCGCCGTCCAACAGCGACTCAGCAAGGCGAGTCTAAGCCGCTCTGTATCCAGCAGTGCCTTGTTGCTGCAGCGACGCACTTGAGTGTGTGCTGCGACCGAGGACCCGCGGAAGCGTCGTGCTCCAGGGTGCCGCATCCTGTGAGGTCTCTCCGACTGCAGCTTCAGCGCGGGAGAGTACATGCGTTGCGTATCGTGCGACTCGGGGGGCAGCGCTGGAGTGCGGACAGCACGCTCCTCAAAATCAGCAGCAGCAGCAGCAGCAGCAGAAACGCTGGTGCCTGCTAGTTCAGCCTAGAGCTGCTGCTTGGAACGAGTCACTGGGCACCAAGGTGGCACTTGACGAGGGGGGCGGGTCTTCTGTGGCGACGTCTCGCCCGTTCCTGTCGACGTACTTGGAGCCTGTCTCCAGCGCGACTGGTATATCGGTAAGCCCAGGGTTTCCCGAGTCACCGACGGTGTACTCAGAGACGCACGCTGGTTTCAGTCGCTTGCGGAAATGAGGCCAAAGCGCACGCTAGTGATGCCTCCCCGTTATCGAGCATGGCGGGCCTTGTCACTCAAACGCCTCATAAGCAGCGGTTTCCGTGTTCATCCGGGGCGCAACTAGCTCTCTTGCAGCTGCTTTTGAGCGAAATCTGTATACTTTAAAGTGAATGCCGTTCTTGTGGACGCCTTGGATGAGCCATGCTGTCAGGAGCGGGCATTCGTCTACCCCAAGGTCTAGTGCATCTCTGGTCGACAGCGAAACGCTGAGCGGAAATCGTTTCCGATGGCGCTCGGCTCATGACAAAAGCTACTCAGTATGAAAGGTCGGTGCAGTCGGTCTGCGATCAAATGGCTATGGGCAGGGAACCGAGCCTACGCACGGAAAGTATGCGTTGTGCGGTATCGACAGAGAGGCGCAACGGTTCGCGAATACACTTTTCAGGCGCCGCAATGAGAGACGTACCACTCAATGGGGCTTCGCATCGAGCTGTATTTCCGGGCAAGCGTTCCTGTTCTGCTGCAGCGTTGCCTGATGGGCTGGTCTTCCATAAATCCCGGGCCTTGAACAGGTCCCTGGATCCACGGCAGCAGCAGGGGAACAAGATAGCGTCTGAACGCTGAAACAACCAGCGAATGGCGCTCCCAGGCGCATCCTGTGCGGATGCATCGACTCGACATTGTAGAGACGCGTCAGAAATTCCATATCATGATGCATCTGTACGGCCACTACCAGAAAACTGCATCGTTCATAGCCGCTTCGAGCGAGATCCCGTGGCACCGCCAGCGTCCAAGGAAAACAGTAAGAGCAGGTCCGCCAGTCGACTCGATTGATTCTCTGTACCAGAACTGCCGAGTGCATCCTCTACCATGCTCCGTTTCTTGTCCTGAAGCAAGAGCATACGCTCCTCGACAGAGTCTCGAACGATGTAACGCCGAATCTGTACAGTACGAGTCTGTCCCATTCGATGAACCCGATCCATGGCCTGCTCTTCTACATAAGGATTCCACCAGGGATCCACCAAAAAGACGGAGGAGGCGGCGGTGAGGTTCAAACCAACGCCTCCCGCACGAAGCGAAGCTAAGAGCACGTTCATCCGTCCAGTGGCGGTTGCGGCCGAGGTAGACGGATTCATCGTGGCAAACGCCTCGAGTACCGCTGTTCGTCGGCTCTGGGAGAGCGTGCCATCAAGACGCCCCACTTGAAACAGCGTTCGAGCGTGCTCGTGATTCCATGCTTGCAGCGCTCGTTCAATCAGGTCCAGCATACCGGTCCACTGGGAGAACACCACACATTTGCCGTGCCGAACAGGATCGCGCTCGAACGCCTGCACTGCTTCGACGAGATCATTGACGAGTCTCGCGAGCTTGGTGCTGAGGAAGAAACCCCTCTCCAGGTCGACGCGAAAGCGAGACCGACGCGGCGTACTCATCACATCGGCAAAAGAGCAGCCTTTCCGACACACGGGACATTGGGCGTTCCCGTGTCGATTGCTCAGCAGCAACGTCAAGATGCAGTCTCGACAGAAGACATGCGCGCAGTTCCGTAAAGCCACTGCGTCATCGATGCTCTCCAAACAGATCGGACACAAGGGTTTGGTGTTCGTACTGGACTCGATGGAGCGCTCATCGTGCAGACTCTGCTGCAACTGGCCCGCCAACGTTTCCAGGTACGTGGTCGCCTGGTCTGATCCTCGGCCTTCCGTCAAGCGTTGCATAAACTTCTGCACATCCTGGAGAATATGCAGGTCGCGTGCCGGGCAGGACATGATCAGGAGCGGATGATCGCAGAGCTGTCGAATGCGCATCAACATTTCAAATACCGTCGTCAAGTAAAAGGTGATCTGATTGTCTGCCAAAAACGTGGAAAAGCGCGCTCGACTTGCCTTGTAAACGGCATCATAGAGCTGTCGTTCGGCAGCAGATAGGTCTACGTATACGACCTCCGTCTGCTTGGCGGGTAGCTCCAGAATCGGTGCACCAGTGTGCTCGTCCAGTGTGCGCTTCGTTCGACGTAGCATCAGCGGTTGAAGAATCGATGACAAAAGCGAGAGCGCTGCCTGCATCTTTGCCGCTTGACCTGACTCGAAGGGACGCGCTATGTACCGTTTCCAAAGCGAGGCATCTGACCAGGGTTCCACCGCCAGAAACCGCAACAGCGGATAGATGTCTTCGAGATTGTTCTGCAACGGGGTTCCCGTCAGAGCCCAGCGGTAACGGCTTCTCAGGTCGAGCACGGCACGAGAGCAGCCACTGCTGGGATTCTTGATGACATGCGCCTCGTCCAGGATCAGTCGATGCCAGCGAAGTGCGTACAAACCGCGCGCCTCCGCGGATTCAGTTTGTTGGGTGCTTTTCCAGGTCGAATACAGGGTACCGTAGGTGGTAATCACCACCTGAAAACGCGCCAAGACCAAGGGATCCGTCTCGCGATCATTCGCGTAGTAGATATGGACAATGAAATCGGCATCATCGGCGACATGAGTGTTGAGTTCAGCGCACCACTGACTGAGAATCGACATGGGGCAGACAATCAGCGTACCGCCACAGCAGCTGTCGACGAGCGACCGTCTGGTTTGAGCTGCGGCTGCGGCATTGGCAGCTCGACGTCCACCAGCCTTCGTATCGGACTCGTTTTCGCGGTGCGACTCGGTGGTGACGCGCTCGGGATGCTTCGTGAACAGCGCTGCCTGTCGGTCGAGTCGTGTCTGCTCCTGGGGAGGTCGTGGGTTTGCCAACATTAACGAAATCGCTTCGACGGTTTTCCCGAGTCCCATTTCGTCCGCTAGGATGCCTCCGGCTACCGCCGGCGACGTCATCGGCGGCTGCAGCGATACCCGGCCCGATACTCGATGCTGGAAGTAGCGCGTTCCATCGGGGAGACGCTGCTCCCGCCAGGTTTGTTGGGTATCGTCGCTACTTGGAGTATGACTTGGAGCTCGTTCGCGAGCAACCATCCAGTTCAGGGCACTCTGTTGGTACGGACGCAGCGTCGACGCCAACAGTGGCGGCACCGGCACCGGTGGTGCATCAACATGGACGTTTTCGGCAGCGGCTAGGATCCACTGGACGGCGTCCTCGGGGCGGAAGGCCTCAGTGCGTAGGCACTTGGTTACCGAAGCGGAGCCCCGCTCTCCGGGTGCTTCGATTCGCGCCTTGGTATGGGTAATGGTATCCGAACTCAGAGCCGTTGTTTCGTTGGTGTCCGTCCCTGAACCGGTTAGGGAGTGGAAGAGCTGTGCAATCCAGTGCGTGAGTGCATCCTCCTGGTCCGCGTCGAAGCCTGCAGGTCGCCGACCGCTACGCTCCCCGGGTGCAGCGAAGGAAAACATAGACTTGGCAGCAAATATGGCAACCTCGGCAATAAACACACAGGCGAATCGAATGTGCAGCGGGCAGTCCACCGCTCGAGCTCGCGCTATAATCAGATTGGCGCTCTGCAAAGCACCGAGGCAAGTTGGTAGATCGAGCGCTTCCAGCGGCTCAAGACGCCCAAACTCGCGGCCGTGCTCAGCGGTGCACACCCGCACTGCGAAGCGCAGTCGCTGACGCTGCCGGTTGCGGTTGTGACGACCCAGACTTCCCGTTCCGTTGGACATAATTGGGCTCACCTTGAGCACCAGCTCCGCGCCACTCGTCACCGCCATGGGCTCAAGCGTGGCAGTGGCGCGAACCGGGACTAGAATACTGCCGAGGTACTTGGGCCAGCGCGTCGTGCCTCCTCCGTGCTCTGCTCGCAGCGCCACCAGTTGTTTCTGGATCCAGGGTTCCAACGAGTCCATATCCTCCACCGGGTCTTGAGGCGACGCACACGAGGATGCTGGTTCGCTTTCTGGCGTCGGCGAGTCAAACACTTCACGGCCAACTGCAGGTGTCCGTCTGCTGGAGCCCACGCCGTCGGAGAGGCGTCCGGTTTTCGCTTCCCATGACGTTGCTGACGGCGAGTAGGCACGCTCTGCAGCGTGCTGCTGCCTGCTCTTGGCCCCCGTCTCGTGAGATGCCTGGGAGTTGGGGCGACGCTGCGCTTCGCCGCCTCTGTACCGTTTCCTGGCACTGCTCGCTGCACCTACTTGGCTCTGAAACGGAGTGGAAGCATGCCTGTTCCCTATTTGTGTTTGCATGCGGTCCATGCACCGCGTCTACAACAGATCCAATACCGCGTCCTCCTTATACAGACGACCTGAACAGCGTCGTATGCCCGGAAAGGCTTCAGTTTCGGGTTCGGCTCGGCTCGGCTCGGCTCGGGCCAGTCCTGAAGGCAACGCGTTGTCAAAGCGGAGCGGGAACACGCGCGCTACCTGCACGACGCCCGAGTTCGATGAAAATGGAAGCGTGAATAATATGTTCTGCTTCTTGCTTTCGAACTGTTTTCAGATCTGATTTTCGGATCCAAAAAGTTCTAGACGCGAATTTTAGCAATACGGATTCACGGATTCATGCGTCGGTTTCGGATGCTTTGCTGAGTTTGCAGTCTGGCTTGCTTGAGGCTTTGCCGCCGATACTCATGATGTCATGGGTATCGAAATGAATCGCGGCTCGCTCGAGCGAGGGATCTTAACATACACGATATCCTTATCCAATGGATGTGTACAAGCATCCGCAACGCTCCTTTCCTTAGGTGTAGCATTGCTCAAATAACGAATTCTTTCGAGGTTTCGATCTTACTGCTTCAAGGCATCTCGTGGGCCCCGTGTGTCGCGCCCCTTGATAGACGTTGAAGTTTTTACAACTTGGGCCTGAACGACTTGATCACAAGCTCGTACAGAACGCTCACTGAACAGGTACGGTCAGGGAATCGATTCCGATCGAAAGATAAATCGTTTTCTCTTTGTGGCTGCCGAAGAACAGCGCACTCGACAGCAGCTCGATACCTCGGACGGGATATGCTGCCAGATGCCTCCATCTCTATTGCTTGCATGGGAAAGCGTCTTGGACATGGACGTCAGTCATTGCAGCGATCGTTTCCCGTCGGATATACGTCACCGCTTCCAAGCAAGAAAGCGTAGACGGATCGAAATACGTCGATCTGTTCTCCAGCTTCGATTTTCGTTCCGGCACTTGTTCCATCATAGACAGGATCCAGTTCCACAGATCCTCTGTCTCATGGAAGAGCGTGCACTGCCATGTACAGAGGAGGAATTACTCGCCTGAACCATCGCCCAGAGCAAGCGAGAGATCCCAGGAGATGTTACCGGGTGCGGCTGCCGAGGCAAGGAGCGAGTGGAGCCTTCTGTTCCAGTCAAGGGCGTGCACCGAGCGCTGACGCAAACGTTCATGCTCCCTGTGGCGATACTCGACGGGCAAGGAAGAAGTGTACAAGACGTATGAGGACACCTCACCACCGCCAATGGCACCGCTGCAAAGAGCGCAGCGATGTTGTCTACGTAAGTGATGGAAATGGCAAGCGAAGCGGCGTTCGCAACGACCGCTTTTGCTTGAAGTGCATCGACAGCAGCCGGAAGCAACGAATTCGGTGCTTGCAAACTGCCATCAACATGCTGCGTCTGCTCAAAAAGATGCTGGCGGACAGGAGAGACCGGCCTGTTCAAAGCCGGAGATAAGAAAAGGGCAAAAAGGTCGCAGAACAAGCACTCCCTGGCTGGTGGTGAACTCAGACCCAAACTTTAGAGTGTAACTTCCCACACGGTCCCGTTCTTTCGCCTGCTGACACAGTTGTAACACGCACGCATCCAGGCATCGTTTCAACTACCGATGAGTACGGCGATGACGACAAGAGCAGTTGTTCGGGTACCTGATTCGCTTCCTTGCAGAATCCACGTTTCTAACCAGACGATTCCAGACCCCAGGTCACTCTACAGAGCCAGAGTACCAACGTAATTGTTTCCTCGGCTCTCGTGAACGTATCCTCATATTGCCGAGACGTCCATCTCGTCGGGGTACGAGCTCCCAGCACCTGTGTTTCTCTTGTTTCGCTGGTACGGCGGCGTCGGCAGCCACGGCGTTTCGCTTCGCGCACACGTGGCCTCTTCCTGCGTTTGGCAACGAACGAAGAGGGCAACGATTGCCTTCTAGTTTCGCATTGTTTCTTGGTGCCTTGATGACGCACACAGTGCTCCTGTTACAACCTGCAGCAGCGAAGACGACACGAACATACTACGACTATGAGTCGATCGCGGAGCTGGTGGACGGCCTTTGTCATTTGTACGAGCAGCGGGTACGAGCGCAGAACCCCGGTATGCAGCAAGTGGAGTACGGACTTGGTGACTTGAATCGTTTCATTGATGAACTATTCGATTGTGGAGTTTTGACCTATGACGAAGCGACACGTTCTTACAAACCGCACAATAAAGCTTGGTTAAAGGAGCAGTGCTATCGGCTCTTGAAAGCACGGGCAAAGCCGGCGAACGCTGCCTGAAAGGGGGCAGTGAACGCTGCCCAGTGTCATGTGATCCGCAGGTGTGTAGGTTCTGGGTCTGGGTTAGGTTTGGAGCGCTGCTAGCACTGTAGAATGTCCAATGATCGGCAAGTGTGAACGTTGGGGCTCTGGCTTGGCGCCCTGCGAGCAGTGTCGGGGAGTGGTCGTATTCAAGCCAAGCGAGCACGATTTCTAGCTATAATTGAGAGAAGCGAGACGCTCGAGCGCCAAGTTAGGGATCAAGCATTCGTTCGATGCTCTTGCAACCGTATCATCTCGTCGTGCTTGAACGGCGCTCTCAGGTCGATACCGGCGAGCAACGCGCTAGCACTTGTACGCGAACAGGAGCAGCAGTGGCGGCATCTGGGCTTAGAGAACTAGTCCAGGCTCCACGCAAACGAGATGCGTGATCCATTCGAATACCATCGAGACGAATTCCGTACTGATAAGCTCCACAGGAGCGGTCGTTTCGATGACAGAACGAGTCGCATGATGCGTGGTCGTTCTGTTCGCGAAAAGTATGCCCTCCTCTGGATTCTCGCGTGGGCAGGAGCTTGGCGTCGAGTTGCCGAGACGGCACAGACTTTCCCAATCGGCTTGCAAAAGACGAGCGCTTTGCTCACAGAGGAGCAGCATATTCAAACGCTTCTCCACCTCAAGTCACACCGGCTGGTGACGTTACAACCTGGCGGAGCGCCGTCGCCTAAGTGGCGTCGCTACGAAACCTCTTTTCTTCTAAAGGCTCTGTCGTTCCAGTTGCGACTCCACGTTGTACAGACACTCACCCCATCGACTCAACCTGGATATGCTGAGGCGCGGAGCTCTAGCGTCGCATATCCTGAAGACGAAGGTCTAGGGCAGCGTCCCGGTAAGCGAGCGCCATTGCAGGCTTGGCACTCGTCGACTTTTCTTGATCGGGCAAGCCTCTATTCGCGACGAGATGGCTTGTGTGCAGTTTGAGGAATCTAGAAGTCGCCGCACGGAAACGATGTTCACTTTCCATGTTGCCTTCTGGATGCAAGTATTTGGAAACTTGTGTATAGATCCATTGATCCGAGACGGTAAAAAGCTGGAGTAGTATCGCTGTTTTTCAAAGTACGATCGATCTGTCCAACCGGGTACATGCCCAAAAGTCTGAAAATGATCAGCATCTGGGAATGGGACTTTTCGCTTTTTTTTACCAAGAAGGTTCGATTTCGCTAACCGACTATGTCCCGAATCTCTGATATGGATCGACATTTATCGATACGACCATTCGATGAGGCGCTGGACACCACAGAATGCGAGAAACGGCGCCTGTCGCTGCGCGCTCAGGAGGATTGTTTCTGTTTTTGGGCGCCTGTCAGCGATCCATGCGGAAACCTTGAACATCTACGCTTACGCGAGAGACCATTTTCCCACTGTACGAAGCCTGAGACGGTTTCAAGAGTTTTCATTTGGCTTTAAGCGAATGTGATGCGCGCCAGCTCCGACAAACGCAGCGTGGCGGTTATCGAGGCGCTGCGTCACTGGGGCATCCCGCTGAACCCGCGTACAGGCACCTACACACCCGAGCTGGCGGACGCAGATGCCCGCTCTGGTGCTTTCGTCTCCGACTCAAGTACGCAAGCACGAGTGGACGCTGACCAGGGAAACGATAACACGGAAAGCGCCGTCGACAATAGACGCATCCGCGAGGCGAGCGACTGGCTGCAGCAGCTGCGACCGGCTGTGCCGCTGCGACTTGTTCACCAGAACCTTCAGAGTGTTGCGGAAGAGATACGTGCTAAGCTGACAGCCTGGATAGAACAGGATCTGGGGCGCCGAAGCTCGTTCCAGGCAGAATACAACGGCGATGACGCACTTGCACTAGAAACACCACAAACTGCACCGGCTCGTGCAGGTTGCGCTCAGCCGGACGCGTCTGCATCTGGTGAACTGGGCACTTTGCTGGAGATCATTCAGCATTGCCGCCAAAAGACCCGTTTCGCGTGGGAAACCCTCCAAGGTGTTTATCAGGAGCAGTGCAGCAGGCGTGATCAAGTCTGCACACGAATACAACAAGCATATTGGGCGACTCGGCGACGCTGGCATGCGGAACGCCTTGAGCGCATCACGGAGCTCGCGTGCCAAGTAGAAGAAGCGCTTGCTTCGGTTGACCCATACCCACCGGTATCAGCCGCAGAGGAGAAATCCCCAGACAAGGCGACTGGCATTCGGGACGATACCGCACGCACACCGACCGACGAGTCTGCAGATGCACAGACTGAGGCATGGCATCGACTCTATATTGCTGCCAAGCAACTGGGTGAATGTTTCCAGCTACAAGAGATGTTGCGGGAGGATGTATCCACGGCTGATACGCAGCCGATGCCGCACGAGCCCGACACATCGCCGCTTTCATGTGAGATGCTGGCGGGATTGATCCACACCCAACTGGAGCAGCTTCAAAAACGCCTGGCTACCACGCTCCGCAGCAAACTCGTGGCAACCTTGACAAGTACGTCCGCTGGCGGTGTACCAGAGGCCGTCCACTGGGAACGCTTTCGCGAACTCGCCCAGGCCTATCAAGATGCGCGCCTCGCGCTAGCCTTTGAAAGCGACTTTCGGGAAGCGGTTGTACGGCCTCTGGTGCAACGCCTCATGAAAGAGGCGAACGTGAATACGAGTACCGCTCCCGAAACAATGGATACAGGCGAGTCTGCATTGATCCGCTGCTGGCAATCCGTTATCGCACAGCTGGAGCAGGTTGTTGCTGTGTTTATAACCCCGGCAGCACGCATTGCCATGCAGGTCACTGGGGTACCTCCAGCCACAAAGAGGCGACCAAGTGCAATCCTCTATCTAGATCTCCTCGGTAGAGGCTTCTGGCCGGTAATCGCTGATGAAATACGGGAAGCGTTCGTGACCAAGTTATCACCAGCAGATGCGGAACTTTTCCATCGGGCCTATTGTCTCATGCAACGCTTTGCAGCGCATGTTCGGAGAGCGAGAGCCGCTGTCGTGCCGGAGGCGGCGGATCTAGTCATCCGCCATGAGGCTACGACTGCATTCTGGCGGTGCTGGAACCTTGCTGCATATTTCCAAGTACGCTCGACGGGCCTCATCGAACGTCTCGAACACGTCCTGCAGCTGTCGCCGGAACCCGTAACCACGCTGGATGCCAGGTCAGCGCTCTGTGAACTGTGGCATGCAGATCCAGTTGCATGGGCTTGTTTTCAGCGCTGGCATGCCCAGGGAGTGCGGTGTTGGCAGACCCTCTATACCGTTGCTGCGATACAAGTCTTGTGGTCTGGATCGGTGTTCGTATCGGCGCTGGTGAGCGAGTCGTTGCGGCTGACGCTGCGTCTGATAGCGCGTCTTGTGGTCTGGCTGGAACAAGGCTCGGCAGCGGGTGGTCCATTCACCGCCGCTGAGTGCGCGTGGATGATGGACGATCTCCACATTCTCCAGCGCCAGCTACCTGCCGCATTCGAGACGCTTTGGCGAGATCGAGTCTCTGAGCTAGATGAGGTATTCGCGTCGCCGCATGACGCAGGTGCAGCGCGCGCGCTACCTGTCGCTGAGACATTCACGCAAGCGCTCGAATGGCTCGTCAACCGAACCGTGCCAGGTCTGGAACAACGAGTGACTGCCCTAATTCTCGAGCAATGCACCGAGAAAATGCAACCATTGCGTGGCCTGCTTGCAGCGTATCGAATGATGTCGAACAAGCCCATGCCCAGCAGAGCGACTCCGTTCATTCACGCTGTTCTTCTGCCCTTGGATTCGTTTTTGAAGGAGCTCACGAATCCGTGGCAACAACAACAACAACAACAACGGAACGAGGTAATGCCCTTCACGGCAGCGGCGCTGCAACAGTGGCGCCGGCGCTGGGCCACGCACATTGCGGTGGCGGTCATCCATCGCTACCTGGATACAGGCTTCGAGGTCGTTCGAAGCATCGAACAAGCTGAAGCCGCGCTGCGTCGCTTGCATCTGCACGATGTGGAGCGTGCTGCTGATCCCGACGCAGACCGTACGGAAACGGAACGCACCAAAATCCTCCAGCAGATGCGTCTGGACGTACGCTGGCTCATGGACCAGCTCAAGGACCAGCAGCGCTACGGTGGCGTGGATATCTTACTGGAACCTGCGACGCCAGCTCCGGAGACGCCGCCAGAGCTTGTGCGCTGCCAGTGCCGAATTCAGGAGCTTCTTGGTACAAAGTGAAGCCGCGCTGCGCAACGCAACCCAAGAGCCGGTGTGTCTGCGGACCCCACGCAGTGTACGCGTGTTTGCCTCTGGAAACTCGGTTTCGTTTCCCGTGCATATGCACACTGATGCACAGATGCATAGGTGTGAGCACGGGCGTATGCACCGATGCTCTCATCGATGCATGGGCATGGAGGCTGGCGACTACCTCCCTGCCCGACACGCTTCCAGGTAAACCGTTCGCGGACACAGACAAACACACATACACACACAAGCACGCACGAGCATATGCGCTGGTGCGCTTCGTGCGGCCGTAGCATCGCCCTAGTGCAGACGAGCCAAATCATCCACGAGGAGTTTGATATGCTCGATGGATGCACCGACCTGGGCGGCCACGAATTCCATTTCAGTGGGTTCAAGTTCCCGAAACCGCTCCACCAGATCTCCGTCCACGAATCCTCGTCGCGGTAAGTCGAAACAGGTCATGCTATGCAAGCTATTGAGGGCGCGCTCAGAAAGCGGTGTGCGCCAGTCGGCGTGCGCAAAACCCTCGACACCAAGCCGGATACTGGTGAGCGGTGAACGACGCACCCGCTCGTGGCCGTTGTCCGCAGCACCCGCTTCAGCAGGATGATCCGTCAGCGAGCGCAACGCTTTCTCCACCCGCGACAGCATACGATGTTGTGCTGGGTCCAGCGGCACGATGATGCCGATCGCTCCAGCGGTCGTTGCGAACAGCAGCGTCTGACGGCTGACGTTGTCGGCAGTCGTGGTGCCTGTCGATGCTCGCGCGACATCCCTGGTGCTCTCGGTATCGATGGTGCTGTGACCGTTTCCAGTGCCGGCCTCTTCATTTCCAGAGGCCTCTGTGACCAGTTTTCCCCGCCGAAAGACGTTCACCAGATCACCGAGATGGAAAGCACCCGCACGATTGAGTGCGTGGCGGAATTCCGATCGCGTTTCGTGCGGATTCCGCTGCAACGACAGCAAATTGTACGAGTTATCGGCCGCAAGGTACGTGTCCTCGTTCAGGAACGCACAAGCCGTTATCCACGCGGTCTCGTAGTCCCATGCCACCGCTTTGAGACACGGCGAGGCGCCATCGGAAGTTTCGCCTTCGGGCAGCACCAGCTGTAGCACACAGAGCGATTTCATGAGGTCTCCAACGAGAAGCTGGTCGCCGCGTGCTTCGAGGCGCAGCACGAGTACGTGCCCCAGATGGCGAGCAACTTCACGCAGTTCGTAGTCGTCGCCGTGACCCGACTGACCCCAATCGTAGAGGATCACGACGTTGTTCACGCCGGCGGCAAGGAACCGGGCAGCACTCGCCGGAAACCGACACGTGCGATCACTGGGATCCGCCAGGGCGCTCATGGTGTAGACGGCACCTGGCGTGTACAGCTCGTTCAGTAAGAGCAATTCCTCTCGACTGAATACGAGTATTCTTCCGCGGGATGGTTCCATTTCTGAAGGCAGCACATACGCAGTACCGACGACAAAGACATCGCGTTCGGGAATCGCCACCAGACTCAGGCCGTGCTCGTTCATCGCCAAATCGTGACTGGTGATCGTCTCGAGCGTTTCGTCGTTCAGCAGACGTACATGGTGTCGTTCCTCCCCGAAAACTATCGACACGGTTAGCAGGCAGATATAGCCACGAAGGTGGGCAATGCGACGCGGTTGCTCGCGAAGATCGTGGCGACGAATGTGCAGCTGTTGGATGTGCTCAATCCCGCCGAGTGCAAGGCCCTGCTCCGTCGCCACAGCGATCGAGTCCGGAAAACCCTTCGTGTGAAAGCGAACCGCCCGGGTGACGTCACGAAGGTTCACATTCCCACAGAATAGGGTACCGTGGTGCGCGTGGATCACAGATGCGCGTCCACATGCGGCAAAAACGTAGCGCATTCCGTGAAGCTGCAGATTATTCAGTGCTGCAGGACGCGAACCGAGCCGTAGTTGCCGCGGATGTTGGAGTTGCAGTTCGCACTTGCTGAGATCTTCTGGCTCGGGCCCACTGCGTTTCGCATCTGGCTGTGAAACGTTAAACGCGAAGAGCCGACCATCGCCGACGGCGACGAGCAGGCACAAATGGGCTCTGCCGCCGTGGTCGGCCATCAGGCCGCCATGATCATCCAAGTAAGTCAGAAGCACCGACCTGGGGACCGACGTTGACGGCAACGCACTTTCTCGTATGCATTCCAGTTCCCAGCGATTCCCCGTGTCCTCATGGAGCCGGAACAGCCGTATTCGAGACTCTGCCCAGGTACCGAGCGCAACGATTCCGTAAGCGGCGTGTATGCAAGCGACCTCAGCCGGAAGCGTCTGGCTGCCGACTGGCACAAGGGATGTCTTCCGCTGCTGGAGAACATAGAGCTGCGCATTACTAGTTGACACGAGAACAAGCTTATGCAACTCATCAAAAACTGCATTGGTAATTTGCTCTGATGAGGGAGGGGTCCACGCCACGGCAGGTCGCTCCAGGAGCGTCAAATCAACGAGCCCGACATACGATGCGGTCACCCAGAGTGCAAGCTGTTCAGCTGGCAAGCGCATCGCTAGGATTGTAGCCTCATCCACAGCCAGCGATTCCACTTCAACGAGCTCATCGTGTGCTGCGAGACGAAGGACTCGTGTTTCTGCTGTGAAGGACACAACCAGAAATTCATCCCACTCGGGTGAGGTTAGTGAAGGCAGCGTGAACAGCGCCTTGATGCCATCGAGCTCCACGGCGGCATGCTCAACAAAGCCGATCCCATTTCGGATGATTCGCAATGAGCCCATTCGAGAAACTCCCGAGCATGTGATGATGTGCCCGTCGCTAAAGGAATCATCACCGGTGACGAGTAGATCTTGGATAGGACCGATGTTTGTGTAGCACTGCACCACTTGTCCGAACCAGAGCTGACACTCGGCTCTCTCGGCTCGGGATTCCCTGCGCTCATGGCTTGATGCCGATGCAGTGGCGAATAGCGTCGTTTGCACGAGCTCAGGTGACTCAGTCTGCGACGGCAGCAGTCGAACAAGTTGGGAGTCACCTAATGCCGAGCCGACGAAGACCAAATCACTCCCCAGGTAAGCAATCGCGCTTGCCACGCTGCTCTCGCAAACACACTCGAGGCGCATGCCCACTTCAGCACCAACTGAGAGAACATACAGAAATCCATCCCGATCGCCCAGCAAGTAGTGGGCGTGGTAGCCGGCAGCCGCAAGCATCTCAAGCCCTGTTTCGAAGTGGTCTTGTCTGTTTGCCTCTACCGATGCAGACTTGCTGCTGCCGCCAATGCCGCTTATAGGACAAAAACAACGCATCGGTGCGAACTGACCGCCGTGGAAATGGATTACTTGCTTTGCGACGCCGCTGCGGCCGGGGTGGAGTGCCAGGGACGTGTCACAGGCAACCACGAATCCCCCGCAGGCGCCGTCGTTTGCTGAATCGTTCGGTGCTGGCGGCACTGGAATAATCAGCTCGGCCGAGGCATCCAAATATTGCTGTGCAATGGGTCCCTCTCTGACATCCTGCCGACCAAGAAGAATTTCATATGAGACCAGATGGCGATTATGAAGATAATCCGTGTGGATTATGGCGAGCGTTGGATGCTCCGTCCCGATAAGGAACTCCATGCTCTGGACCTGCACAACGTCGAGCCGAACCTCAAAGGCCTCACCCATGAGGCTGCCCGGTACTACTTTCAAAAGGCCGTCATAGGCATAGACGGCTAGGCATCGCGCGCTGGGATCAAGCGCCACAAACTCACCAAGCGGGCATCGCCGGCCGAGTTTAGACGCGAGCGACCCCGCAACGAGTGTCGCCACTCCCTGCAATCTCGTGTCATACTTGATCACGGCAAAGTCCAAACGTTCCGTCAATATGAAGACAGCGTCCGTGCTCTGGTCTCCAGCATCGGACGGTAGCACCTGTACAGTGCGTGCTGTTTCCGGTACGGGTTTTAAGGGTGCTTCCACTTTGTGCCGTGAGCTTGTTCGAGCACGCTTCGAACCACTTCGCGGGGTACCCCCGTGCAGATTCAAACTGCTGAGACGCTCGGAGGGTTGCAACGCACCCACCGGGCTCGCGACCCTTGTTCCCCGAGCAGTCGCACGCTCGCACAGTCCGACACCGGGCAGTACCTCGAGTGCCGCTATTCTGCCAAAGACCGGTAAGTTCGCGTACGCGACTAACGCGCTCTCATGCGACTTTGTGCTATCGGTAGAGACTTCATACACTTCGATTCTGTTTAAACGCACCAGAAGCACACTGGGCTGGTCGGGGGAGATGAAGCGCGCAACGCGCGCGTGCGTCACGATCGACGGTTGCGCAGCAGTAACCACGTAGAGTCCACATCCAATCGACTCTTCAAGCGGGAGTTGAGCGCTTTCCTCGATTGCTGGAGCACCTGCTACGGACTCGCTCACACTAACAGGCTCCAGGCTGTCCGTGGACATGCTTCAGCTACGCTTTTTCAGCAGCGCCTAGGCACGGGTAGCGTACAACGTGGCGCCAACGACGTTGATGCGTGCGTGTTTTGCGCGCACGCACGCATCCGGCGGTGCGTGCGCGCGGCAATTCTGTATAAGGATGCGCTGAGGACGGAGCGTGCCTCATTGAATGAGGCCTGGACGGACCACTGGACAGAGCTGCATGAAAACGTAACTGGGCACTGCCAAGACCGAATCTATTGGCAACAGTATGCTGCAGAACTACCGCGCCTCGAACCGGTACCGGAATGGAACGACCCAATCTTCTGGCCTGAATCTGTTCGGACCCTGCTATGCGCAAGCAACCGCAAAACACCTGGCATCGGCGGTATCCCTGCGGAGAGGATGAAACTGGCGACCCCAAAAGACGGGACAACAGGGACACCATCGATACCAGATGAACCTGACACAACGTTAGGTAAACGCCTTGTGGAGCTCATCCAACGCATGTTCGAAGAGGCGTACATCCCGGATGTATGGAGGACTGTCGAGGTCGTACCGATCCTCAAAAAGGACTCTGACATACACACACACACAGACATGAACAGACATGAATATCTACCGGACTATGCGCCTCATCCCGTAAATCATGAAGCTACTTTGCGCCATTCCCAAGAAACGGACTCAGATAGGCCTCGTGGAACGCAAGTTCTTCGCCCCAGAACAGGCTGGATTCCGGAGCCACGAGGAGTGCATGAGCCATGCCCTGACCCTAGCTGAAGTGGTGCAACGTCGCTCCATTAGCGGCCAACAACCAATTTACGTATGCTTCATCGATTTCCAAAAGGTTTTTGACACGGCCCCGCATGAGGCTCTCTTTTTGAATATGGAACGAGCCGGAGTCTCCGGAAAGTGCCTAGCGTTCTTCCGTGCGCTCTATGTAGACTCATGGATGCACATCCGACTGGGCGACGGCTCAAGAATCCTTTCGATAAGGATCTGCCATGGACTGCGACAGAGCGACCCCACATCCCCGCTCCTTTTCAATATCTTCATCAACGATCTGCTGAACAACTGCAGGCAATACGGGCTTGAGGTGCCGTGGATAGACTGTGGAGAGCCCGGTGAAGAGCGCCCACATGGGAACCGCCTCGCAGGCCGTCTATTTGCGGACGATGTCGTGCTGTTGGCACCCGCCCCGGAAACGCTTGCTGCTAGCATGCAACAAGTCAGCGCCTGGGCCGATCGCTGGGAGATGAGCATAGGAGCATCGAAGTGCGGCGTCATGGTCATCCATGGAGACTCGCAGCGCATTCGCAGTCGCTCGTGGCGGTTGCAGAATCAGGAAATTCCGATCGTGGAAAAATATCGCTACCTGGGGGTCTGTCTCACGCCGACGCTCGACGAAAAGGCACACGTTGACGAGATGATCGCCAAGATGCATAGAGGTACAGCGATCGCACGCCCATTCCCATCCGACCCCTCTATCTGCATAGCAATCCGTACGAGGGCACTAAGGATGTGTATCATCCAGCCTGCGACCTGGGGTACTGAATGGTGCGGCATGAAGCACCCAAATGTCTCGCGTCTGCAGACAGCCGCCAACAGGGCAATGCGACTCGTTGGTGTTGGATGCTCAATGTAGAGCAGAGCAACCACCGCGCTGGCACTCGGACTTGAACTCCAAATACCCTCGACAGAAGCGATAGCAGCAGGCTGCCGGGCATGTATACGGGCCAAAGGGCCCACCATGTACACCTGGTTCAGTCGGAGTTTCATGAAGACCCCAACCCACCGCAAGAACACTTGGATGAAATCGACGCAGATTTGGGTGAAGCGCCTCTTGGGCGAAAACACGCTCCCCAATCGTTCCCCAGAAATATAGAAGGCTCCCGCCGCCTCAAACGCACGGTTCATGAAACAGTATGGTAACGCTGAAGTCGAAATATTCGCATCGGAGACGTTGATCGGACGTAGCATACGCATTAGAATCTAGAGTATACATACATGTACTGGTGGGCGGCACTGGAATCCCCGGAGCTTGCTCGACGAGCTCATAGGATCGCAACAATGCGCGTTGGTGTACTCTGACTGACCTCGGCTCTATGCTGCATCGGAACACGGGACGCATCCTGGGAATCACACTTTCACTCTTTTGGGATTGTGAATCATGAAACTCTGACACACTTGTTCATAAGATGTGCGCGTTGACAACAGGAATGCAGATACCTTTTTTAAAGACAGCGGCTTCTCTGTATTTCTATGGAGGAAGACCAGAGGTGGCTCGCAATTGCTGTAGCCCTCGCGATGAATTGGCCTCTAATCGAGCCACGGCGCTCACTGGCGGGTACCAAATGTACATGCCACCCTCTAAGCGGAAGGTCCTGCGAACGGGACCACAGCTCGGGTCCAGCGCTTGTGCAACTCCCCAGAGCAAGTTGCGGATCAAAGGCTTGCGTCGCGAAACGGCAACGCATTCTAGACACGAATACGAAGCGGAGACTCGGCCGCCAACATTCATCTCCACTGTCAACTTTCTCCGACGCGTTGTGCCGCGAAGACAGTCCTGTGTCAGCAGCCAGTTCCAGCACACATCCATGACGACACCCGACCCCGTACCAGGTGAACGATACCTCCAGCGTACATCCGCCACGGGATAGCAAAACAGTACAGTCTCCGAGCTGCACCCGCATCCACGCTACGAGCGCTATTGCGTACGCTGAACGGAGCCTCGACGCCGGGTGAAACGTTCAAAAACGCCCATCATCTCCGCTGCCAGGCATGCGACATGGAATTCGAAGACTGGTTAAACGATGGACGATTTCCAAATCCCTGATATCCAATGCACCTTTCGGTTTCATGGGTCCGTATGCATACACACGCAAACAGAGCCTGAGGGATTGGGGGCAATCGTCGGGATTCGGCCGCCTCGCACCGGTCGGGTGTGCTGCGCAGCGGCGGCGACGCCACCCGGGGGATACCTGCCACACTGGACACAGCACCAGACGAGTGTGCGGCGTTTCAGAGAGCCCGTGTTGCTGCTCATGAGACACCGCCGACGAAAGTTGCCGGGTAGCGGACACCAAGCTGAACGCCGTGCACCTGGTCGGCTGCCGCGCTTCGTTGTCGACGCGGTAGCTGATGACGAGTCCATCGCATCATCTGAAGCAGAAGACGAAAACGCGGTGCTCGGGGAATCGGTTGCTCTCGACGGCCTAGAGAGCAAGAAGCTGCGCAGTTTAAGTGGTTTACGTGGAAGCTCTACAGCAGATCTCGATCCGAGTCTCGAACAGGCAGCCGATGCCGAAAGCGCTTCCAGTTCTGAAGCGGAGGTAAGCGAGCAATCAAGACGTCTACACCTTGCAAAGGCGTACCTGGAGCGCATCGGAGCAGCAAGGTTTACTGAAGACGATCTGCACCAGAGAGCAGACGAAGACAGCCTCGAGGCACGAGATGCAACCGCTCTTGGTGACGCAAGCGACGATGACACTGACAGTGCGAGCGACGCGTGGAACGAGGTTCTCTATAGAGAGGCGCAGCAACTTCGCGGACAGTACTATGCTTCTGAAATGGCCTTCGATGATGTGGAATCCATGCTTCCTGCTGAACCTACGCTCACGGCTTTCGGTCACAAAAGGCCCCCGACCTGTATCACCTTTTTGCCCGACGGTGAGGTGCTCGGGCCTCCCCGATACGCCATCACTGGTGGAAAGGATGGAGCACTGCTTCTATGGGATATCGAGCGTGGTGCCAAAAGCATTGTCTCCGCAAGTGCGACCTCTTCCGCCGGGTCCGCCGCAAAGCCCGAGATTCTCTGCGTCGCAGCGTCGCGTGACGGGCGGTTGGTCGCTTCCGGCAGCCGCGATGCATCCATTCGTATCTATGATTTGCGACAGCGGAACATATCTGATGACTCTCCCTCGATACCTATCCTTTCGCTTGTACATGTCGCGCGGGGTCATCGGGGTGCCGTCAGCGGACTGGCCTTCTTTCGGGACGTTTTCCGGAAACATGCCGGACCGGGTGTTTCAATCGGCGTCGATCGCAACTCCACAGAAGAGAGTCTCTTCAGCGCCTCCTTCGATCGAACGCTTCGTTTCTGGAGCATAGAGCGTTCCAAAGCTGCACCGCAATCCATTCTGGATTCAGGCCCAGATGCCGAGGCCGGTCTGTACGACGGCCGCAACATGTCCCCGTGGAGCGTGCACTACGTCGACAGCTACTACGGCCACGAAGAAGAGGCGACGAGTCTCTGCTGTGCGGCGTGGGGCAGGCTATTATCTGGCGGCCGAGATCGCACCGTGCGTTCTTGGAAAGTCTACGATGATACCCAGCTTGTGTACAGAGCACCTCGAACTGCTGGTGCACAGATCGGTACCAGCATAGACTGTGTTGCGTGGGTGAGCCCGACCACCTTCGTATCGGGTGCTGATGATGGATCGCTTTCACTCTGGTCTACAGCGAAGAAGAAACCGGTCCATAAGATTCTTGACGCCCATAAGAATCCCGTATGCCCGTGGATATGTTCGGTGGTGAGCCCTGAGGCCGCCAATCTGGTTTGCAGCGGCTCTGCGGACGGTTGCGTACGCCTCTGGCGTGTTCGTATGCAAGCATCTGTGAAAGCCAGCGCCAAGAGCGCGAAACGGCACGGGTCCTTACCAGAATCCCTTGAGGCGCTTGGGACGTTGCCATTCGCCGCCAGCGGGTTCTGTAATGGCATTGATTGTGTTCTTCAGAAGCGTACTCTTTACATTACAGCGGCTGTGGGTCAGGAACATCGATTCGGTAAGTGGTACGTCGACCGAAGCCTTCGGAATGGACTCGCGTTCTGGCGGATACCGCTCGCATGAAAGGCCCCTAAGCTAGCCCATCGCACCGATAAGCGTCTTTTTTTAAGAATCTCACTTCACGCACAACGGACTCGGGATATGCTCTGTGGCGATACGCTGCACCGCGCAGAGCTTAGTACGCCCACTTCAGCGATCCGGATAGGGGCTCAGGATTATTTGTTCCAGTGTTTTCTCACTCGTGAATGGAGAGAACGAAAGCCATCTGACATCAAGATTTCCAGTGATATTCGAACCTGCGGCAAGAGTCCCGCACGTGGCGATGTCCAGGGCACCTGCCCGGCACTGACTTCGCAGTGCAACTCGTGGAAATCGTCTTCGCCACCATAGACGCTGTATATGCCCTCCTACGCTTCAGTGGCATTTTCATTCAAGTTCTGAAACGCATACGCCGCGCAACAAAAGCGGAACTGGCGACCGCACACCCGACTTGAGATTGCAACCGATGATCCGCACACTGTCTGCTTGCTTTTGTGGAGCGCTCGCTATTTTCCTCCAGAAGCACAGCAGGGGCATCAAAACTGAACCACAGAGATCGTGCAGCTTGCCATAGCGTTGATACACGCTGGCTCCATCACAGAGCGACGGCATGCACCTATGCAGTAAAAACCTTTAAACAAGCGAATGCCATGGAATGCACCAACATAGGTGCTGAGCGACTCTGAGCGAGCCCGCGTCACGAGCCTCCCGGCTCGAAGCCTCTGCATCTGCACAATGTTCAAGCACACACGGACGCATGCGGAAGGTTTGCGTCATCGATTCGCTGGATACCGAGCCCGCGACCCACGCGAGCCGGTGCGCAACGCGGGGACGCGTCAGCGGGACCCCGAGCTCCCGTCGTAGACCTGAACCCGTAGGTTATACGATATTGCACTATTATAGATGAAAGGGACTGAAAGCTGCTCGAATCTGCACTGCACCATCAGCGTCCATGAGCCATTCTCTCGAACGTTATCCGAAGCAAACTGCACGGTTCATGTTTCTTTCGGCGGTGAACTGTCAGCGTTTAGAGAAAACAGCGAATGATTACCTGGGTAGCTCGCGAACACTGCATCGTCGCGCCGTTGACAGGCGAGCGGGAGCGAACGCTCCCACTAGGTGGCACACATGTCCGCACCGCTTTCACCTTGCTGCGGTGACAGAGCGGAGACGGGCGCGCCATCTGAATGAGGCCATTGCCGGGGACGAGCTGGTAACGTGTTTGAGTAAAGACCGGAACGTCGTTGTCAAAGCTATTCGAGCTTCCGGACTTGTGCGTACGGCGTCCGAACTGCATGAAGCGACGCCGGTCGCTGCTGCCGCTCTAGGGCGTTCCTTGCTCGCTGCGCTCTTGCTCGCGAGCGGCAAGAAGGATCTTGAAACTGTTCAGATGGAGTTCCGCGGAGACGGTCCTCTTCGGGCTGTTGTTGCCATAGCCGATGGAAGAGGTCACGTCCGCGGTTACGTCGGAGACCCCCAGGTTCAGCTGCCCCCGACTGCTGCTGGGAAGCTCGATGTGGGCAGAGCGGTCGGCCGAGGCTTTCTCGCAGTTGTTCGTAACCACTCGACCTGGTCGGAACCGTACCGAGGTATAACCGAAATTCAAACTGGTGAAATAGGAGACGACGTGTTGCACTATCTGGTGCGTTCAGAGCAGATTCCATCCGCGCTGGCGCTCGGTGTATTCGTACAAGGAGGACACGTGCAGGCAGCTGGCGGGTACCTGGTACAGTTGCTACCAGAGAGCACACCAGAAACGCTTGATCGAGTCGAAGAAAACGTCCTTCAACTGAACAAGCGTGGCACCCCGACACAGTTGATCCGCGACGGCATGGATGCCGTGGACATCGTACAACAGCTGATGGTGGACATCGACGAGACGTCGTTGCGTCGCGTCCAACCGCAGTACAGTTGTAGCTGTGACGCCAGCCGAGTCCGCCGGATGGTTGCCTTGTTACCGCGTGACGAGATAGAGTCGATTTTGCGTGAACAGAACCGGCTAGAGGCGAAGTGCGAATTTTGTGGATCATACTATGAGTTGAGCTCCGACGAAACGCGAGCGCTGCTGCGTGACGCGTGATGCGCGGTATCCCGACAAGCAGTCACCGGCGCCTTTGACGTAAATTTGTCAATATCATCGACGATGCATCATCTGGTAGACACGAGAAAAATGGACAAGGCCATGAAACGCATAGAGCTTGATCTGATTTAGGCGGTATTTGGGGGCAACTCGAAGGCCTTGTCTGCTGGAGTACGAGTATGCGGGTTGCGAAGTACGCGTGTTCAGCATGCGGGATTAGGTGGATCTGTCAGCTCCGCGCTGCGATGGAACGCCAGAACTTGTTGTATTGTTTATGCCGCCGAACGACAAAGACCGTTTTTTATTTCCTGTCGTTCCGAGATTCCAATGGATTGCAGGGTTCCGGAAACCTCGAAACCGCGCGATATAGCTTCTTTGGGCTGCTTTCATGAGGAAACACGAATGCGTAGAGGGCTCGAACGATCCCGCCAAGCAGACATCAAAGCAGACTGGCAGACTAGCTAGCTGCCAGAAACTTGCACACAAACCAAGCGCAGAGCCTCTTTGTACGTACAATTCGCGGACGTTTCGCTGGGCGAGAACCTCTCGCCGAGCACGAGTATTTCACAGGCGACACAGCATCTGTCACGTAGGCGACTCGAACGACGCTGAAAAAGCGATCTTCCAGATCATTTCTACTGGTCTAGTCCGTACGAATGTCGACTTGGTTACTATCAGAGGTTATCTCACAATCCGCCAGGTCGAAGCATACACAAATGCGGGATGCTTCGAGCCTGCGGAAAAGCTTCTCTGGAGGGTGCCTCGCGAGTGCGCGCGCGCATTCCCCTGAACAAAAGCAAATCGAACTAGGAAACACACAGGCCTAGAGTCTGCGTTGACGAGGCACCGTATTCACGATGAGCTTGTTTCTTGGCTGTTATCAGCATACGTATGAGGAATAGACAACGAGAGCGCAACGCAGGTGGTGCGATCGACCTTAGGGAATGACATACGACTGCAGATTCACTGCTAGAGTTGCTCAGTGTCGCCTCTCTGTCGGGTTTCACAAAAAACATATCTTGTAAGGGCTGTATATCGACGGGAATCAGACTCCGAGCACAAGAACGATTTAGGATGGGCTTACTCGCGATACAGACTCCAGAGGCAAATACGCAACCAGCTGTTCGGCTTTCCTGTAGCCAGATGACCCAAAAATCATGGTTTATCCGCTTTTCCGTGCAGCTCAATTGAGAGCCCAAGTTTGCGACCCGTACTCGCCTTCTGGGTCTTCGCTAGACCTCAGCCGGCGATGCCGAGCCTGGGCGAAACAGAATCGTTCTCTCCCGAGGCACGACGCTAAGCATCTTGAACCTGTTCGTGACTCAAAACATCCGCCTCGACTTGCTTCCGAGCGAGATTCCGTTGCCGGCTAACTTGCAACGCGACCAGCATACCATGCGGTCATTCGACGGAAATCTGCTTTTGCCTTTGTTCCAGTTGCTGCAGCTGCTCTGCGAGACCGATTCCAGCGCCTGCTTGGTCTCGTACCCGCAAAATACCGAGCTCCGTCACGATACCTCCGGTGATCAACTCGGGTGGTGTGATATCGAACGCTGGATTGTATACTGGGGTATCGACCGGTGCGAGCCACTGGTCGCTGGATTTTCCGGACGGATTCAGCACCTCGGTGGCACTGCGCTCTTCGATGATCATTGCCGCACCCGTCGGCGTCTTCAGGTCGATTGTACTGCATGGTGCACACACGTAAAAGGGAATGCCATAATGCTGGGCAGCGATGGCGATCATCAGGGTGCCTATTTTGTTTGCGACAGCACCGTCGGCGGCAATGCGGTCGGCGCCCACAGTCACAAACTGGATGCGGCCCTGGGCCATCAAGAAAGGCGCAGCCGCGTCCACGGAGAGCTCATAGGGGATGCCCCATTGGCGAAGCTCCCAGCAGGTCAGCCGTGCACCCTGAAGACGAGGCCTAGTCTCATTGACGTGCACGTGTACCTTCCCGTGAAGCGCAGCGAGTTTTCGAATGACACCAAGCGCGGTACCACCGCCGGCCGTTGCTAAGCTGCCGGTATTGCAGTGGTGCAACACTCGAAGCGTCTCGTCTTTGCATCCTTCGTGATGCCTTTGCTTCCAGCGCTTTAAAATTTCCTCCGCACCATATGCTGCGATCTTGTTATTCATTAGACGCTCGGAGGCTACTAGTTCGTTGGCTTTCCACAGCAGTCGTCGCCAGTTCGTCGTCTGTAGCTGTCGCAAGGCGTCGAGCGACCACTGCAGGTTCACCGCCGTGGGTCGGCTAGCGTAGAGCGTGTGGTAAACCTGGTCTTCCGGTTCGCCGCTTTTAATGCCAAGAACATACCCGTACGCAGCAACAGCACCGATGGCGGGTGCACCCCTCACCACCATATCCCGAATGGCTTCTGCAACTTCACGGTAGTCGACCAGACGCACGTATGATACCTGGTGAGGGATTTCGCGTTGATCCAGTACCAGGAGGTAACCGTCCTCATCCTGTCCGTGTTCATGGACTGGAACCCAGCGAAACGTGTCGTAAGGTTCCGTGTTTGCCATTCGGGCTTGGAGAACGGCTCACGCTGCTCCAAAGACGTGAAGCAACGAGCCGCAGCGGCAGTCGCAAGTCGCTGGGGGTATGGGCGCCCCGCTGCCGCCGTTGCCGCAACCCGTGCCAGACGACGCAGACTGCAGGCGGTATCAGAAGCGTTATCATTTATCAGTCTACACCAGAAGCACTTGAAGAGGATTCTTGGACGACAGAGGCTGCAGTCTAGACGCTCCGCGCTACGTTTGGACTCATGTTTGCGTCTCCGCAAACAGTCCCAGCGATCGTACTTGACGTGGGAAGCCGCACGACCAAGGCGGGGTTTGCCGGAGCGGACCTGCCGCAGAGCCTGTTTCCGTCCATCGTGGGGTCCTACATCAGTGAAGGGGGGTCACTGGAGGGCACACCCGCAAAACCGCTAGCCAATACGGTCTTTGCTGGCTACGAGAACCTGCTGGGAACTGCAGAGCGTGTTAGGTTCCTGGAACTGCGCACTGCGTTCGACGACGACGGTATCATTCAAGACTGGGCAGCTTATGAGGGACTCTTGGACTATACTTTTCACCAGTTAAGAGCTTCACCAGAGGAATACGCCCTTCTTCTTGTTGAAGCATCCCATAACCCGAAACGCCCGCGAGAAGAACTCTGTCAAGTACTGTTTGAAAAGTACGGTGTACCTGCCGTGTACTTTGGGCGAAGTGCCGCCCTCGCCTGTGTCGCTGCTGGACGACACACCGGCGTTGTTCTCGACTGTGGTGCGAGTGGTGTAACCGCAACGCCAGTTGTTGAGGGAAATGTCATGAAACAGGCTATCTTGCGGAGCCGAGTCGCGGGTGGCAATGCCCTCACGCGGGCTGCTGCTGAGCTTCTCGGCGGTTTCGATGCAGTTCGGCCTGCGTACGCTTTCCGCCGGCGGGCTCTCGGCCGTGGCACCAACAAACGTGACGCAGCTGATCCAGAGGCAGCCACCGAGGAACTTGCGGCTGCAGCGAGCACTGACGGGAGCAGCAGCTCCGAAGAAGCCGACGATCGCGTTGACTTGATCGGTGGAAGGACCCCGGATACGGAAAGCGCTGCGTCTGTTGCCGAGGGACGCATGGAATTCCGAATAGAGCCGCTTGACGTGCATGGCGTTACTCGTAGCTACGATGAATATGCCCGCATCGAAGTTGTCGAAGACTTTAAGCACCACGTATGCTGTGTGAATCGTGAGCCGAGTTCAGTCGAAGACGTTGCCGAGGACGGTACCGCTTCGAATGCCGTTTCTTGGGAAACGAGGAAAGCAGACGACGAGGGTTTGGCGGGCCAGCCTGCCGATCCTGACATACCGCCCATCAGGTATGAACTTCCCGACGGAACGTTGGTATCCATTGGAGCTGAGCGTTACCGCCCTGCCGAGATACTTTTCAAAACGCTGCCCCATGCGCGAACCATCAAAGAGGATCGTCCATTCCTTGCCTACATCCGCGAGCGGGAGCGGGGACCTTCCTCCAGCAAAGGGCTCGCTGGGATGGTCGCGGACACCATTCAGCGGTGTGAGGGCGCCCAGCACCGCGAAATGTATGCTGGGGTTATTTTGACCGGGGGATCCTCGGTGTTACCCGGCCTCTCGGATAGGTTACAGACGGAACTCTACTTTTATCATAGTCGATCCAAGATGCACGCAGCCGCGAACCCCATGGAACGCAAGTATATGGCGTGGACCGGTGGATCGATTCTTGCGACGTTTATGGATTTCCAACAGAATTGGTTTTCCCGTGCGGAATACCTCGAGAGCGGCGTCTCGCTCGTGCAGAAGCGATGTCCCTGAGCGCAGATGCTATCAGCGTGTGACGCTCTGCACAGGATGGCAATGCACCGGCAACCAACTAGCTCGATGTCGATCGAAACCCATACTAGGATGAAGTGGAGCAGGCCCTGGAACATGGGCGCATATACTACAGTTTGGTGCTTTTTTCCATGGTATTCACCACCAGCCTTTGTGGAATGCAGCTGCGACTGCTCCCTGTTCCTCTATCTGTCCTCTAGCTTGCCATGCGTCGATCTCTTCCTCCCCTTCAGCTCTGCATTCAGCAGACAAAGTATGTTGATGGCAGTGTTCACGTCTTGATCACGCCGCTTGCGGTTGTTGTTGACGCATTCCACGTGGAGGAGGAAGCTGCGATCTGCGCTTCGCTGACCTTTCTCGCCTTCGTTGTATGGAGCCTCGGTGCGCTTTCTGCAGCAGTGGCACTGGACTGTGGTCGGATGTTTCCGTATGTCGACGAGACCTCCTCTCCCGCAGGTCGCTCGGTGGCGCGTGAGCGCTTGGATCAACACTCGCTGCATGCCCTTGACAAGTACAGACGGCTTTTGTTGGTGTCAACCTCCGATTCCGCCCTTACTGCTGTATCGTATGATCAGGGGCTTGTTGTGCCGTACCCCAGTACCGATTGCTCTGTCCGCTGCATACGCAAACGCACGTTGTTCCATTCGATAGATGATTTCTGGAACACGATGTTGTCCATGATGAAAAAAGTACACGAAGCGAAACCCAGGCTGAAGAAAAAGTCGAGAAATTTCGATCCATCTACGCTCTCTTCTTGAAAAGCGATGTCGCACTGCCCACTGCAAGCGATCCCCGTGATGACAAAAGTCCAACACGGGGACCATTTTCCGTGCGACCAGAACAGATGAGATGCTCTATAAGCGTATCCTGTGAAGGCTAACATGCTTCAGCCGCGTCCTGTCTTGTCGATGGCTACAAATAGCGTAGGGTTTGTCGTTCGAGTGGAATCGATTGCTTGTCGTCATAGGTTCAGGGAACGAGCGACATGAGCCTGTCTCGATGTCGTCGAGTGCCAAGTCGCGTGCTAATCTTCGTATAATCCGGCGGTGCGAGTTGCGCTACCCACGAGTTCCCTTGAAAGAGAAGCATCGGAACCTTGAAGAATGTGTGATTCGAGCATCGACACATAAAGAAATGAGACGAACCGTGATTTCGACGTCTGAATTCGATCATGATATTGTTTATTCTACGAATCCTTATTCTAGGGCGTTTCCAATCATCTTGATTCCAATGAAGTAACGAATTCCAGCGGCACCGCGTCGGAAGCGCCACCCGGAGCAGAAATGCAAGAATCCTGAATCTACGTATGAATTCTGAGAAACTTCTTGGCGCAAGTTTCATCTCGAAGATGTACATGCGAAACAATCTTCGGGAGAGAATCGACAGGAAAGAATAGAGCTTGCACTTCATCATTCTATTTCACGCTGACATCCATCCACTCAGTAAGATAATCGGGCTGTTCATCAGCATGATTTTGATTCAAGTGCACATGTTGTTGACGTTGTTCGTGATCGCGATACGTTCATTTGAAGCGCATCGTGTGCTCGTTCAGATAGGGACACACTCATGGGGCTAGAAGCGCGAACGTAGCGAGTAATTCGGAATCACATGACGTCGTAGGAGTAGGAGGCAAACGCTGCCTGCAGGTCGATATGGCGTAGGAAAAAGTCGTCTGCGGAGCATCTTTATTTGGCTGTGCAAGGGACGCGTGCCTATTGGCCACACGTTCGATTCGTCCTCTAGGCAGTTCAAGGCGCCGTTATCGAGAGCGCAAGACAGCGTTCACGGACGCTTGTGCAGCAGTGGATACCGCGTCGTCTCTGGGCGACGAACGCACCAGACGAATATCTCGATACTACTATTATCCCTGTTACTGTTAAAGTTGTGGTCACTCTCCATTCAAAATCATTGCAATATCTGCAGCGCATGGAGTGTCCGACGGTACCCATGCAAGGAAAGCGTCACTTGGGGCGATCGACTGACGATTCAGGGCTGTGGGATGAAATGAGATGCTCGCGGTATCTTGGGGTCGCTTGGAGGCGCTCAATGCTCGCCCATGTGCAAGATAAAGCACGTACGTGACACCGCCTTGCTTTGAGCGCAGGGGGCTGCCCCCGCTAGCGGCCCAAGAGCAGCACTGCTTGAAGTAATCAACCATGAGGATGAGCGTCACGCTCGCTCGTCCTCCTCCTCCTCCTCCTCCATATGCCGCTTGAGCCGTTCCAGCGATCGAGCAGCGTTCACGACCTGTCGTAAATCCCGTTGGATCTCAGCACCATCGAGAGCAACTCGGATCCGCGGTTGCTCATCTGCTGTGGAATCTGGTACCTCTGGTAACAGCGCGCTGCCCGCAACAAGCTTCAGCAGTGAGCTCTTTCGCAGCCATCCAGCCGGTGTACGGACAGGAGGCATGGCCAAAGCGCGTACGCTCTCTGACAGCATCATTCCTGGTGTTGTAATGGGCACCCATATGTCCGCATCAGCAGCGGAGATGATGGCGGGCGCTTCCGCTGGCGCAGCGCCTTGGCCGTTCCCTGCTGCTGCTGCTGCTGCAGTTGCTGTGTTGGTCTTGGTGCTCGCGGCGGGAGCGCTGGGGTCACCATGTACGCTTTCAAGGTCGCTCGTGCCGAGGTAGCCGATGTTAGGGCCACTATTTCGGCCACGTCTCGTTCGCATGGCTGGTCCTTGTCCTCCACGAAGCAATCGTGACAGTTGCAACGAGGGCACCTGGAATTTCGTTTCGTTCCCTGCCTGACCTTCAGCGTTCCCGGAAATAGCGGTGGTGGTGGTGATCGTCGTAGCGTCGGCTGCGGCGGCTGCTGAACCGTTGTTCAGGATGCGGGCGTCGGTGAGGCCACTTTTGGACGCGGCGGCTCGGTTCGAGCTCGCCAGCGCCACAAGTCGAGACTCAATCTCTGCTTGCTTTGCTGCATTCATTGTCAGAGCGATTCTTACCAGATGCTGGCGGGCGGCTGCATAGTCTTGCTCAAGAAGCGTCATCTCGTGATCGAGGGCAACGCGCAGTTGCTGATATCTTAAATTGACCTCGCGACGAGCGTCTGATAGTTGCATCAGCTTACGCCAAGCCAGGAGACGCGTGAAAAACTCGTAGTCTTCCGTGTTTTCCGGAGCCCGCAAATGCAGGGACATGCCCGCCATACCACTGCTACCCATATCATCCGCTGCATTTTCAGCCACTATACAACAGCGCTTGGAATTCATCGAGGCAGGTCGAGCTCGCAAAGCCCGCGCCCAACGTCGGCGCTCTGCCTGGGCCGCTGCCGGAGCGACACGGCGGTCAATCAGGGCAATGAGCGCGTCCTCTTGCAGTTTCCGATACTCGCAAAACTCCAGCGTGCCAAACGGTGGCGTCTGGTTTATCAATCGGTGCTGGAGCTCGCGTAGTCGTTTCTTATCTAGCAGGCCATGGGCGTCCTGGCCCCAGAAACCCTCGCGATCACGACGCTGCATGAGACGCGAGTGCTTCTGGAGCGACAGCGCTTGACGCTGAGCGCCAGTGCGACGCCGCCGTTCTCGTTCCTTCTCGAGTTCCGCTTCCCGAAGTTGCCGAGCTCGCTCCTCTCGCTGTTGTTTGACTCTTACAGCATGACGACGCTGACGGACTGCCTGCGCTAGTCCCGTTTCCCCCGCAGCAACGCTTGAGCCGTTAGCATCGCTGGAAACTGCCGAAGCCATGCGTGTGTCTGGGAGAGCGTTTACAGTGCTTTGGCGACTTGTTTGTTGAACACGCACCACCACCAAACGCCAGATTGGTCTCCAATCTACTCGTAATGAAGCTTTTAGGCGTCAAAAGTTGCGCACCTGGCAGGAAGCAGTTTCGAGAACAGCCTATAGGCGCTCATCTGCAACAGCATAGGTTGCAGCACCGGCGGGATGCCCATCGCCATCGCCATCGCGGTACCGATCTCCTAAAATTGCTGTCGATGTCTACGACGCTGTCGATTCCGCCATGGACGTCGATCGACTGCGTTGCCCGAATCCGTGCATTTTCGAGTGTCTCTACATTATCTATCAGTGTATAGGATGGGTTTCCGCTGCTCGTCGGGACGCACGCTCCTGAAACCAGGTTTCACAGAACGCTGAAAAAAAAGCGAACAACCAGGGATCCCTGATCGATATAAAAGTTCGATCAACGATAAAAACCTGCAGCCAGACCTCCAGAATACGTATGTGCAAGCACTTGAATTACCCGTTTTCCATTTGCGTATGCACAGATCCCGTGCGGATGCTCAAGCCATCAAATCTGTGCACAAGTGCCTGCGCCCTTCCGTGAAACCGGCAGTGACCCTGACCTCTTCCCCAACTGAACCGGTCCATGCATTCCTGCGCGCTCCAAACAGACGCCGATGCGTGTGGTGACCCCTGATCGGACGACTCGTACACGCACGCCGTCCTGATGCATCATTACAGGGGCATAGGGACTGAGGCCGTTTCCGCTGGGAGGCGTGCAAATGCGCCACGCTATATGAATTAACGGCGTCCGCGCTATCCCCTTCTGCAGCATACCGCAGGCAGTACTACGATGACTCCGTGCCAAACAGTAGGGAGCGGGTCACGAACAGTGCCGTGTGGCCTTTGCGAGTTCTGGCGTCCGGGGGCCACGGTCCCTGCCGAGCGCGCTCGTAACGATCCCCTTCTCAAGCGGTTGCGAGCTCGAAATCGCTTGCCTGGACGCTGCATGAAGTTTCCGCTTCGTTCCAGTGGACTCGCACCAACAGTTTACTGTGTCCGCATAGCAGTACAGAAATAAGTTCAGCGATCGATGCACACTGGTGGTATCTGGTAGAAAATGCTTGCCACTAGGCGCATAACCCGTGCCATCCAGCGCTCGACTGCGATGGGATGATACGGGCGAGGCGCCGCCGCGCATCCAGCGCACCGGAGCGTCACAGCGACGCCGCTGCAGCGCTCCTAGCTGAGCATCTATCTACTGAAGCAGTACATATATTCATAAATCGACTTGAAAACATGCGTGGTCTAAGTGGATTCGTGGGTTCTTTTCAAGGGGTGAGGGCTTCTAACCAGCAACAGCGCTGCCTTAAGTTCGAGTGGTCCTCGAACAGGTCTGTACTTGGTTTTTCGCAGCGTGGTATAGCACGGCGCGTCGCTGATGCTGGTCTCGGACGCCGACAGCAGCAACAGCAGCAACAGCAGCAGCAGCAGCAGCAGAGGCAGCCTCAGCGCCTGCTTAGACTATTCAGTGCTGCCGCTCCTGCGGATACAAGCATTACGCATAGGGTCTTTTTTGACTTCTCCATTGGCGGTGAGCCTGCTGGACGCGTCGTATTTGGACTGTACGGAAAACAGGTGCCCAAAACTGTCGAGAACTTCCGCGCGCTTGCAACTGGCGAAAAGGGTTTTGGATACCAGGGAAGCCTTGCGCACCGAGTCATCCCTGGCTTTGTGATCCAGTTCGGCGACTTTACCCGAGGAGATGGAACCGGCGGTAAGAGCATCTACGGCGAACGTTTCGAAGACGAGAACTTTGCAATCCCCCACGAGACCGGAGCACTCTCCATGGCAAACGCTGGCCCAAATACGAATGGCTCACAGGTTTTCATTGTACTCGACGGACGAACAACGCAGCATCTAAACGGCCGGCACGTTGTGTTTGGCAAAGTTGTCGAGGGCATGGACGTGGTGCGCAAGATCGAGGAAAACCCTACCGGCAGGGGTGATCGTCCTCAACGCGCTGTCAAGATCGAGGCCTGCGGGACGCTGTAGACTGGTAAGCAACTCCATCACAACCAAATGATCGTCCAGTGCTTGGGAAGCGGCGCCCGAATCCGGCGCTCAGGAACGGCGTACTAACTCGAGTCTAGTGAACGGAACGAAGCTGGATAGAGCCTAGCGGGTCTCGCTTTTCCACGCACCAGCTGGACCAATGCGTTTGCTGAGGCCTGGAAATCAGAAGCATAGGCGGGGTCTAGGGAATGTAAGCGTTGCGCGCTTCGTGAAGGTGTTCGGCCTGGCATGTGATTATCATCATCATCATCATCATCATCGGCAGCGAGTCGATGTCGTTTCCAACGTGCATCGAACGGCATGCAATACCGGATGAATGCGGGATGGAGATTGGACCTGCGTTCTGAACTAGAGTCATCGAAGCCAACAAATTCGCGCAATTATCCTAAACGTGTGCAGGCCTCGTGAGCGAGCGTGCAAGCGAAAGCAACCATCCCAGTCGGGGCAAGCGCCACAGCCTCTGTTCCGAGTCTGGATCCCGTGTTCCCGGGGATGCGCGACCCATCATGCCAGTCATGTCCAGGATTTCTGTATCGGAGCCAAGTGCCTCTCTAATCTGATCAAATGTATACAATATAATAGAGGAGCGTATCCGTGCAGCGCGTCGATGCGTGCGCCGCCGCCCAGCCGCCGCGATCAACACGCATGCACGTCACAGGGGCGACGCTGCCCAAATGGTCGTTTTTTCGTCGATCATCGATGCATCCGCTGAGCCTTGCGCTAGATGCGCCACTGCCACCGGTAAGCGGGACAGAGGCTTCAGTTCTTCAGCAGATGCAGCAGTTTTCCATCTGATGCAGTTTTTGCGGTGTTAGCCCCAGTGCCGTGCCGTGCCGTGTGCGGTAAGCGTCCGGTGAACACAGGCGCTTCTGGTGTCCTCTGATTGCTCCTGTCGTTGTCGCTGCTGCTCCTGCTGCTGCTGCTGCTGGTGCACGTGAATTCGTGTTTTTCTCTTGTCATCGTTGGAATTTTCGGAGGCGATACATACACGGAGCTCGCGTAGAGTGCGTCGCACTGATCAGTGTCTATGTCGAGGAGAGCGGCAGGCCGCGTTCACGCCACACATCGTGGCAAGTGCGCTACGAGGTGCATCACCAGAGCGCGCCACCAGAAATGCACCAGCTCTTTTTCCAACAGGTTTCCAGTCTGCCGCTCCTAGGGCGCATGACTTCCAGATACGTTCGTGGCTGCTGCAGCGGCAGCGGTCAGGTCGTCGAGAAACGCCTCGGGCGAGAGCATCTCGGTTGTTCCGTAGATAATCTGGCGATCGTCGTGGATGCGAGTGGTGAGATTCTCCCACTCAATAAAATTGCCACCTCCGACCATAAAAACGATCGCTTCGGTAAACGATCCACGCGGCAGGGATGAGGCTTTGTTTGTGCAGTGCCCGTCTCGAGCAGCAAGTGGATCCAGCAGTAATGAGGCTGCACGTTCTGCAGCTGCACCTGGGTGCTCGTGTTCCGCGCCCCGCGAGGCCGAATCCAAGTCATCGTCGGGCGAGGCGTTCCGCATCCACGAGTCGACAATACTGGCAACGATTCCGCTCCGCGTCGTGGGAATCAGGCCCTTCACGGTGCTCGCCAGCTGCGTCAGGCCTTTGTGGCCGTGCTCATAGATTCGAGTGACCAGCGACTCGAAGATTTCCCTGCCTCCACCTGTCGCTGTCGTGAGGCGATCGATCATGCGGCTGCTGCTTTTGCGTGCCGGCGACGGACTGTTGCCGTCCCTGTGCGTTGCAGCGGGGTCGAGCTGGCGCGGTGTCGCTGCGCGCTGGCGCATCACGTAGCTAAGAGCGCTCGTCTGACAGCCACAGATATCGAGTACATGACAGTATTCTGCGAGCTTGGTCTGCGGAATACCTGACGGCGAGAGGATCTGGTACATAAGCAGCAGCCGCAGGCAGTCGCGGGCTCGCTGACTCAACGACGAGGCGTCCGCGGAGGCCGTACTGGAAGGCGGTTTCGCTAGAAGATCGGCTTCCCCAATGATTCGGTCTAGCGAGTTCGATTGCACACTCGAAGGCCTTTCCAGCAGTGAATCCTCGAGCTGAAACAACAGGTCCAACTTCCGTGCCTTGATCTGCTCCAACAGTGCGGATGCGATGTTCGTATGCATATCGAGCTGCCGCTTCCATCGAGTTAGTCGCGGAAGCTCGGCGACGGCGTCAGCAATCTCCCGAGTGCTTGTGCCGGTTGCCTGCATATAGGCCTCGAGCTGCGTCTCGTCTGCCGTCTCCGCGAGCAGCTTCTGGACATTGCTGCCTCCGCCAGACCGTGCATTGATCTCCTGAACCTGCGCACGGTACGCTGTCAACGCTGTTTCGATATGCTCCGCCACTTGCGGGAACGGCAACGAAGCATTTTCGGCCCAGAACGGATCGGCCTCGTCATCGAGGTCGTACTGCGTCCGCTCTGTGCCGGGCTTGGTTGCCGGCATGCTGACTCGGCTGAGCTCGAATGGCAAGAGCTCGTGGATTAGCGCCTCATAGGTCCATCCGTGGTGCAGCATGATGGCCAGGTCGACGTCACGGTCGAGCAGCGCCAGCAGCGGCCTTCGCAGTGGCGGCAGGCCGGCTTCACTGTGTTCGCGGAACAACGCCGCCCCGCCTGGCGTATGCATATACTCCCAGATTTTGGCGCACAGTTGCAGTGCGACTCGCTCCGATGCGCCGCGTCGCAGGCAACGTATATACGGCACACATCTTAGGGTCACGCAAACAGCAAATAAACTATCCACAATAGTCGCGATCGTTTCCTGAATCGCCTGCTCATCGGCCTGTGCACTGAACAGACGCCGGAAAGAGCGCCGCGCTATGCTTGGCGGCATGCTGAAGAGGTTGCGCTTCAGACAAACAAAGCCGCAGTACAGGTCCACGACGCGAGTAACGGACTCGATGCGCCGAGCTCGAGCCAGGGCCTCGGCCAGACGCTCAAGCTCGTCGCGGCTGATAGCCGAAAGAAAATATATACTGCAGTGTGCGTATCGATCCGCAGCACAGTCTCGGACAATCGTCTGAATATTCTCGTGATTCGGCTGGATCAGGTAGACAGCTGGGACCTCGGGTATGACTTGGCGCGAGCTCTCTAAGTTCAGGTGTAACGTAACGCCGCACGTTCGTAGTGTTGGCACCTTCAGCACAGGAGCAAGCACCTCGCGCGCCGTTTGGTCGATGACGAGCACCTTCCAAAAGTCTCTGTACACGTCTTCCGCGTCCAAGTCGTCCACGGTCGCCGCGGCAGCATCGTAACCGGGGTTCAGTTGTCCATGCAGTGCACCGTTGGCAGCGCTGTGTCCGGTAGCGGCCTCAGCGCCGCGGAGCGGGTTACCGAGCGCCTCGCACAGAACAGCTTTCTGCCGATCCCGCAGCGAGAACCACGTTTTCGCCAATGATTTGAGCTGCGTGGCGAGGTCCGAGTGACGACTCGGCTCTGCTCGCGTTAGCATCGTGGCCTCTTGAGGTTGACTACCAGCAGGTAGCAGGCAAGGAGGCAGCCGCCTGCCGTCAACGCCTCCATGAGTCTGTGCGTACGCTGGGATTGCTGCGGCGGCGATCCCGCCACAGTCGAGAGCACCTGCTGCTCTCGGGAGCGACTCGACGTTCACGAGCAACAGGAAAGAAGCAGTCATCAGCGATATGATATATAGGACCTTGACAGCAGAGGAGCAATAAATATGAGCAGGCTTCTCGGTCTGTCTGGTCCCTGTCATCCATATATGGTGCTCCCGTAATGAATGAAGAGCGAGCAATCTGAACAGACTTTTCAGCATGTTCAGTCTCTTTCAATCATATAATGTGCTCCTATGGCGGATAGAGACCGTCCAATCTCATTAAACTTCTTTCGACGATCCGCTCCTGTCTGCAATGCAACGTGCTTGCCAAGGATCCGTTCTCGGGTGGTGCTTGTCGATCATTTGCACCGTATGGCGTACGAGACTCCATGCATCGAGGCCTGGACTTGCAGCACAGCTACATGAGCACATAGATACACGTCCATTGTGGAGGCGCAACTGCGGTTCGGTTCCGTCTCTGAGTGCGAAGTGCGTCGCCCGCACCGCAGCATCCGCCATGCTGCATCCATGACACGCATGTGCGCTCGGATGCGTGCTGCACGGGACACGTGTCGCTCTTGACACACGTCTCTGGGATTCAGCACGGCAAATATACTCTTCTGGGCTGGAATACGCTCAAGTCGAGGTATATGCGAACTGGACCGCAGATTAGCGCGGCAGCAGTCACGAAGTGGACCTGCTGGCAACGCCAGCGCCAGCTGGAGCGCATGGCGGTGTGGATTGTAGCGAGTCTTGCCGCACCTGGAGCGAAACAGGTACGTGAGGCTCGGTATGAGCACCGGCCGCGCTTCTCGACCGAAGCGGTGCCGCTTTGGAAACTCACCATGTTGTTGGTGCGCCTTTATCACAGCAGCTGGCACGCGGGATCGCGTGAAAGCACTTACTTGCGAGAGCTCTTCTATCGGCTCGTTCCTGTTTTCGATAGCCAGCAGGAATTGACGCAATACCTGGATCGTTTACTTGCCGCTGCACGAATCTCTCGTTTCTCATTGGGTATCATTGCCGAGTCACGCGGATGGGTGTTTTTCGGTAGCGGGATCCAGCTGCAAAAACGGTCTATCGAAAACGAGCGACCTCGATATGTTCAATCAGAAGCCGCCAATGCAAGGCTGTGCACGCCCCATCGCGGTCTCATGCCGATTCCAGATGACATCGTGCTGGACCCTGGGGCGTATCAGCTGGTAGTGGAGCCCCGCCAAGATCTAGTTGTCGTCATCCTCATCGTGGAAAAGTTCGGCGTATTCCGCTGTCTCGTGGATGAAGGATTTGCCTCGATCCTGCCGGTACTCACAATCCTTGTCACTGGCGGGGGCCAGCCGTCGCTGGCAACGCGTGCACTGGTGGCCCAGATAGCGCGATGCTTGGAAGCGCACCATGCTGCTTTTAGGAGCACGAACGCCCCGCATACG